GCGAATCCTTGTGGTTCTGTATTAAACCACAAGTTTTGGTCGTATCCGCTCGTGCATGGCAAAAAAGTGCCTGAGATCTTTCAATGTGGTTGCTGATCTTCGCGGGCCGAGCAGAATGATCGCGTTCAGAAATCCGAAAAGACCATCGTCTGCACTTCCGCGTCGCAGCTTCGTTGTTGTCGATTCCAGTCGTTGTCGGTCGGCCAAGCGGTATCGTCGCGTCGCCTCACACATCGGTTTCGAACAAAGCAAAAGCTACAAATCACGATTTTTCTTGGTTTTTTTGCTGTCCCGTTTTGCATTTTGTCCGTTCATATGCATTGATTGATAAAGAGGACGAGGGCATCTCCCATGTACAGCAGTATAAAGAATCTGTTTCATCCTGTTCCTGATGTTGAATCTGAATGAATGTGTTTCTGTCCTTCTTCCCGTTTTCAGTCGGAATACTAGCTAGCAACTAACTGATCAGTTTGTTGAGAGATTGGCTCTTGACATTCTCTAATAATCGAGAGCAGGGCACTTGGACCAGAGAGAGCGTGTGAAATACACCTTTTCATCAGAAGTACTTGACCCAGCAGTCTTTGCAGAAGCTTTGCGTCTCAAGAGAAGCAAATCGAGTCCTCGCAAGTTCATCATTTGATGTCTCGTGCATGACGATCGTCTTCAGACGTGGTAAATACGAACTTTTTCGAAGGACCACAACAGTTCATTGCTATGGATGCAGCCACTGCTGCTTTTTGTTGCTCTTTCCTTCAAATTTCTCGGCAAGTTCATCAGTAGTCGAGACGAGAGGGTTCTTTTGTTCGTCTTGTAGTCGTGTCATCGGCTCGGTCGAAATAAAAATCCTACCTCTTAGGTAGGTTACTCGGCAAGAATGGCGGACCCGGCTATCACAGTTCCAGACGACCAGCATCAGGACCTGACGTTATTTGTCCAAAATCTGCTATGCGGAGGGATTGCATTGGTCTATGGCGGTATCTGCATCAATCCAAACACTTAATAACTGCATTCTCGAACAAGTCACACATGTTTGATTAGTACTGAAGCTGAACCATTTTTATTTTTATTTTTCTCCTTTGTGCCGCGCCCGGGGGTCTACTCCCCTGTGTCGCGTCCAGCCAAAATGTGCGGCCATGGTATAGTGGGGAGGTCTACGGCCATGGTGCTACTTGCGAGGTTTTGGTTATCGCATGACAACGCACGTACTTACTAGGATTGCGTTCGTGATGCGGAGGTGGAAGACCAAAACACCTTTGCCGTCCATATGTGCTGAAAGAAATGCAAACCCGGTTCCAGACAATGAGCGATGGCATCATCAATCGCATCGACGATATGGGGGGGCGGTAGGTTTATTTGTTTTGTCATTGTGTTGGAGGTTTACGTTTAGGTTTACGTTTACCAGTAGATAGATCTCACGAAGAAGATAAAGATATTGCTGGCAGAATAATTCAAATCGTAATCGCGTACTTGACTGAATAGAAATACTTTATTACTACAACAGCATCGACGAGCTCGAGCGCAGTATCAATACCTATGGGAATGAAAATGATGTTATTGGGAACGAATTTGCAGAGATTCAGTTTGTTCGCTGCTGGTGACTCGACTAGTTTATGTGGTCAGTCGCAAGAGCAACTTTTGGAGAAAAATAAGAATTGCACCACGCTAGCAACTTCTACCAGCCACCACGTAGCTCCTACAAGCAACATGCAGCATGCGTTCACCTTCCCATCGTCATCTCTCGTTGTTGCATAACAAGCTTATGAGCGAGGCCATGGTTGAGGAGGAGGCCTCGAAGAACGCCAGTGCCGCAGCGCAATAGTTAGGATGAGGAAGTAGGTCGAGACAACGCCGGATGTGTATTTTGGTGGCTTGTACTTGTTGTATGAGCGAGAAGATGTTCTTCGATCGGCGAGGACTGACGCAGTTTTCAGAAAGTTTAAGCTCGATGCACTAGTATACGTCTCCTCGTCTTCCACACTGATGCAGAGCGACCCAGTCCATGGAACTACCTGCCGCTTTTGTTAAGACAACACCAGCAAAACGTCGCTTGATGGGAGAGTCAACTAATCAGGCGAGCTCAGACAAGAAGCAACGCGCTCGCATTTTTTTATTGTCAAGACGAACAAGATGTAGATGAGAAGACGCGCGTGGAGGACTTGTCTTTGTGCTGCTTTGTTGACTGTCACCAGTGCAAAATGAAGTCGTAAAGATATCAGTAGTGAGTTTCTTGATGTCATGTCAAAGAAGAATATTAGGAAACAACGCTATTCCCATAGACATAAACCATAAAAACAGAAACACCAAAAGAAGAGCCACACTGTTAGCCCAAGCATAATACTATCAACAGCTGCAACATCGTCATTTTTACGGCGATTTTATTTACCAGCTGTAAACATCGATCAACAACACGATCGCGACCATGTTCTTCTCTGTTCACCAGAATTATGCAGTGTTGTTATGTGCAGCTCGTAGTGCCTCTGCCTCCTGCTGATAAGGAAGAGGAGACGTGCCACAGCTACACTCTCGCTCCTCCTCGTTCTTGTGGTTCTTTTTCTTTTCGTGATTCACGATTTGGATCCACACCGTCTTCCTCTTCCCACCTAGAAGGAAAAATATGGGCTCGCCTTCTGGATCGAGATCGTTTTGATGATGACGATCATGATTTTGATTCTTTTTCTTGATCTGCCTGCTTCCATTAGTTTAAAATGGATCTGATCCCAAATGAACAGTATCTTTGAAGGGCATGCTCATGCTCAATCACATATTGTGTTTAGTGGGATGAACCGGCTAAATATTTTAAAGTGTGATTGTCGGAAGCACAAATCATAGTGGAGCAAGAAAGTGTTTTGTCCCTAGCAGTTCTTTGCCCGTACAGGAAGTGGAACGTACGGGATGTCCGAAGAAATGGAGATCAATGACATTGATGAGGTCCAGGTCGAGTCTCCTCATGCGATTGGAGAGGACGGCAAGCACCCTAGCGCCGAACCTAGGCACTTCGCAATGCCGACAAAGCAGGACGATTTCCCGTCTGACCAGCAAGCTGAAGCAGAGGAAGCTCCAGAAGATGCTAACCTCATGATGGAGGATTCGCTCGCACTTTCCTCCTCTTCAATGGAAGAGGATGCTCTTTTTGCTGCGCGTGATTCTCATTTTCAGGGCGACATCGCTTTTAGTCGTCGTCTTTCGGAGGACACGCGAGCCGAAATTTGCCCGACCGCTAGTTGCGATTCGAAAACGACCCCACGTGAAGAAAAACATATCATGGAGACGACGAACAAAAAAGCATGTAACGAGGACGAGGTCGTGTTGCACGAACGGCAGAGTAAACCTCCGTCTGACAGCGCTCTGCCGAGCCCCATGGAGTCGTCCAACAAGGTCCTCGCGATAACACCGAGTACCGCTTTTTCCTCTCCCGGTCTTGACGCTGAAAGAACCAATGCAGATGCTGCACGACAGGAGGAGATCATAACCGAACATGGCGCAGTCGACGCTGGTGGACACGGAATTGTTGATATTGAATCGCACACCGCTAATCAAACTGAGAACTTCGCTGGACCGCATGCCCAACACCATGCTGCGGGTAATGTCTACACGCAGGTAAACACGCGAAGTCTGTGCAGCCGAACGACAAAAGCACACCAGCAGCAAGAAACATCATATTCCAAGGAAAATCTCATCTCGACCGAGGTCAAGAGCAATAGCAAATCTGATGAGATCGAGTTAAAGCAAGAGGCAGTTTCTGTCGTCATTCCGACCGCCAGCAGTGTGCCTGAAAGCTTGAGCTCCTGCGAATCGGCCTGGATTGTGGTTGATGACAAACGAAAAAGTTGCACAGAGGACGTAGAGGAGGACGGGCTCGACAGTCCGCCGCTTCGTCCGAAGGAGCAGGCAAAAAGGCACCCAGAGCAAGACAAAGACAAGAAGATTGTAAAAGCACCAGCCGCAAGTTCTGCGGATGATTCTTCTGGTGGAGCTTGCAGCTTTACAAGTACTTCTACTGGACGAGGAGGAGAGCTAGCGAGCAACGTTTTCGGAGGTTCTTTTTCCAGAGGTCTACCGCTCCGACCTGAATCTCGTGATGCTCTCCTCAAACAGGAGTTTCTGAACAAATTGGAAGCATTCTTTACAAAGAACCTTTTTTGGCAAAACTTGCTTCGCAACTGCTTTCACACTTGGGCAACCCGCGTCTTGTGTCAGAAGGGTGAAAAGAACCTGAAGAAACTTTTTGCGCCCGAAAAAATCGGGGAACAAGCACAGACAGCACCCGAACAAATAAGACTCGCGGAGTTGACGCGGGGCAAGGCGGACGCCGAGGAGGCACTGGCCGCCAGCGAAAGTGTGGCGGAGGGACTTCGGGCCAAAATCGCGCGCATGGAGCAGAAACGACGTGGGCAGGGCAGTGTGGAGCTGCGGGCTTCGAACAATACGAGGCTTTTCATCTCTGTCGGGACGCAAACCGTTGGGGCAGAAGTACAGGACAGAATGCCCGCCGACCACAAGGGACACTCTGACTTTGGACAGGAATCGAGAGCCTTGGAAAGTTCCGTGATGTCGTCCTGCTCCACAATTTTGTCTTCGCCGACTTCGATGGTCAACAAGCGTATCACGCCGCCGGTACCTGGACCTGTAAATACAGCAAACAAGAGCCACTGCGCCAAAAACAGTACTTCTGCTAAGTCGAACACAGCCCGGTCCGTTCAAAATTCTGCGACACTTAAACGCTCGACGGTGTCAAGCCGTCGTGCTACAACCACGCACGCTGCATCTTCGACGATGGGCACAAAAACCATACCTGACAATCTCCCGGGAACTTCATGCAGCTCTACGACAGCGGCAACTTGCAGCTCTGCGACCACGACAAAAACAAAACTCCAGATTCAGGAGGAGGCGCAAAGGGAATTAGAGGCGAAGCTGGCCCTGAAAGACGAGAGGCACTCCAAGACTGAATTGTTGTACAAGCGTGCCAAGGAGAGCTTGGCGGCACAAACGGCTATCACACGCCGGTGCGAACTGGACAAGGTGGCCCTGGAGAAGAAGGTGATCGCGCTGCAAAACCGATTGGAGCAGTGGGAGCGACAGCGAGGAACAGCTTCTGGCGATAGCAGTACACAGAACAGTCAGCTTTTCCCGATCTCCGGTGTGCCACTTAGCTCCCCGAAAAGGACAACGGGGAAGGCGCTGGCGGGACCAAGATTGGTGCAAGGACAACCGAGTGGACCACAGATTGGTCGTTCGCCAGTGAAGATATCAAGTCCACCTAGTGTGCCTGGCTCGAACCGACCCTGTCCTCGGTCGCCCCGTGTGGCGGCAGCGGCTGTGGGTTCAATTGGTCCTGCGGCGGGCCCGCGCGGCAGCACCGCGGCTGCCGCAGCAAAAACTTCGCGGATGCAGAACACTGCTCGGTTAGACGCTTTGGTGAGTGCGGAGCTGGCTGCTGCCAAGAAAAGCGCCAAGATGGCATCTAGTTGTGCGGAAGTGGCATCCACAGCAGTCGGAACTGTAAGTGTAAACCGGACCTCTAAGTGGTCTAACACTTCTGACGGAAAGGCCGCGCTATCTACTGAGCACACGAACAACACGCAAGAAAGCGCGGAGGACGTCGTTGGATCCGCATCATGCTTACTTCCCGATCGAAGCAGTGCAAGCGCCAACTTCGATGCTGCGGACGAACTACAGCAGGGCGAGCCTCAGATTCCAGCGGCAGAAACTGTGAAAGTCCTTGCCAAGGTTCTGGCGAAAATGCCGTCTCCCTCTCGAAGTGGCCGAGTTTCTGCTCGACTGGGCGGTGTGCCATCGGTCGCAGTTTCAACCACTCGTGAAGATCCTTCTGCTGTACAGGCGGCGGAAAACCGACCGCCCGATGTGCCCACGCAAGCATTTCGAACCCTCGCTGACGAAGGCGAAAAACCAGGAAACAAGAACATGAAGCCGAGAGGTTGCGCTAAGGTCCTCTCCCACCCTCCTCGGCGGGCGAGCAACCCTGCGGGAGGACTTTATTCGCTGCCGCATAAAGCCGCGGAATTCATCAGCAGGAGATCGCCCCGGGCTGATGCCGCGATTAACGCGTATCGAAGCAGCCGATCTTTGTCGACGCCACTCGGGAATGGTAAAAGCTTGACCAAAACACCGAATAAAGCGGATAGGAGTGAACAAGCGGCGTCCCCGTCCATAGGCCCTGACACCGAAAAGAACATGACATCATCCTGCGCGAACACCCTGCCCGCTGCTACGACATCAGCCACATTGGTCTCCGCGCGCCAACTTCTGCAAACGCTTCGGGATGAAAGACGTGCCTCGCTTCTGTCGTCGACTGCAGGGAAAGAGTAAAGACCGACGTCACTTCTTGTTCATCTTCTTTCAGCTGCTACACGAGCGATGACAGGAACGTCGGAAAATTTTTACAACCTGCTCAGAAATTCTGTTGGTATTTGATAACCTGAAAGAAAATCTATCATCGGTAGCACCCCGACCCCATGAAGTGTGAGTTTCAAATTCAAAGGCCACAAGCAGCGGAACCGTTTGGACGCAGAATATCAATATACTTATTCGCAGTGTTAATTGTGGTGGTTTGTTGCCGCGACATCCACGGAATAAGATCTCTTTCTCGGACACGGTTCGACGGAAAGCGAAAGAAATCTGCAGAAAACTGTAAAAACTAAAACTGATCAAATGGCGGATCTTCGCAGGGGCCATCTTCCGAGGACCACCTAAGAGCAGCTGTGACTGATCAGCAATCACCAGTTGATCGCGTCCATGGTCATCTCATCTTCTACAGTCAGAACCACTTGTTTTATGAGCCACAGGATCCGCAAGAATTTGATCCCGATCATGTTGATGAAGTAATCGCAAGTAATAGGTTGTGCAGATAAGAGTTCATCGGAATGCGAATCAATGCTGAAGATGTTGTATACTCCGTTGTAACGGATAGGGATATTAACGGGGATTGGTATCGCTTTCGTTCGCAAAAGATGAGAAATGAGAACTGAAGATGAAGATCACAGACTGGAATTTTTGATTTTGAGTGTTGTTGACTCGCAGAATAGACCAGAAGTACGAAGATCATCTGTTCCTCGTGCAGCATATGGATGAAGATGGAGTGAGGACCAAACGTAATTGGATAGAGGTGGAGATCGAGATTGATTTGTGTGCAGGAGGTGTTTAAGTATGGTTGGAACGCCGATAACGACAGCGGGTTCTTACGTGTGAATTTTGTGTTTTTACGCTAGATTTTTTAGATTTCGTTTGTTTCCACCGATTCGAATTAAGACGGACTTTCTTAGATAGAAGATCTAAGACCACCACGGACCGAAGGATCCAACTTCAAGCATTGGTAACGTATCCACCTCAATGAATTAAAATGAGGACAACCGATGTTGTTCGCCCCAGAATGAGGGAGGTGTCCCACCATAACGAGCACAGGAGGTCACCAGGACACCAACACTCCCAGCTGCTCCAAGGCGGTTCTACTTCGGGCACAAGAAGCTCATCCTCGCACCATAACCGTAGTACACCTACACACGAGCAGCATTATGAAGTAGAGCAGGATTACGGGGTGTCATCTGAGGACGAACATGACCTACATCAAGCCTCTTCTCCTGGCGGAAAGCGCGCTATCGGCAGTAGCAGCTGCCAATTCTGGAGTTTTAACGCCTGGAAGTCGTTTATCGACCTGTCGCGGAAGGAACGGCGGCTCCGGGAACAGCTGCAAAATGTCAAGCGAGATCTCGGCAAGCTCACGGAAGTCGCTGGTGCCAGCGGGATTGGCGGTGACGGCGATGCTGCGCTGGAAGCTATAGGGAGAAGCGGTTCATCTTGCAGTGAGAGCGGAGCTGCAACAGCAAGTGCAGGTGGAGCGGAATTATCTGGTGCAGCGACGACGTCTTCGCAACTGCCAAACCAGGTGGACGTCGTCCCGCGTGCCGAACTGGAGGCGCTGCAGAAGCGCTGCGCGGAGCTGGAGCAGGAGAACCAGCAAGCCGAGCAGGGCCTTGACCGGGCGCTGCAGACACTCCACGTGATGCGCGACATGAAGGATCGCGTGCTCAGAGACATGGAGAACGCCCGCCGAAGCTTGGTGGAGAACGCCAATGTGTTCTGCTTCCACAGCAGTAATCACGAGCCTTACCTGGATCAAGAACGGATTGCGGAAGTAGTCGCCGATATGCAAGACAAAATGCGCGTTGCTGCTTGTGAACACCACGACAGTTGTACCGGTTCGATATCGAGTTCGAGAGCTCCCTTTCACGAAAAGATTCAGGATTTCAGCGGGTACGCGATTCCGCGTGTGGACATCCGGAAAATTTCCCATCTCCAATTTCTCAAAGATTTCGTCGCCCGCAACCGACCCTGCATCTTCACACATTGCGACGCGAAGTTCAGAGGACCAGCGGAGCAAGACGAGGGCGCTCCTCCTGCAGCTGCTTTCGGTGCATTTTCCTCGCTTGCCGCGCTTCGCGCTGCGATTGGCAGCAAGCGAAAAGTGCGATGCAACGTAACACCCGATGGATACGGGGATGCGGTGCTTACTGTGCCAGTCTACGGGGACGATGGGCAGGATTTCAAGCGCCGCGTGGAGCTCTTCGTAAAGCCTTTCGAGACGGAGATGCCCTTCGGAGATTTCTGCGACAACCTACAGGAGCACGACGCTGCTGAAGATGCGAAAGCTGCGGCCGCTTTTTTAGAAACGACGGATCATGAAGCTAGTAGCGCAGGAGGTGTGCTGCGAGGGCCGGCTGCTGCTGCTGCCGACAACCCAAGAAGGAAGTTTGTGCCCTACATGTCCATGCAGGATGATTGCCTGCGTCAGGAGAGCGCGTTTCAGGGAAACGACGCGGCGACGTCTTCCACCAAGGAAGAAGGGGTTGCGGCACCCACTACATCTATTTCAACTACAAAATGCACTGACCCACCATCAACATCATCACCATCTCTGTATCGCCAATTCGAGCAGTTTTTTCAATCTTACACGGAAGATTCGGTCTTCGATGCGGATTCCCTGGAGGCTTTGAACCTGTGGGTAGGCGATGACCGCAGCGTGAGTAGCTTTCACAAGGACAACTACGAAAATCTCTACCTGGTTACGTCCGGTCGAAAAGTGTTCTGGCTTGCGCCACCCTCGAGCGTCAGCTTTCTGCACTTCATGAAATACCAGGTGGCGTCTTACCGGTGTAAAGAGACAAGCGTACAAAGCGGTGCAGAGACCCCTGCTGCAGAGAAGGACACGACCGTGACCGAGTGTCAACAAGACCAAGACGCCTCGTCCGTCTCAAAGATGACCGCCCAGACTGAACCGACGTACTCGTGGAGCATTCAATTGGAGGAGCACCGACAGCAGGAGGCGCAGCAGATTGCAGCCTCTGCATCAGCCGCCGGTGAGTCCAATCTTCCCAAACCCCCAACGTCCGTTCCCTGGTGCCCGATCGACGTGCGGCAGTCGTACGGCGAGATCGTGAAGAAGCACCCGCGCTTCGGGCACGCCGCCTGCAAACAGATTTTTCTGGACGCGGGGGAGATGCTGTATCTACCAAGACTCTGGTACCACGCGGCCACGCAGGAGGGCCCGACGATAGCCGTGAACGCGTGGTACGACATGTGCTACGACCACTTGTACTGCCACCACACCTACTTCCTGGACGAGGGAAGGTCAACCCAACCTCCTTCGTCGGCCAGTAGCGCCGCGTCGTGAAGGAGATTTCGATCCGGAACTACGACACAGCGAGATCATACGCTCATGCTATCAGTATCACGAGTACGAGCGCGACGATGTTGAAAACGAAGATTGAAAACGAAATAACGGAATAAAAGCTTTGTAAAGCCACTTCTATGTGTACGATGGACGATGCTATTTGTCTTTCGTACGAATTGGAACAACAACAATTATCTTACCCATGAGCTGCAAACTGCAGTTGTAGATGATGCGACGGAGCACAGGTTGCTTCTTCTGGTGTTTCTGTTGCAGCAGCAGCAATGTCAAACGGGCCAGACGTGTGTTGATGTATGCCAGTGGGAACTGGAACGAGAACGAGTTTCTCCATGTCGAATCTCATTCTCTACTGTTGTCCCATTTCGTCCTTCTTTAGTGGTGTGAGGGTTGCTGCATGTTGCCAGGGAAGACGAGCGCAAGAAACGCCTTGGATCAACAGGCTTAGGCCATACAACTAGCAGGATCAACATCTTCCAAGAAGATCAACACACACAACTCGTCAGCACCATCATCTGGATCACGGAGCTTCTTCTGTGCGAAAAAGATGAAGATCCTCACCCTGCTGGTTCTTCTTGAGGTCGAGTGGTGGGGGGTGGGGGACGACACAAGTGAGTTGTGGTGGGCGTGGAGGTACTTATGACTATGAGCGAACGGCATAATCACGAGCGCTTAATACACTACGGTAGCGAAATCTGTCCACATTACCCCGGATTTCCACAAAGAGAAAAAATTTTCGCGTACTGGCGCAACTTCGCGATAACCTGCTCCGCAACCTGCCCGGACGGCATCCGCCCGCGGCCCTCCTAGGAGGATCGTCCGCGAGGTTCATGCGAAAGCTCAGAAGTTAGCTAGCTAGTGGCGCACAAACACTACAGCGCTATTTTTTGAGACGTGCGCCCGCGCTCATGTTTGTAGCCCTTTCGGCCTTTGCCGCGTTTGAGGTGCGGCGGCGAAGCTCCGCTGCATTGCGTGGACATACTTAATCCCGGGAGCGGCATTGGAAAAAGCCCTGCTGTGCTGCTGTCCCATGGGTCGGGCGCATCCACAGGCCCAGCAACCAAACCAACAAGAGCAACATCATCAGCCACCTGCGCAGGGCAACCCGAAAGAAACGGGGGGGCGCCTTCAATAGTGGCAACACCCATGAGCATTGGGTGGCCGCTTGCAAGCGGGTCGCCGCTCAGATCGTATTCGGGACCCTACATTCCCGGCAGATGGATGTCATCCCCGAAACCGGCAAGAGCCTTGCCGAAGCGCCCGCAAAAGGTAAGCCGCCAGGCCCTAGCGATTTGCCCAAAACAATCCCGCGCCAAGGGCTTTCCGGCGCTCCGCTTTTTCAGGCGCCCGACTGCCGCCGCCCGCCGCACAGGGCCCACAGGCACGGCGGCGGGGGCGCGCCGCCATTCGCGACGGCCGGTCGGTTCATGGGGCTGCGCGAATCGTGGAGGTACTTATCACTATGAGCGAATGCGAACGGTATAATCACGAGCACTTACACATTTCTTTGGTTTGGGTCCAATAATGAAGCGTAGCACTAGCGCTGTGTGTTGAGAGAGGGCGTGAGAGACTCATGCACCGCCGGTGAATAAAAGACTACGCGCACGAGACTGAGTGTTTTGGGATCAATGACCTAATAAAGCACCACCCGCGCGAGCATCACGATTGCGATTCATTGGCTTTGGTGCCGCTCGAAGCGTAAGTAACGAAGAAGCGACTCGATCAGAAAAAATATGGCGGGGACCTAGTGGTCGTTGGTGATTGATGCCTGAACGCAAACAACCAGGAGCGCAAGAAGATAACTAAGTACAAGTAGGCTGCACCTGCTACTACAAAAAGCAAAAGTAAAAAACGAGTTCCAACACGTCGTCTCGGCCAGCCGCGCGGAGGTGGTGGTAACCAGATCCATCTTTGGGTATTCCTTGTGCGTTGCAGCATTGTGATGAGATGACAAGCTCTAGCAGCTCCTCCTCTTCGAGCAGAAAGCGAACTGGAGAAGGCGATCAATACTTCGCGAGCTTCGACGTCTGCGGTGCGCCAGAAATAAACAGGAAGGTGGTGACATCGAGGATCGAGAGCCGACTAGAGGACGCAGACATAATTTCCACTTCCACGACTTGCACTTGTGCGCGTGCGCCCAAGAAGGAGCCTACCACCGATCATGGTGCTCTCCCCCGAAGAGCGCGACTGGCAGGACCAGACCTGCGAGCGGTCGTTCGGCTGCCTTTCGGTGACCAACCCGCTCCGCCGGTCCTGCTGGTTGTGCGCGCAGAGCCCGAACTTCGAGCGGCTCGTGCTCTTTTTCATCCTGGCGAATGCGGTTTGCATGGCACTCATCGACTACCGCAACCCGGACTCCGAGCGCACGACCTTTATCGAAAACTTGGAGACGGTAAGTAGAGCATCAAAATGGTGAAAGATCCTTTACTGTTTTTTTTGAAGTAGCTCTCCCTACTGGTTGTAGTTTCTCCTCTTTACTTGATGCAAACCAATACAGTTCTTGTATCCACATGGACAAGAACGGACCGTTCCGCAACAAACCCAAAAGGTGTTCTTGATTGTGTTCTCCCTGGAAATGCTAGTGAAGATGACGGCGTTCGGCATTGCCACTGGGGAAACCGCGTATCTCCGCGACCCGTGGTGCTGGCTCGACTTCGTGGTGGTCATCACGGGCCTGATATCCTTCTCTCTCGAAGCCGCCGGGCAAACCGACAACCAAGAGTCCGCAGGGCTCAGCGTATTGCGGGTCTTAAGGGTCTTGCGGCCCTTGCGGTCCGTTTCGCGACTGCCCGGTCTGCGGAAAATCATCCGCACTTTCTTCCTGTCCGTTTCCCGCCTCGTCAATGTGGCTGCGATGTTTCTGTTTCTCATCGTGGTGTTCGGCATACTCGGGATAAACTTTCTGGGCGGGGTTCTCCACCGCTTCTGCCGCTTCACGCCCGAGCCGCTGATCTTCTACGATAGCACTGGCTTGGGGAATGCAGGAACGGGGTTGCTGACTTGGCTGACTTCCGAGCCACACGCGATCGACATCGCGACGCAAGCAACCTTTCCGGCCGTGTTGCTGCAAACAAACCCTTTCACCAATACAACGCAACTCACCGACGCTGCGAAAACCGCCAACCTCATCGACCGGTTTTGCGGTCCCGGGACCATTTGCCAAAAGAAACTGCAAAGCACGCACAAATTCTTCCTCGTCTGGCCGATCGACAACAGCGACCGGTCCGAGGAGTCTCTGCACGGGCTGCGCGGGAACAACTTCGGCTTCGCGACGGAGCCCCAGCCCTACGGCACCCCCCTGCTGATGGAGACCGCCCGCGGCTGCGGCGGCCGCGAGTGCCCGCTGATCCGCGAAAAGCAGGCCTCCTTCGGGGTCCCGAAGAAACGCCCGCGGGTCGGCCAACAGGGAGGTGCCACCACGGAGAACAACAACACGGTCGACGTAAACGCGACCCAGGTGGCCAACGCGCTGGTGGATCTCTTCGCCCTGCAAAACCCGCAGGGCGAGACCTTCTGCGGCAACGTTTTGTACGAAGACGACTCCTACGGCATCATGAAGGCGGGAGAAAGATTGCCGCTGTTCTGGGAAAAGCTGAACCAGGATCCGATGTTCCACGGTGCGATGGCAAATGACGAATTAACGGAGAGCACTCTGCTTGGTAGTTCATCTTCGGATAGCTCCAACGGGAAGAATAAAAAATTCCCCACCGAGCACGTGTACATCCACGACATGATCTCTCTATCCCGCTCTGAGGACTTCAACTGGGGCCTGACCGGCTTCGACAACTTCCCTGTCGCGGCACTGACACTGTTCCAGACCGTCACGCTGAGTGCCTGGGTGGATCTGATGTATTTATTCGAAGACTCGCACGATGTGACCTTCGCGCGGTGCTTCTTCTCGCTGATGATTCTGCTCGGGACATTTTTCGTTTTGAACGTCACCCTGGCCGTCGTCTGCGACGCCTTCAATGATCCGGTGAACCAGAACGCGTCCAAGGCACAGACCAGACAAGCGCGCGGCGAAGCCTCTCCCGTCGTCTCGTCCGGATTGGTCGGCGGGGTCGCCGCGCCCTCGGCGTCGCAACTGTTCGCCGCGCAGCAATCGGCCTTGAATCTGCGGTCGGGGTCGAAGGATACCACCCAGTCGAATTCCACGTCCTCCTCTAGCGGGGCTTCCTCGGACAACTCCGTTCTGGTCGTGGACACGGGGGACATCGTCATTGACCAATCGCGCGACGTCGGTGAGGTGGTGGACGCGGAGGAGCGGGACCAGCAGAGGATGAATTTGGTAGTCTCCGCGTTCAGCACAATTTCATTAGGTGCGTTTTTAGGGACGGGCAAATTGGATAAAAATGGAATGACGGAATTGACTTCCTCGGAGAAAATGAACAAGTTCCGGCAGAGGAAATCAATTTTCAACCTCGAAGAAGGTGAAGGCAGTGCCTCGAGCAACGCGTCCTCCACCGGCTTGCAGATCGAAACCAGCACGCGCGTATCAAATGCAAAAATGTCTGGGTCTGGAAGAATGCAGACTTGTCATGCATATTTTCCATGCCCCATGAGGTCTGGAATGCGGGACCTAGCGCGACAGATAGATACTGCGAAGTCTCTATCATGCCTACCCGGCATGAGAAACTCGCGCTCATGTTGGTTAAAAAAGGACAACTTTTGGTGAACACGCAACACGGATTGAGATTCTTGTGTGGCCCACAGGACGCATCACAAGTTCCATCCTCCCAGACCCAGACATTTTTGCATTTGATAGCGCGTGACCGACGAGTCCGGCGGGAAGGCGACGCCGTTCGGCGCGATTTACGCGTCTACAACAGGCGCGACGCCGCCGGGGAACTTGGGATTTGCAGTGGAGAGCGGTGCTGCTCCTGCAACTGGCAGTGCTCGCCCGTCGTCAGGTGGGCTTTTGTCGGAGGAGGCGTTGCACCTAGGGATCACGCAACTTCAATTGCAAAGAAGGCAGCGGAAGATGGAGCGGCAGATGCGGAGGGAAGGATCTAGCATGTCGACGTTCAACGCAATAAACTACCACGAGGACACGCAGGCCGTGCACAGCATTGACGACGCAGTTGTGGCACAGGATCTTCGGAGAAGCGGTTCAATCTTCGAAGGCGGAATTATTGCGAGATTGACCGACTGCGGCCTCGGAGGAGGTTCAACGTCGCCGGTGGACGACGAGCTTGGGAGGAAGGGCGGGGATAAGATCGAAATGGCGACCGAGCGAGACCCTATCATGGAATACACACCGCATGCGGGAGGAGGAACAGCGGAACGAGTAGGGTTCGCCAGAAATGTCGAGCCAGAACTCTACGCCTTCCTGACATCGAAAAGCGAGGCCGACGATGTGGTAACACCAGCGGCGGGCAGTCCGGCCGAGGGCGAGCTGGAAGATCTGCAATCCGGCAGCGCCGGTGAGCACGACGGAACAATGGAAAATAGAGCCTTCTCCGTAAACGTGCATGTGTACGAGGAGGGCGAAGCCGGTGAAGGTGACCCGGATGACTCGGGCACGGAGGTGCAGTCCTCCCTGCCGAGCAAGTCTTCCTCTAGTCACTGGGAGGAGCTCCACGAACTCCGCGCACTGTCGAAAACGAAGGACTTGACGAAAAGCAGCGGTGCGGAAGGCGAACAAAGTGATCAGAAAGCAGGAGAATCGGGGCAAGAGACTGGCACCGACTCGGAGAACAACCAGCGACCGCGGCCGGGCGAGCTGAACGTTTACGGGCGAATTTTGCAGGATCCCCGCGTGCACGATCCCCGGTCACATTTCTACGGCATGGATGTGACGAGGATCAAGTACAACGCATTTGGCCGCCCACTGCGGTGGCAGTCGGAGGAGCTGGAGGCGCAGCACCGGCAAAAGCTGTTTCGAGCCAGCGCGGGACTCGGGAACAAAAGCAAGTTCTTTCTTGCACAGCAGGAGTCCATTTACGCACAAACCTCTTCCACCGCGTTGGATGCACACGAGAAGAGTCTGCGGAGACGGGTGTCGCGGATCTCCAGCATGACGAAAACCCAGATCGCGCTGAAATCCCGTTCCGCGGTCGACCTGATAAAGGACCGGTCCATCAAAGTGCACAAGCACGTGAGTCGGAAGCGTAAGATGTCCCGCGCGGCGCAGTTCGCCGCCGCCCGGTTGATGCTGACGATGGGCGACAACAAGCAGAAGAACAAGTCGAAGGTCAGCGCACAGGGCCAGTGGCTGCGCGCGCGGGCGTTTAAGTTCGTGGAAACAACGCGGTTTCAGAACACGGTGATGTTCTTCATTGTCTTGAACGCATTCATCCTTTCCCTTGACAAGTTCCCGCCACACCAGAAGAATGTCCGAGATGTCTTTTTCGTGCTAAATCTGGTCTGCTACGCCGTGTTCCTCATCGAGGCCTTTCTGATGCACTTGGCACTGGGGTTTCAGATGTACTGGTTAAAATTAGGGACCGCGTTCGACGGCGCGATCGTCGTCGTATCGACGTTAGAGCTCGTTTTCAAAGGCGACGACGCGGCTGGATCCTCCTTGACCGCGTTCCGCGCTCTCCGGATCCTGAAGCTCGCGAGGTCGTGGCGGTCCTTCCGGCTGCTGCTGAAATCCGTCCTGGGGACCCTGACCCAGATCGGCAACTTCGTGCTGCTTTTGCTCGTCGTCATCTACATTTTCGCGTTACTAGGTCAGTCGTTTTTCGCCACGCACATGATGTTTGACCCGATGTACGGCACTTTTTTGGGCGAATGCGCCCCCATTTCGCAGCTGAAGAAAAACGCCGAGTGGTGCTACCAGCAGTGCCACATGCACGACGCGCTGCAGCAGAAACCCGCAGCGGCGCTCTCCCAAGCGACGGACGCGAGCGGCGTTGTGGTCCGGAATTTGAACAAGTGCCTGCCACGCTGGCACTTCGACGACTTCCTCTGGAGCTGCTTGACGGTGTTTCAGCTGCTCAGCGGAGACGCGTGGCACGAGATTATGTACGACGGGATCAAAGCGCGGGGGTACGGGTACGGTCTGTACTTCATTGTTGTGCTCACCGGCGGGGTGTTCGTCGTGCTAAACGTCTTCCTGGCGATCTTGATTGGCAACTTCGGTGAGCAGCAGGAGCGGGAGCAGGCCAAGCGGGAGAGGAAGTTGTTTGTCCAGCGGCGCAGCAAGGCGGTGCGAGATCTGGACGCGATTGGGAAAGAAAAGGACCGCGAGGGCGACGCTTTTATCGTCCGTTGCGCCTACGGGGTACGGGACTTGATGGTCGAGACGTTTTGCGCCGCCCCTCCGCCGTTGAAGGACCAGAATGCGGAAGCGGAAAATAAATCACGAGACAATCCAGCTGCGCTGGAAGATAGGGAGGACGAAGACGAGGATGAGCACAGCACGCCACAACAGCACGACAGACTGCCATCGCATTTGCTGAAGAAGCCTTCGCAGCCCCACCCGCTGGACGTGATTCTCGAGTCGCCCCGTCGGAGTGCGAGTGCTGAAGATCTTGCGCAAAGCCCGAGAGGTGGAAGTAGAAGTGGCTCGAAAGAAAGGCAACAATCGAGCTTTTTCGAGGCACAGCACACACTCGTCGACGAAGGAGCTGGGACGGGTGGAGACGGGGCTGCAGCTTCTGGTGGTAGTAACGTCCCTGCCGGACCGACTGCCATGTACCGGCCCTCGCGACGGATAAAATTGGTTTCCGACACTGGGGAAGCGATCCCCATTTCCAGTGACGAGTCCGGTGTCTACGCCGTGCGCGAACAACTTTCAAAAGAGTGGGACGATCAGCAGCAGGGTCCGACGAATCACACTGGCAAAAATGCAACCACTTCATCAGGACCAGGAGCGAATAAAACTGGAGCAGGGGCAGCTGACACTGCCACGACCGGCGCCACGTTCCTCGCTGGGACTACGAACCTCTACATGCTCAGCCCGAGAAACAGCGACAAGAACCTCCAGACGGACCCCACAAAAGTTTCCTCCACCCTCCCATCGGTTATCGCCGAGCAGGTGAGAGGGTTCTGCGGTTTTTTCCAGAGCATTTCCTCCTCTTGCTGCGCCGGTTGCTGCCAGTTGATCGGCGGAGACAAGGCCAGCATCTCTTTCCGAGAGTTCATGACACTGACCATCCTCCACCCGTATTTTGAACGGGTCATCTCGTGCTGTATCGTCATTTCCGCGCTGTTCATTGCGGCGCAGAATCCGCTGGAAAACCCGAACGCAGATTGGTACAAAGCAATGGATACAGGCAATCAGGTCTTCACGGTCATTTTCACGGTGGAGCTTCTCTGGCGGATCTACTGCTTCGGCCTCTTTTCCTTTCCAAACAAGCCAAACAAGTATCTGCCGCCACCATCAGGAGGAGGGTTAGCTGTTGCTTCTGCCAAAGACGGTGGCAGTACTAGCTCCGCATCCGTGATGAAGGCCGCTCAAACTAACACGACGGCTGCCGAAAATCGAGACGTCTTCGCATCGCGCGAGTCGAGTAAAGCCAGGAGTGTCCCCGGGGTGAGTTTCACGTCTTTCTACTCAGTAGAAGAGACTTCAGAAAAAAAAACCGAGAACGGCAGCAGGCCGTCCACCGTCCCGCGACTGGACTCCATCACACCCGTTTCCACACCAAAAACCACCTCCGACCAGCCGTTTTTCGAGCGCCTCGTGAAGAAAATGGAGAAAGCGACCCGGCGCGAGCGCACCAAACTGAAACCCGGCGAGCGCCACAAAATCGACCAGCGCGTCCCGTTTCTGAAGAACGCCTGGAACTACCTCGATTTGGTGGTGGTCGTCATCAGTTGGGTAGACGAATTGATGTCCCAAGCCCAGGGGGAAGGACTCTCCGGTTTGCGCGGTCTGCGGGTCTTCCGCGCCCTGCGGCCGCTGCGCATGGTGCAACGGAACGAATCGCTGCGGTTGGTGGTCGACACGATTTTTCGTGTCTTGCCGCAGCTCGGGAACATTGTGCTCGTGGCCGGCGTGGTCTTCCTGGTGTTCGCGTTGGTCGGGGTGAGTACCTTCAAGGGCTCGTTTTTTTCCTGCCAGACCTCCGAGTTCCTGCCCTACATGTACACCGCCGTGGATCCGGGGAAGAGTTCCGAGTCTCTCTTCATCGACACGACGAATTTTTACCAGAGGAGTTACTACGGTGCGACTACTTCTGGCGCGGCAAATCCGACGACCCTGCAGCCCTACAAGCGGTTCTCGAGCGACACGCCCATCTGCGTGTTGCACTGCCCGAACTCGCCCAACCCGTACTGCCATCAGGAACCCGTGTGGGGCTACCAGGTAATGAAGTGCTCGCATTGCGCCCGGGCGAACTGCCCGTCAAATATCCGCTATTTCTCCACGGACGGCTACACGGAGCCTTTGAACTCCCTTTATTCCCCCGGCCCCGGCGTGATTTCCGACCTGCGGACGCTGAAGAACTACTACCACTTAAGTGACGACGAGAGCTTTGACAGCTGTTACGACACGTGTCAAAGCGACCTCTACTTCTGCCGGGACAACCGTGACAGCTACGACTGCCTGCAGGAGTGCATCTCGCAGTGCCTCTGCTCGGACCACTGCGAACCGCTGTCCGACGACGCGGCGAACTGCGTGGAGCAGGGCGGGAAATGGTTGAACTTCTACGAGAATTTCGACACATTTCTCTCCGGGATGCTGACGTTGATGGAACTCGCAACCTTACAGTCCTACGGCGAAACGTTGTACAAGGGCGTGGACGCGCGCGGCCCGTACCTCGAGCCGCATCGGGACGAGACGAAGGGCGCGAGCTTGTTCTTCGTGCTGTTCCTGTTTCTCGGCGCGTTCTTCATTTTGAACCTCTGCATCGGGATGACAGTGGACACGTTTCACCGCGTGAAAAAGGAAGGCGGGATATCCTGTGTCAAAACGTCCCCACCCCAGAGTTGTCATGCAGATTTGCCATGACTGGAACATTTATGATGCGCAACCCCATGACAGGCATTTTCAATCGTGTTTGGGAACTTGTAATGCTGTAAACAGGATCAGCAGATCGATTTGTGATGCGGCTTTCCTTGCTAACTTGCACTACCTTACCGACTGAAACTTGTCATGCGTGACTCCCAAAACTCCTAGGCTTGTGTTGCAAAATCCCCATCTTGAATCTGGTGTGGGGACGTTTTTAATCAGGATACGGGAACCGGAGTCTGTTTCTCACCGACAGCCAAAAGTCCTGGCGGCGGTGTCAGGACTTGCTTGCGAGTCACCCGCAGTTTTTTCTTTTGACCAACCTGCAAAATTCGTACAGCAGCCAGGCGAGAAGACGGATTTTCGTTTTGGTTTCCCAGGATTGGTTCGACACGACGATCATCCTCTGCATCTGCATCAACACGATCCTGCTCTGCCTGAAAATCGTCCCGGAACCCGCGTCCGCACCGGGCTACAGCTTCGCGCTGGAGCTCGGGAATTTGATATTCCTGGTCGTTTTCAACGTCGAGCTTTTCCTGAAACTCTATCCAGGAAAAAACACCCATCATCCCCATCCAATTTGTCATGCAAAACATGCATAAGCTGCAGTGTTTGCGATGCAAAAAATGGATGGGGATGGGTGTTTTTTCCTGGATGAACTCTTCGCCATGCGCGTCGCCTACTTCGAGCTCGGCTGGAACCGCTTCGACTTCCTCTGCGTGCTGGCCTCCGACATCGGGTTCGTGCTCACCGCCGCCTTCACGTTTGTAAACGACGCCGCGGTGACCAGTTTGGTGGTGCTACGGGTGTTCCGCGTGGCGCGGTTGTTTCGGTTGGCGAGGTTTTTGAAGGGGTTGAACCAAGTGTTCACGGCCTTCGTGTTGTCGATTCCGAAGCTGTGCAACGTCGGGGGGCTGGTCACGCTGTTGCTCTTCTTCTACACGATCATTGGCATGCACTTGTTCGCCAAAGTGCAGCAGTTCGGGTCCAACGTGACCATCTTATGCATTGCAAAAGTATCGTACTCGTATGAATGCAAGTCTTGCATTACAAATCATTTTCTTAAGGCAAATCCGCATTACACATTTTATTTCTCATGCTGAGGCAGGAAATTTGTAATGCATTTATACGAGTGGGAGTGCGATACTTTTGCAGTTCATACATCTCGCAACACAACGAATACGCAAACTTCCGCACCTTCTGGAAGGCGTTCATGACTCTTTTCCGTATAAAATTTTTGAAACGGGCTGTTAGTTTTCGTTTTGACACTGAAGATGAGTTTGGATTCGCTTGCTTATTCTTCTTGTTTATTAACATGAGCTAGGGCTAGCATCCATCTTCCTCATGCTTACGACAGACTTTCCGTGATATTCCTTCACAACAGGTTGCGTGACCGGGGAAGGTTGGAACACGTTGATGCACAATTATGCTGCTGATGAGTACTTTTACAAATCGATCATTGAGAAGCAGTGTGTCTCCTACATGGACGTCGCGAACAATTATGACTACTACGACAAGGAAAAATTACTCACCAACCCGATTGAGTGCGGCACTCGCTACAGCTACTGGTTTTACCTCTCCTTCGTTTTCGTGGTCTTGATGCTGGCCCTGAACCTTTTCATCGCCGTGATTTTCGAGGCCTATGACGAATCCAACCAGGACGACCAGGAGTTTCAGGACGTCGCCGATCACTGTCTGAAATCGTGGCAGCAATACGATTTAAAGTGCACCTGCTACCTCGATTTGGACGACGCACTAGTCTACATCGACAAGATGCTGCAGCAACTGGACAAAATCGACCCGAAGTGGAAGCAGTACGCCACGGAGAAGTTGGAGTGCGACCCCTCGCTGTGGAGTTTGTCTTTCGCGAAATCGCTTTACCTCCGGATCGACGTGGACCGGCAGGTCCCGGTGGTCGCTTGCGTGTTGAGCATCTTGCGATTTCTGATCATCCACGGGGACAGCGGTGTGGAGTCGACAGACGCAACGACATTGGCGGACCAACAGGAAAAGCACATGGAAGTGCTAAAGGAGTTGGAGCAGATGAATGATGAATTTTACGCCGCATCGGATTCATCCATGTCTCTAGCAGCATTCGGGAAAATGCTCAGCCCACGGAGAAAGCGAAGCAGCGACGCTGGTCATTCTGGGACCAGGCAGGGCAGTAATGTCAGCGTGGTGAGCAGCAGAACGCCGTCGAACGTCGGCGGAGGAGCAGGACAAGAAGGGGATAGTACAGGTGGTCAACAAAGCCAGCAAAAGGTGCGGAAATTGATCCCGCTCGAATTCCACGTGGCGGCGTCAAAAATTCAGCGGATTCGGAGGGAAATCGTTGTGAACAGGAAAATGAGAGCGACAAATAGGGCGAGCAACGCTAACTTGTTCAGTGGTATCGCTTTTGCAGTTGATTGACTGGTGTGCAGCCATGTGGTCAATAAATTTTGGTTTTCCGTGATTTTGGTGTGCATGTGTATCAAAAACAACTACGACGATCACAGCTATACCCTAAGGGTCCAAAACATAGAAGTACTTATTCCAGCATCAACTACGAGTGAATTCGGAGAAGATGTTGCTCACGCTTATTGCATGTTTTCTTTTCCCAAAAAAAACGAGAAAGAAGAGCGCTCGACGTTGAAGATTCCCCGTCGCAGTTTCCGCTTGACGAGGTCGCGTGTTCTTCTGTATTTGCTTTGCGCCATGAGCATGATCTTCTTCGTCTTCGTCTGTTTCGTCTGCAAGTGTCGTCAAGATCATCATAATTATTTCGTACGGAGCTGATTGTTGCCCTGGTTATCCATTATGTTGTATTTGCCAGTGCTGCATCACGTTCATCATTCATGCCTCTCCGCTCGTTTCGTTCCTCTTCTTCGTACTCGTCGTTCATTGACGTTGCACTCCGTCTGTCGTTCCACTGGTGGTTTCCGCTTTGTGCGACACTCGTTCCAGCTCTTTACTTCTATCTGCATCACACTACTTAAAAATAGAAGACCGGCGCAACCGATTGCCGCGACTAGAAAACGCACATTAATAAGCAGAAAACAAAAAAAAGCGACGTGGTCGTTTCCACTTCCCTCTACTAGAATTCAACGCTTAACCTCCAAAGGAAGGAGACGCGGTACTAGTCTGCAGACTGTCAACATAGACATAGTCTTCAAGAGGAATCTCAAGCACAAAGAACTCCATCGCGACTCAATAAAAAGGTCTTCTAAAAACCAACGCGACACATCGTCAGCTCCAAGAAGCACGACAAAAATGTCCACCCAGTCGACTTTCAGCACCATTGAGGTCCGGCGTCAGCCGCCCACCAAGGCCGTCTTCAACGGCATCCTGCGTCACCAGGGCCGCGCGTCGGTCAGCAGTGTCGACGTGAAGGACAGCTCCAAGGCGCTGGTGGACTTGCTGCAATCCAAGGATGCCGCCTACGAGCTCGGGCGCATGCACTTCTGGGGCGGCATGGAAGGCACCCAAGGGCCGTACGCTGTGTTTACGAAGGAAGGCAACCGCGTCACCATGAGCGCGTTTTACCACAAGACTGAGGTATCTATAGCACTTCGTTCATCACGAATAGCAATGAACTTAAACGTGAAACAAAAATGAAATTGGAAATCCAAGAAATCGAAACTATAATTTGTTGCAGCTGGTGCTAATTCCAATTCCAGCATGGATCAAGACCTTATTGAAGGAACCAACTAGAAGTCCAACGTTGGTGGCACACGACGACATAAACCAATGTCAAATATAATTGTTCATCAAAACATAAACAGCATTCCCCGGGTGACTTTTGCGAGCGCGTTCTGGGGAGCGAGGGAGCAGGCAATGCGAGCAAGGAGGTTTGCAACACATCCGTGCTGTTCCAGCCCGAGTTCATGGACCGCAAGGCCCGCACCGCCATTCCCTGCGTGGTGACGCGCACGCTGATGCCGCTGAAGAACCAAGCAGGCGCCGTGAACTGGATGCAGACCAACCAGGCGAAGTTATGGGAGATGATGCAGCGCACCGGCGCGGCGCAGGTCTACTTGATCTTCGGCGAAAAAACCGCGGCAATGGGCGGTGTCTACATGACCGCGGAGGGCGCGAAAGCGGCGGCCGAGACGGCAAAAACGATTTTTGCCGACTTGGCGCCATACGCGGCCGGACCGCCGTCGGATCGCACCCTGATCCACGATGCGTGCTTCTTCTGGAAGTGAGGAAGATGGTATAAGAAAATGAACTTCTGTTGTACCCCAGCGGAAGTCTAAAAAATTTTGCGTTTTTCATCAAAACAAAAACTAACACAAGCTGGCTCTAGCTCAACATAAGTATCACGTTCGAAAAGAAAACAAATTCAAACATATTCATGTGATTTTGTACCTAGTAGTAGCCGTCCGGGTCGCATAAAGAGCGGACAATAATTGCGGCCTTGCTTTCGATACCCTCGATGTGAGGAACCGCTGTGTCTTTTTGTGTTTTGTGCGATTCCCGACCCCGGCTACGGCTTCTGTGTTATTTTTGCTGTAGTTTTTGTCTACCCACGTCAACAGAAACACAATCACAACCAAACAAAGTAGAAGCTCTGCATAGCAGCAACTCGCTCCATTCAAAAAAATTATCTTTTTTCATCCCGGCTTTATTCGGAACCCAGTTACAGTGTACTTCACGCTAAGTATGATTCTGCAAAATCATATTAAATCGTACTGTTTCATCAGATTCAGTTACAGTTTTCTGACAACATCATGTTGAAAAACACGTAAATCGATAGGATTAGGAGGAGATGAAACAACCACCGCTACGTGTACATGTAGTTGTCATTGCCATTGGGTGGCGGAAAAAAGTGTTCTGCGCCAGGAACAAGAGAGATCACATAGACATAGATACAACTTAATCTTCCGTATTGGAGAGGTGAAATTTTGAGAAATTTCATCAATTAGAACGAGTATTTCTCAATTCTCATGAGTTGCATCTTTCTAGCCCCTCTTGATCTACGTCTATGCCTGCTCTACTTGCGGATTGTCCCGGAAACATTGTCGTCCACATTGTTGCTGGCGCCGCTGCACTGTCAACAGGTCTCTGATGATGTATTTCTAGTTTTCCTCGTCGTAGAGTAGAATATGAATATGAGTAAGAATCGCATCCGCATCAAAAACTAAAATTCTAAGTGCTTTTTTATCAGATGAATACATCGGTAGTGACGGGGTTGTCCTCTACTTCACCCTCGGTTGTAATGACCGCATACTAGCCCAGCAACGGTGCCCCTTTGGTCCTTTCGCAGTTTCATTCTCCCAGAGGTAAAAGAGGTCCTTGGCTTGTGAATCTCCCGCCGTCCTCTGCGTATAATTACCTAAACGACAAAGAGCCCGGCAGCATGGTGGACGTGGACGCTACCAGTCTGACGATCACCGTCGTTGCCGCCTTTTTCCTCTGCGCGCTGGCGGTGGGCGGAGGCGTAGGAGGTGGGGCGCTCTACATGCCAGTGTATGTTGGCCTTCTCAACGACGCACATTTGGCGGTGCCGCTCGCGAAGATAACAACAAATGGTAAAAGGTCATATGTGGTGAAGAATAAGTTTAAGTTGTAGAAGAGGTTTGTTCTTTCGCGTACGCCTTCTTGTCTTGAGTTTGCGCTTTACTTATTTGTAAATTCAAGAGAATGAGAATGCAGAAATGATCAAGATGAATATCAACCATTTGTTCGCAGGTGTCGCCTGGTCCGCGTTTTTCTTCAATCTGTTTGCCCGACACCCCGACGACAGCAGGCGACCCTTGATCAACTACGACGTGGCACTGATTATGGAGCCCCTCACGCTCATTGGTACCATCATCGGCGTCGCACTCAACGTGATACTGACGTCAGGTATGTTGAGTTGTTCCCATGTTGTTTTGCAACGCGTAGTGTGAGCAAATGATTGGGATTGCTCTTTTATTTTTCCTTGCTAGTATTTTTCTTTTTCTTTGTCTTTCATTTTCTTTTCTTGGTCGGTGATTCTTGAACGAATTCGAAATACGGCAGGCCACGTTCTCTTCACACTAGTCACGGTTCTGGGATTCACCGCCTACCGGACCCTGGAGAAGGGTTGCAAACAGAGAAATAAGGAACTTGCGTTTTTGAAGGATAGAGCGGAGGCGACGGGAATATCGTATAGTCAAGCAAGAGCTTGAGCTTGATGCTCATATTTTGCTTTGGATGATGATGAATTTGCAGCGATGCACATGCAAGGATAAAAAGCAAGCGCGCTCGCGAGAAAGTTTGGTCCTCGCAAAAATTTGGATTTGACGAAACTCAAACTTCTCCTTTTCCAGGTCCGCTCCTTCCTCCGCAGTCGAGCTGCCATCCGTCACGTCCCAACAAGAGCGCGCTGCGCTGCTTGGAACGGAAACCGACGATTCCTCAAACCCCGCTCCCAGATGGTTTCCAGTGGACAAATTTCTCACTATGGTGGGCCTGTGGGTGTTTCACTGTGCCTGTCTGTTCTACGCCGGCGGACCCTTCGCCATAGCCTGCGGGGAGCCGCAGGAAAAGGCTGCGATAGTGCTGAACTTCCTCGTGCAGCTCGGGTTCACGCTCTACTGGCGCAGAAGGTGTTTGAACTTACAGGAAAAGAAGCGCAACGACGCGGCCCTACTCGAAAACGATTTTGCCGCGACGACAACCGCTGGCACTGGTCAACGGCACCTGGTTCAGGAAAATTTCCAGTTCGGCACCATGAACACCCTCGTCTACCCCTTTCTGAGCGGCGTTGCGGGTGTATGCGCGGGCGCGCTGGGGATCGCGGGCGGGCTGATAAAAGGGCCACTTATGGTGGACTGGGGTTTGGCCGCGCAAAGTGCGACGGCGACGGCCATCTTCATGATCATGTTCACCTCAAGTTCCACGATCTTGCAGTTCGTGATCCTGGGCCGACTGGAGCTGAAGATAAGCCTTCTCCTCTGGTTTACCGGTTTTGGCGGCGGCCTGCTCGGTTCCAAAATGGTCGCGAGTGTGCTGAAGAAATTCGACCGGCAGAGCTTCGTGACCTTCTTCCTCGGGTTCATCATCGTCGCGTCCGCGCTCTGCATGTGCAGCGTCGTCATCCTGCAAATGCTGGACATTTTCCCGCAACCACACTCAGATAAGGACCTGGACTATTGCTCATTGGCCGCGCTGCACTAAGGCAAGAGCTGGGTCCACTGTCCATCTTGTCCTGGTGTTTTCCTAACGCAAGGCTTAGGCTAAAGCAGGAGGGGAAGGTCGCCGTCGGCGGTGTCGTTTTCGTTGCAGCTGCGCTTCCTGCAAAACAAAAGATCGGGGACAACATCTCTGGGGGAAAAGAGAAGCGCAATAACCTCCTCGTCCTGCTCTGGAGCACCGTTGGAACGCAGCCGCGATACCGCCGTTCTGTCCCCGTTGGAACAAACGCAGTCAGAGCCTGGTGGTCATACCCCGGAAAGGAGGTGGCCCAGCAGCTGAGGTGGTTCTGAAGGTGGAATGAGAATGACGAGGTAGCTGTGGAGGACGGCAATTGACAAAGAGAAAGAAATTGAAGATCAAGACGACTTTTTCAAAAAACGCCGGAATAAAATTGCCTAATTTCCAGCTTGAAAGAAATAAAGACAAAGAGTTGTAGACCTTCACATTGCGCATCGATCCAACTATATCTAAGGACGAATGCTGCCTTTAACATCAATCCGCTGATGAATGCTCAAGAAGAAGTAGAAAGCACCTTTGTTCCGAGTACGCTGCGCACATCTACTAGCAGCAGTGGCACACGACCATGGAAGACGTCCTTGTGTCCTTGTGCTTCTGCTTGTTCTCGTTCCCTGAATTCTGCTCCTCGGCACAATTGTGCAACAGTATCACGACCACACTAGCCAGTGTTTGAGCTTGAGTTTCTCGTCTGTAATACCCGGCGCTGACCCTGTGCTCGTGCGCATCGAGCGTTTTGAGTCATACCAAATGGCGCGAGGCGGCGTTTCGTTTCGTGTTCGTGCAGCCGCAGCACGCGCTGCTGAACTGCTTTTGCTGCAATGCTCCACCTCTTTGTTTTCCCCGACGCCATTGTTGTTCTTTAGCGGGGGACCACGAGGAGTCCATGCAATGAAGAAGAAAATTGAAACGGACAACCACGGCACGATGGAGATCGACGTGGAGGATATCCACAGGAATGAAACTCATACCCATCCAGTTTGTCGTGCAAAACATACATGAAATCCTGTCTCTGTCATGCAAAAAAGGGATTGGGACGGTTTTTGTCTTCTGTGGATAGAGGACGACGAGTTTTTCCAGATGGGCGTGGACATGCACGCCCGCGGCGACTTCCCGTACCCGGTGAAGATTGGTTTCGAGAAGGCCGAGCGCGAGGAGGACGGCGCCTGGATCACGAAAAACTGGCGGAAGTGGAAGACCGAGCTGGTCACGCACGCGCTCGCCTCCTTCGGGCCGCACGAGTGGAAGTTTTTCCGCACGAAATGGCTTCCGGGGAACAAGAAATTAGTTGGGGCGAAGAAGGTGGACAAGATTCTCAGCGACTTCAAGCGCCACCGCTACTGGTACTACTACGACCCGGAGGGGGCGAAACAGCAACAGAAGCGGGACAAGGAGGTGAAAGAAGCAGCGAAGAAGAGGAAAATGGAAAAGCTGAAAACCTCGACGACCACGACGTCGACCACTACGGCCTCCGTCGGTCAGGCGAAGAAAAACTCAGCGAAAACCGCGGGGAAAGAGGCGAAAAAGGGAAAACAGCAGGACAAAATCGTCAAAGAAGATGCTGAAAATAAAGATAAACTCGCTGCTAGCATCAAATTCGTCCCTGAGGAGCAGAAGAATGAGAATGGCGCTTCGAGTGTGCCTGATCTAGAGCTCCTGCAACAAGAGGAGAAAATGCGGTATGGCGGCAAGAAGCCACCAACACAAGTGACTTTCAACACGAGACCAAAAGACCCCGATGCGCGGGACAGTGACGCGGACGAGGATTTTGAACTCTGGAATCACCGGAGCAAGCACGCAAAGGCGAAGCGGAACGCGCCCAAGGCGGTAAAGGACAAGTACTTTGCGAAGGGTGGTAAGACCTGGGCGGAAGAGCAGTTGGAGAAGCAACGGAAACGTGACGCAGATCTGGACCAGAAAATCAAGGAGGAAAAGCGGCAGAAAAAGGACAAGAAGTCGAAGGACGATGAAGGTACAGCGAAGAAAAATAAAGTGGAGAAAACGTCGAAATCCAAAGCGGACCAGGAGGCAGAGGACCAAAAGATCATCAAGAAGGCGGCCGAAGAGAACCAAAAGATGGAAGAGAGGTACACTGCAGCGGCAAAGAAAAAAAAGAAGGAGGCTGCGGAACAGGCGGAGAAGAAAAAGAAGCAGGACGAGGAGACTGCGAAAGAGAAGAAACAGCATGAGGAGGCGGAAAAAGAAAAGCAGGAGGAAGCGGAGGCCCAGAAGATTGAAGAGAAAGCTGAAGCGAAGCGCAAGCACAATCTGGCGCTGGACTATGCCAACAAACTCGTCCAACAGGCAAGTGCTGACTATGAAAAGAAAAAGGCAGCTGCGGAGAAGAAGGAGTCGCAGAAAAAGAAGAAAAAGGCGGCAAAAAGCGTCAAGAAACCAGCGAAGACTGTCAAAGGTGAATTGTGACGAGGTGGCGCATGTTCTTGTTGAGACGAAACATGAACAAACGCACAAGGAATTACTTCGTAGAAGAATGTCATTTTCTGATGATCATTCCGTGTTTGTTAAGATGAACCTGTACCAAGTAGGGAAAACTTTTGACAAGGGAATTGAACTCATGAACCACAACTGCAGAGGACAAGGGTGGTGGTGAATTTTTTCAACTCACGATTGCTGTCATCTACACTAAATTATTTCGCAACCTCGAAATGTAAAAAATATCCAGAGCTCCTTCTAGAAACCGCACAAATTACATTGAACTTCGAGTTGCTTTGCTTTTGCGAAAAAGGGAATCGAAATTTTCATTTTGCATGAACAAATGAAACACCGAGAAGTAATACGAAAGGAAGCAGCTGCCTCGACAAAACGGCGACAAAATCAAGGTCGTGCCATTTTAGTTGCGTTCTGTTTGTTTTGGGATGGAGCAGCCTTCTCGTGGTCCTGCTGCAGCTTCAGGTGCTCCTGCTCTCGGAATGTCCAGATCAAGCCTCGCCTAGTTTACTTCGAAGCATGTTTACCTAGACAAGGACGTGGACGGCCTAGGCAGTGCCAGTGCTAGAGACAGAACCGCCAGTCGTGGTCAAGAAAGAAAAAGTAAATCTAAATAGTACTCTTGAAATAACGACGATCTTGGTGTAGAAGTGCCCTGCTTCCGAGGAGGAGACGAAGACAGAGATCTGATGATTATCGATCGAACTCCGAAAGTTATCAGGAGGATCCAGATGTGGCACGAGATACGTGACGACAAAAACGATGTTGATGTAGTTTTGCTTTTGCCCGAGCCAGTCTTACTTCACTTTTTCCTCTCTGCGTACCGTTCAGCCAGCACAACTTCGAACAAGAGTAACAGCGAGGTATGCGACTAATGGTAATGGAGACCACGACATAAGTAGAAGTAGTCTGTGAATGCAGAAATATCGATTTCGATAGTGCTTAATCACGTGTAGCGCAATAAGGTAGCTGTAGAGCCTTAGAGGCTGCATGTTGGCGTTCAACATGATGACGCACTAGCGGCAAGTAGCTGAGAGCTTCTCCAGGTCCAGAGCGACCAGAAAATAATGAGTAAAAGCCAGAAGATTCCGACGTTTGGTCGGAAGACGACCACCACACCGTACGAAGATGACGCGAATGCCGCAGGAGCTTCTTCAAGTGGCAACGCAACTAGACCAGGGAATAAAAATGCGCAGAACAAAATCGTCGAAGAGCGTCTGGCTGCATTGAAAGATCTGTGGAATCGCCAAACCAGGAAGAGCTGGACGGGCTTGGCGAAGGGAGTTCTGCGTTACCGATTTGAAGACAACGTCAACGGCAAGACCACGGCAGGCGTACCCGAGGTTCTCATCCTGCAAGGGCAACGGAAAATCAACGTCGGCGAGTCGCTGGCCGTTGAAGAAGCATTGCATCTCGCCGAGCGCGACAATCTAGCTGTTTTTGAAGTCAAAAGAGACGACGAGCAACATCAAGACAAAGCCTATGCCCTGCATCGTGTCAGCCTGCAGAAACTTTACAGTCTCGTGTGCGCGTCGATTGGCCTCGATTCTTACGTGGTCTATGGAAGACTAAGGCGTGCCGGCTACATTATCTCGAGCAGTCCGAATCAGGGAAATGCTAAAGCTGCGTCCAAGGAGCTGCATGCAGCTGGCGAGAAAAAGTCGCGAGCCTCCACCGGGTCTTCAGAAGTTGTACAAAGCAAGAAAATGGGCCAGGCAGGCTCAGGCGCTATCCTTGAAGCAGAGAAGAAGGCAGGGCCTTGCTCTAGAGACGAGCGCGGTGACACTGCCACGGCAGCGGAGAGTAAGCGCGCCAACCCCGAGGCTGGGGGGAAGAAAGCTAAGGCACCGGATCAGGGCATCGGGGTAGAAGAGGCTTTCGTAACTTTGCTTTCAACCTCTCTTGCGGAACGGGCCAAACGAGAACTCGAAGGCATAAACAAGCTGAAGCAGGAGAACGGAGCAGATATCAACACAAAGACTGCAAGAACAAGTCTGAGCGAACAAAATGAGCATAATGTTAATCCCAGGAATCCGGCGCCGGCGCCGCAGTTCCCGTTGTATTTTGTGCCAGAGCCCATTGTACTCACTGATGCGATTCCAGAGATTCCACCCGAATTTGTGGATCGCCGAGAGGACTCCGCGCCGCTACCCAGTGCGCACTCACCGTCAGCTTCCAGTCGAAAGCGAATTCGCGAAGAGCACGAGACTCATGATGTTGTGCAGCAGAAAGACCATTACTTTTCTGCCCGACCCGTAGCGGGAAAGCCAAAACATTGGACAGTTTCCCAAGCAAACCAAGGAAAAAAACGACTTTCCGAATCGCGCAGGCCCTTGGTGATTCGGGACGGGCATGCGGCCTTTGATATAGAGCTGTCTGGCAGCGACAACCCAACGTATGTAGCCCTTTCAAACAACGGCGAAGTAAACTGTCTAGAAGCGCTCCCGGTTGATTTTGGGATATAGGAAATGAAGATAAACGCCAACAACTGCTGCAGGCAGTGCGTGCCTTTTAACTATTTTTTATTTTTGATGAGGCATCTATCAGTAGCAGTATAGCGAAGAGTAAGCGACAAAGGAACCATGAAAAGAAACAAGAAGCGAAAAAGTAAAGCAGCTGCACCAGATAGATTCAGCTCTTCAGCAAAAAGATGTTCGTCTTGAGGTTGAGACCGATGCTTATTTCTCTCGGTAAATCAGTTGCGATTTGAACTCCAACTCGCATCGGTTGTTCTTCATCACGTTTCGCGTATCAATGCCTACCAGTACTACTGGATAGCCTTCGGTTGGAAGTCATTTTCTGTCGGTTGATCGTGCTCTTTTGTTGCTTCTCTCGTAGGTTGTCATGAGCACCACACTTTCGCTTCCACCCATTACGCTTTCTCGGTTTTCAGAACGTCCACGTCGACACACGCAGATAGATTGTCGGTCCATTCTGAGTAGAACAAAAATATAGGAGAAGAAACTTCGGCGGTATCGCGGCACACAAAACGTTATCGGAGTACCAGTTGCGCCACTTTGCATTTTTGTTTCCAGCCGACTCCAGTAAGTATCTTCACCAGGAGCGCCACTCTTCCCGCACGGGTAGAACGAAGAACCCTATTCGACACATGACCCCCTAGTAAAGATTGTTTCTCTAGTACCCCCACGACTGCAATCTTCGATTAGCTGTTTTTTTTCGGACGAGGTGCGCAGTACAAGTACAACTAGCCACCTGAAGTTGAAGACCTCCTTACCCTTCGAAGAATCAATAGCTACGCCGACATTATGGCTCCTTGCATAGTGCGTGCGACAGACCTGCCGCCACGGCGGAGCGAGGGAGGCGGGTTTATCATCGCAGACATCCTGTCGGCCTATGAGTACAACGAGACGGACCCGTTCCTCATCTGGCACGAGCTCCCCAAAAAGCACATGGCGCGAGGCGAATTCCCCGGAGCGCCCATGCACCCCCACCGAGGTTCATCATTTGAGTCTTGTTCGTAGAAGTAGTTATCTGCGTGGATCGTGATCTTCAATAGGAATAGCAACGCTGACGCACCACAACTTAGTCGTAATATTGAATCCTCTAAAAAAGGAGCTTGTTGTATTGAAACCGCCCGGAAAGGACGAGCGGAAAAGTGAATGTGTGTGAGCATGGAAAAAGGAGCATCAACATAAACATAAAGATGCAACATCGAGCTAGAGGCGTTTGTCGTGCTTCATCGTCCATTTTCTGAGTCGTGCGCAACGGATTTTTCTGAGAGCAAATGAGCAACTATTTTCAATCCAGGTTTCAGCGAGGTCCCTTATTTCAAGCGGATGGGCGAGACGAAGTACACAAGAAAAGTGGCCGGAAAAGAGGTCGACGGGCGCATGGGGGACGGGGACGTGGAGTGGGGAATGGCGGCGCACGGCATCGAGCACGGCGTTGTGGTGGACAGCAACTGGTCCGGCGAGATGCACGGCTTCCAGCTGTGGGTGAATCTGCCTGACAAAAACAGAATGGATCCCCCGGAATTTCAGAACGCCGCATCCGCATCCATGCCGGTATTTGACTACCCGAAGAGCAACTTGAAGTGTAAAGTTCTCGTCGGGGAGCTCTGCGGCAACAAGAGCCCAATCCAGCCAAAATTCACGGAAGTCAACTACTTCGATTTCGAGATGCGGCCCGGGGGCTACAGCAACCCCGCGCAGGTGAGCATCCCGCTCGTCCACGTGAGACGGATCCTGTACTGCTACAGCGGCACGCTCTGCATCTGCCCACAGGAATCCCAAAACGTCCACCACCAGCCCCCGGAAGCTGGGCGGGCCAGAGCAGATGGGGCGATACAGGTATGACGATAAGAGGAACGCATTAGAAATGATGTTGAGCATGTTCATGCTATGTGGGTGGCGTGCAGGATGATTTCAACATGTGATAAGTTTTTTGTGTTGCGCTTTCACTTCCTTTTCGCTAGCAGGTTGCTGGTCGACTTATTCTTTTCCGTTCGTGTTTTAGCCGAAGCCGAAGCCCTCGGTAAGTTGACAGCAAGAAAATAATCAACACCTCGCACCAGCCGACAACCGCGTCTGCGCATTCCGCTCCGCATCCTTCCGCGCAGGGCGACGAAGCGACCTTCAGAAAGGTGTGCGGTCGATCTTCATCTTCCTGCGTTCCAATTTGCATTTGGCGCACAGCCACAGTGTCAGTTGTTTTTGCGTTCATTCTTGCGCGACCCGCATGAAAATGATTTTTGCAGGGGATGGTTGGCGTTCATCATACACATACTTATAGTACTTAACGACAAAAATTTTGTCACAAAATATGAAAGAAATTAAAAATAAATTCATACTCCAACAGATCCACACCGGCGAAGTTGCGATGCTGGGCGAGCACGGCGACGAGCTTTTGTTGTCCAACATGTCCGAAGACTGCATGTTTCTCCTCATTACGGGAACCCCGCTCCGAGAACCCTGCGTGCAGTACGGACCATTCGTGATGGGCAACAAGCAGGACGTCATGCAGGCGTTTTCCGACTTCCAAACGGGCAAACTGACCGAGAAGCCGGCGAAGTACACTAGGTATGGGTACTAGAAAATAGAGGCAGATGAACCAGAAGCAGAGCATCACCTTCATCAACACGAGGCTGTTTGTAAGAGTTGGTTGCACAACGAACGTGACAGGAGAAAAAAATAATGGAGTGGAGGAGTTTATGTGTATGATGCAACAAGAGCAGGAGCACGTGAGTTGATTAGCTGCTTTTCTTTCTTCATATGTACGATTCTCTTCTTCACGAATCACGATCACAAAGAAACCAAGCCAAAGCCCGCAGTGGATGACCACCATGTAGTTGAATCAAGGTTAGCTGCCTCAGGATGTACAAATACAATTTGGATTGGACTATCCTGCATCGACCATGACACATAAACATACATGATGCAGCAGCGCTTACGGTGAGTGGCGGTGACGACTGCCCAACACAAAACATTTAGATTTACGACCTTGATGAAAGATAAAGAAATAGAAGGAGCGGAGGTTCTTGTCTATCTTTGTGCTAAAGGGCCATCGCGGGTGCTTCTTTTTGCGATTTTGTTTAAGGATTCGTGTCGGTCCCTCTACTCTTTTTTTCGACGCTTGAGGTGGAGATGATTCGGCAGTACTTCTCTGCCTGACCAACAAATCTTCGACATCGGCTGCATGAGAAATGTGCATCCCTTTGTCGGTGATTTGTCATTCAAGAAGAGTATAATCTATCCGCAAGAAAAACAAAGAGCTCCGGTGTCGGTCCTGATCTGGGAAAAATGAAAATCAGTAACGGAGAAAACGATCGTCCACCAGAACCAAAATCTTCGGTAGAGCTAGATGAGGGGAACAGAATGCAGTTATTGAAATTTGATCAGGCATAATTGTGATGATCCGATCTGAAGCTCCTTTGCAAGTCGGTAATAGAAGTTTTGTTCTAGAGAAATAGCTCTTTCTCTTGTACGAGTGGTACGAGTTGCCTGATCCAAGAAAGTGCTGATATAGTAAAAATTATGATCCACCTTCCACTTCTCCTGATCGGTCGGACAAACCACGAAAATGCAGAAGTACACGTCGGGATGTGGGCTGTACGCATTGACATGCAAAATTTTGTTTTTCGGATCTGGTGCCAAAAGCATATTTCCATTTTGGTAAGTGAATCTGTCACGCCATTCCACAATCTGAACAGCGGCATTTCTTTTTCCAACATCATCAAAACCCCAATAACTTTTTTTTTCCGTAAGTGTTCTATCTCGACGCAACAGAAGCACATAAGTAGAGTCTGAGTACAAAGTATAAAAAAGTTCATTTTTTTCGAGGTTTTCCTTGCGCTGCTCTCCAGCAGAGGTGGGCCGGGAGGCGTGCCTTCCGCTGATATTCTCAAGCCATTGGAACATCATTTCGTCAAAACTGAGAAACGGGAGCACGACAGGAACTCACCAAAAAAGTAGCAGCGTCAACAAACCGTAGCATAAGACTACGGGGAGTGGTAAGCGCATACGCACTGGCTAAAAGTAAAAACATTTTGAAAACCTCCTCTAAAGAAATTCTTATCCTCCTGTCTTTACCTCGATGAGTACAACCATGGCAACTCACTGTAAAATCATGACGACGCGCCACCTCAAGACTTTTTGATCTCGGCCCGGCGTTCAGCGAGGTCTCTTTTTTTGTAAATTCGTCTCCCGTCGTCTCTCTTGCCGAAGACAGCTTCAGTGCATCCGGTCCGCTACTGACACAAACTCTGACGAACTCCTGGAGTCTGGGATCGATCGGGACCGAGAAGTTGATGTATTGAAAACGTACCACGACCACGAACACGTCTACAACTGGCAGGCAAAAATCAATTTCTGACCACAGGAGTAAGCGTGACACCGAAAGAACGATAGAACGACACCAACAGCAACAGATTCCCCGAAGATAAAAATTGGAAAGAGGAAAGCGGAACCCAAACGAACCCCAGTGGAGAAACGACGTGACTACAGGCATATTCTTATCAACAGCCGCGTCAAGAACAAGAAGGCGTTAAGCTTCTCGGCCGAACCCGGCGTGCGCAGAGGTGTTGATCACGAAGAAAAGTTCTCTCGAAAAAATAAAAATGGTCGAGGCAACGACGTCGACCGGGCGCCAGGCGTTCAGCATCGAGCACCAGCAGAATGGTGGCGGTGTGCCCAGTCCTCGGACGGCACTACAGGCGAACTCAATACGAGGCGGAGTTGCAGCAGCAGCAGCTACTACTACATCAGCATCCAGCTCGTCAGTGAAAGGGAACCCCAAAGCTGGAAGAAACGACAAGAACAGCAGAATCGTGATGTGCGTGCTGATTTTTTGTGTCTGCCTCGTTTTGTTCCTGTTTATCATGCAGATGAGCTTGATGGGGGCGACCTTCCAGCAAAGGCACGCACCACAAACGCAGGAGGAGCGCGAAGCGGAGCAGATGCGGGCGTTAGAGGAGCTATTCGACTCCGGCGAGGGCCCCACCATGAACGGCAGGAAAGTGAAAGTCGTGATCCGCTTCAACGGCGGCGGTGGCGCCAAGCTTCGGGGCGCCGGCCACGCGCTCGACGGCCTGGACGACGGCCTGCGGCAGTTGCTAGAGGGCAGTGCGAACCGCATCAGCGGTTCCTTGCTCCCCCATGTCCACGAGGTACACGGAAAAGAAGATCACAAAGAAATCAAGCACAACGAAGGAGGCGGCCAGATAATACGTATTTTACGTTTCATTTTTTGTACATAGCTCTTGGTGTTGTTGATGTTTTGAAAAATCCATTGTCTTGTAAATATGCATATGGTCAGCTGTGTAGTTCGAGCTCCATTCATTCTATTGATTGTTTCAAAAACTTGGTTCCGACTCCGAGCCACGAAGAGTTTTGAACTCTTTCTTCGCAGCTGCAAGAAAACACGACGTATTTATTCCACTTGTCCAATTTTTATCTTTACAGGCGTTACCCGGCGCATGAGCAACCCCTTCGTTTCCGCTGGAAATCCTTTTGACATGTTTGGCGGGGGCGAAGACCCGTTTGGCGACCCGTTTGCCGCCACCGAGGACCCGATTGAGGCCATGATGCAGGCCGCGCTCGGGGAAGCCATCGGTATGGGCGGTGGGGGCCCACCGGGGCATCAAATGGTAATGCACTCGGGGAACCACGACAACCATGCCGTTCGTGTGGTGCGGCTCGGGAACCCGCAGGAGGCGATGGACTCGCTGTTTCCGATGATGATGCTCTCTACCCTCATGGAAAGCGGGATTTTGTCGCACATCATGAAGGACCTGTCCAGCAAGTACGGCAACGCGCCCAAGGAGTTCAAGGATCCGGTCACCGACGCCCTGCTGGACGAACCCGGGTACATCTACTGGCCCAAGAAGGACACGCTCTGGAAAGAGCGGGCGTTCGAAATCCACCAGATCAAACACTGGTATAAGGAAATAAATCGAAATTATGTCTAATGCTGAATATTGACCAAGGTATGCCCATGCGTTGTATTTTTCAATTTCATCGCGCGAACAAGTAGATGAAGCGGCCCTCGCCCACCTGCAGTGCGGTCATACAATTGTCTTCGTGGTGGGCTTTGTCTTCGTGGTGGTCTTCGTGTTGAACTTGAAGTGCACGTTGTGCATGAACAAGACCATGACGTCAAAATGTCGAGAACTACATCATTTTCATTGAATAAATGGAATTAAAGACGACACTACTATAACTTCGTTCCTACTTTGTGATAGGTTCAAGATCGGCAAGACCACGAACCCGGCGAACGACGCGGAGATGCCGGGTCGTTTCGACGTGGAGCCCGCGCCCGAGCTGAAGAAGCGCATCCAGGAGTGGAAGGCGGAGCAGGACGCCGAGGAAGCGAAGAAGCGGCAGGATCCGCACGCGGCAAAGAACGTCGACGAGGGACTGGCCTACGACGACAAGGGCAACCTGGTGCCGGAAGTGAAGAACGCGCGCGGGCAGGCGGAAGCGATGACGGCGGAGGCGGTGCACAGCGAGGAGATCCACCTGTGGCAAGAATCCAAGTGCGCGCTCACGCAAAAGCGGCTTCTGGAACTCGCGTCGCCCGTCACGCGCGACGGCGTCAACTTCTACGAAGCAACGGCATTGGATGAGTTTTTGCGACATAACCCAAAGGACCCGGCCACCCAGGTCGTCGCCGTGCGCTCAGAGTACATCGGGGCAAAAGGTATAGTTTTGACGAGTTGCCGTACCTACAACTCATTTGGCCGCGTCTCGAGATCCTGATAAGATAGCCATAGCATACAACTTAGTACTACTTGTAGGTAGTGTTATTTGGCAAGAACGTGGTGCCGAGATCAAATACAAAGAATTGAGGCTGAGCTTCTTGCACAACAACTGAGTGTCATGTCCTTATTTGATGATGATCTCCATCTTTCCGTGAAATTATGAATTGAAAAATCAGATCTGATCGCGGAGTTTGGCAAGAGCGCGCCTCACGGCAAGGCCACGCCGATGGACGCGGCGCGGGCACTGCACCTGGCTGGGCAGCGGTTTAACGAGAAGACGCTGACCTACAATGCCTTCAAGGCGCGAGCGGTGCGGATTTTCACCAACGGCCACGCGTCCTGGGAGCCCGCGAAGGGGAAGAAAAAACGGGTCTTGGTGCTCTCGGCGGAGGAAGACGACGGCGCGCAGCACATGCTCAAGGAACAGTTTCTGCGAAAGGGGTTCGAGGAGGTGGACGTAAAAAACTTCAAGACGCCGGAAGAATTTCAGGCGCACCAGAACTTCGCCGCGGAGGGCTACGTACTTTTTTTTGTTTTTACAGAAAATGAAGTTAGCGCTAAGATGCTTTTGCATTTTTCAGTGCGTGTTGTGGCATCTTGTTCGATCGCTTCGAGCAAATGGATGATGTATGATATTTTTAGCAAAACAAAAACTCGACCAACAGGACGAGATGTACGACCTCGGAGTCCTTCCCAAGGCGCACCGCAAAAGCACGGAGAGCATCGCGGGCTTCTGGAGCAAGATCAAGTCCTTGTTCTCCAACGATTCCGCGCAATTCACGACGATGAGCGCGATGGATGCAGAGGTAAAAATAACGCGACTACTTACTAGGTAGTATGATACGGATTGATTATTTGCATGCGACTAGGTAGCTGTGTGATGATGGTCGTCAACATACACTTTAGGGTTACATTCAATTAGACTTGACGCAGGGGCGTAATATTGAACACTGAAACAAACCGAAAATAGTTCGGTGGTGCCAGTAGTGTTGGAGCTTAGCTATTGTAAAAACTCATCAACTACAGGACCTCGAGGCCGCTCATAAGCTCGCGTGCAAAGAGGGCAAGGAGAAAGACTGCCGCGCGCTGCAAATTCTTTCCGTCCAGAACGTCAACGGCGTGACGCAAACCAGATGGGTGCCCAAGCCAAAACATACCGAGTTCTAGTAACAGGGCCGATCTGATGAAAGAACCGACACACGCACGACACACACATGACGCGACAAAAGAAAAAGGAGAAGCGACTACGACAAGAGCACGATAGTATTTTTACATGACGAAAAGGAAAAAGACGCCGTCCCGCTTCCCGTTAGTCGCTCGTCTACTACGACCTTATAATATATCAACACCTCATCTGCTTTCGCTTGTCGCCAACTAAGCGGAAAGAAGAGGCACTGAAGACGAAGGAGCAAGCGGCCCTCATGTCATGGAGACATATGAATCCGTCATGATCATGAAGTAGTGAACGATGAACATTTTTTTTTAACAGGTGGATCCTGCTGTACTTTAAGTTTTTTCTAGTGGTTGTGCTCCCCATGACTGCTAACGAAGTTCTATAAATTATGTGAGAAGATCGCGATCGCCCTAAAATCTAGAAACGCGGCATGAGTCAAAGTAGACACGACAAGTACGAGCCGCGCGGCGCGGGTCGTGCTCGTCCTCGTGTCTACTTCGTCTCACGAATAAAGGGTGGAAGCGTAGAGATTATGACGTAGACGTGCTGATTTTTGGCTATCGTGGTGATTATGACGTGACTTTTTTGTCTATCAACTCAAAGATCCGACTTGCCTCAGGGACTCCGTCCGACGAGATCTAAATCGAGTATGGGTAGGTACTCTAGCTATGTAGGAGAAAAATACTAAACGCGGCACTCTCCTCCTCTGTTTTTGAGCCTTTTGGCATGAAGATGCGCATGATAAATAACATGATAACAACCCCCGAACCTGAGGAGCGCATAGGCATAGCCATAGTACAACACGTTGTATGTAGCTGATCTTTCTTTTGTGTGGCATGGTTGATCGATTTCTTCTTTTGACATGATACAGTGGAAATGAAATGGAAAATATGCGGGAGAATATGAGTTCCCCTTCCAGTAGAGGCGACAGCTGAAAAGTGAAGAACAAGAAGTCAGTGAACCACGAAGAAATTTGGTGGCAACTACAAACGACGAGTAAAAGCGAACGTAGAATAAAGAAATCGAAATCTCAGACACGACGAACTGAACGGTTGTAGGAAGCCGTGCGACTTCCGATGTGGCAGCCCTTGTTTCTCGCCCATGAGACCTTGACGTCATTTGCCTATCTTCAGGACGATGAGAATGTGTTCAGTAATATAACAAGTTCGCCCTCTTGTTCTAGCAGTTGCTACAGGTGCAGCAGCTGCGACATCAAATTCAAAACAATAGCAGAACGAGAACGACTACATCTTCTCGACTTACGTCGAGTTTTAGTCATCAATCTTGAGAAGATGAAGATCCAACTGACAATCATAATATTGGCTGGGCGCATGTTCTTGCGCCTGGCAACACAGCACGATAATGGTTCTCTTCTATTTCCGCGACGACAAAGAAAAAGATCACATTTCTCCTAACCGACCGACCTAGTCGCTGCGCAGTTCGTGGCGTGGTTCGTACGAGACACAATAGCGATAACTACACTCAAGCGATGAATACATAGAAAGGGCGTTTGAACTCTGATTTTAGTATGTTCTTGCTCTCCGGTTTTCGTTTTAGCGCTACAGCCACTTTCTACACCTTGTCCGAGGCACCAAGTGCTATATTCAAAGAAAAAGATATAAGAAACTCGAGCTGGTGTGAATTCACCAACTCCCTACAAGTTCAAGTCCAACTTAAAGCGCAATAAACTTTTACTCAGCGACCATAATGGTAATAGATCAACAACTTTTAGGTTAGAATTGAATTTTTATCTTCATCTGGCGACAGCAGTTAGAAGGTAGCGACACGAAACACGACAGGATTTTTCACCTATACACTCTGACTCTGTAGTACTTCTAGATCAAGTTGCCTATCTATCTTCAGTGTCAAAAGTAGTTTTTAAATACGACCAGAAGATATTTTTCTTTTAGTTTGATTCTCCAAGCGACCTTATCCTTAACCTTATTGATTCACGATGGCGGGCACTGGACAGGGATACGATCTGTCGGTAACGACTTATTCCCCGGATGGCAGAATCTTCCAGATTGACTACGCCCAGAAATGCGTGGACAGCTCACCCACGTGTTTGGCAATGATCTGCAAGGACGGCGTTGTTTTGGCTTCGCAGAAGCTGAAGCTCTCCAAAATGCTCGTCCACGGGACCAACCGCCGGGCTTACGCCATCTCAAAAACGTCGGGCTGCGTGGTTTGCGGAATGGTATCCTAGTAGATAATTTTAAGCTTTTGATGGCTATTTTTTCATCCTGCCTGACCAAGAATTTCAATTTACTGGCAAGTGGAAGTGCAAATGGCGTCCAATTCTGTTTGCTTTTATCAGCTGAATGGTGAATACTAGCGGCTGCTGCACATGCTGCGCATCTTCCTCCCTCTGCGCCGCTCGGGCAATATGAATAAGCAAGAAGAATAAACAAACCAGGTTCCAGAGGGTCGCAATGTGGTCGCCCGCGCAAGGCAAGAGGCGCAGTCCTACAAGAAAAACTACGGGGAGGTCGTCCCGGGCTATCTCCTGGCCGAGCGACTCGGGTTTTACATGCACCACTACACTCTGTACGCCTCCCTGCGACCGATTGGATCCGCGGTGCTACTCGTATGCATTGCAAAAGTAACGTACTAGTGCAACTTGCATTACAAGTTTTCTCAGAATGGAAAATGGAGTTTGTATTGCTGGTTTACCTTGGGAAGCAGATTTGTCATTGCAAGTCTGCAATTAGGTCGAGTGCGATACTTTTGCAAGGCATAACTCGCGTCCTACGACGAATCCCCGTCCAACCCGATATTACAGTGAAAAGTGCCCCCCACCCCCAAAGTTGCAAAAATTTGTGATGCGAAGTTTCCAAATGAAGCCTTTTTGTCATGCATGAAAGGAATATGAATCTTTCTGATGCAGATTCTAGTGCTGTTTCGCATCGCTTGCATAACAAGCACCGCTCTTGCTGGGATCTTTTGCAATACAAATTTTTGCTATTCCCGATCGGAAATCTGTGATGCTGATACATGCAAGAGGGCGAATGTTTCATTTGGAAAGGTTTGCAATACAAATGCTTTCAAGTTCGGGGGTGGGGGCATTTTTCATTGCAATACCCGAAGGTAAAAGTCCCCACCCTCTTCTCCGTCGAGCCGAACGGCTTGGTGCAGAAGTGGTTCGGCCGCGCGATGGGCAAGGGACGGCAGTTGGCAAACACGGAAATCGAGAAACTGGACTTGAAAACGTTGACGGTGAAAGAGTCCCTGTTTCACATCGCCCGCATCTTCCACAAGGTCCACGACGAAAGCAAGGCGTTCGAGATTGAGGTAAGGGTGCCTACAACTCCTTTTGCAGCACTTCATCTATGTGTATGTATCGTAACCTTGTTTGACTTTGATGAAAATTCAAATTGAATTTCTTTTTCGCAAGGATGTTGAAGAATAAGAAATTCAAATTTGAATGATTGATTACCTGCTAGGTGAATTGGATTTGCGAGGGGAGCAAGTGGCAGCATGAGGTGGTCCCAGCAGCATTGATTGCCGAAGCGGAGGAGGCGGCAAAGAAGGCGATCGAGGACGAGGATGAGTAGCTGTTGTGAAAAATAAACCAGGTGGTGGCCGCGAAAAAAACAATACGAGATGAAAGCTGGTCAGACAAAGATTTTTTTAAAGCTGCCCTTAGATTCGTTTTATTTTCTCGGCTAGTACCAACGTGACGATCTACAGCGACACGCTGTGTGGAACGAAGTACGAACTTTACCCCGCCATACCATGTCACTCAGGATCCCATCTCCTGGGAGGTGCTCCAGGAAAACAACGGGAAGATCATATGGTACCGTAGAAACAGTACTACAGCGGCTGCCGAGCCTATTCAACTTCGTCGACGTGGTGTTTCCACCAAATAACAAAACTTCCCTGCGCTTTCACAGACTGCAGTTGGAAGAAAGTTTAGTTGACCTCCACGTCATGATCGTGATGAGGGCCTAGCTGCTAATAATGTTCATGGTTCGGCTCTTGTCGGCGCACGATGATCTGTTCTCGTACATTCTTCTGCGGAAGCGCCACCAGATGATGCTAGTATGGGTGATTTCGTTCATATGGATCATGCGCATATCAAATAAAGTGGCATGAGCAGTTCGTTGTTGTGTATCATGAGGAGCAGTGTCAGTTGGAGAGCGCCAAAAATTTATACACGTTCAACTTCCGATCGGATCACGCGAGCAGCAGGAGAAGATCTTATACATCACAGGGCGAGCAGACTGTCGTTTTTTCGTCACTCAATCAACTTGTTTGACCTCGATCTTCTTTTAGCATGCGCGTTTGCGGTCTCATCTTTTGCTTTTGCATATACAATGTTCAAGATCAAATAAAGTTCACGCTGGATTGTGCCTTTTGCATGCGTCCCGGGTATCAGGAGGTGAACCCGCTCGCAGATCTGGGCGAGCCTACCTTGCTTTTGTAGTGTCGGTTAGCGCATCCGCATCAAGTGCGCTAATCGTCCTCTACGTTTTGTAAGTTCCTTATCCTTTTTTTTCGTGATGTTTGTTGAAGATGCCGACCACGCGCAGTCGATGTCTTATTGAAGAAAAACAATGACCAATTGCAATTCCATGTAGAGGCGGCGCGCAACCTGAACATCAACCGAGGCTAAACTTAAACAAAGAAACGCATACGCCAACATGCCGCGCGTCGCCCCTGTGGGCGACCAGAAGTATGCGGTGAGGCGCCTGGTCGCCGAGAAGAACTCGCTTTTCTTTCCTCTGGCATTTCTGTTTGTGATGCGCATCCTCAGTGCTTTGTACGCACCGATGGACGACTGCGACGAAGTTTTCAACTACTGGGAGCCCGTCCACTACCAGATCTTTGGACACGGCCTGCAAACGTGGGAGTACAGCGAGCAATACGCCTTGCGGAGCTACGCGTATCTGCTCCTCTTCACCGTTTTTGGGCGGATCTACCACATTTCCTTCTCGGGCTTTCTGCTGCCACTACAGTTATTAGTTGGAGGAGGTTCCACGACACCTGGTGTAAATTTGAGTTTTCCCGAAGATGTAGAAGTTCAGGATCCTGGTGGTATCTCGTCGTGGTTCTTGACAAGATCTGGCAACATCTTACCTGCACTTATTCCCGGGAAAGGAGCGGAGAATTTGACACTCGAGCAGACGCTAACACGCACGACGCTTTTTTACGCGATTCGGATTTTTTGCGTCGCGATACCGTGTTTTCTGAGCGAGCGCTTCCTCGTGTACTCTTTGCAACGGCTGGAGGAGCGATGGGGCGGGCGGCACTGGCAGTGTCCGATTGAACAAATAGAGGTGCCAGACCCGGAGCTGGAGCGAGAGGGGGCGCAAGCGTCACGTGGCGGCATGATGACGATGGAAGTGGCCCCTGCCAGCGGGGACGAGCAGGACCTTCCCGCCAGCGGGGACGACGATGTCGACGCCGGGACCAGGCGACGGGACCGAGACGCGGACGCAAACTGGAGAGATGTCGAGGACGAGCGAACGTTGCGATCCGAGCTGCGGCACCGAGGCGGGGTGAGACCACCGCGGGCATTGGCGATGAACCAGCCGGCAACGCAGCGGCGCGACTGGTTCAAGCGGACGCCGCATCACTTGTCGGCGCACCTAGCTTGCGTCCTCGCGACCACGCCTGGGATGTTCATAGCGTCCTCCGCGATGCTGCCCAGCACCTTCTTCATGATCGGCGCAAACTTCGTCTGGGGTGCGTGGATTCGCGCGTACGCGACCTACGGGCCCTGCCGATACCTCACGGTAAGTAGAGCGCATACTCTTTTTTATCTTCTTCTTCATATCGAAGTTCTTGTGTACTATAGCTTTATCGATTCATGAAAAACAAAAGGAAAGAGATCATGTATGATCGGGGGGCACCTCGACCTCGAGATAGGTCTTGAGCTTCACGATCTTGAGTAGAGGGCGTTGATTGTTTCACTCTAAATGTAAATAGACATGTTACCACCTTCTATATCCTATTCCTGCTGTGAACTACTTCCAACTGTTTTCTACACAGCACATCCGGCACACCCGAGGCCTGAACGCTAGCCGGTGGAATTGGTGGCTTTTTGGAACTTTCGCTTCCATCGCCACGACGCTGTGGTCGGGTTGGCCCTTCGCCGCGCTCATTTTCGTCGCTTTCGCCCTCGTGTATCGTGAGAAAAAAGTGTTACAGTTACACATTCTGTTGCAGGAGCCGCAAGACAGCCAACCTTTGTCATGCAGGAAAGGCTTGCGAGCCTCGTTTCCTACGTGTTTTCCCTTAAGATCTTTGCATTACTGCCACACAGAGAAAATTTGTGATGCAGAAACTCCAACAAATGTGTAACTGTAACACTTTTTTCTTGTGATATCGTGGCGCTTTCGTCTAATCGAAGGCGTTTATTCCGACTCGTTTTCTATGCGGGGATCTTCGCCGCGTCGCTCGCTTATTTCGTTTCCCTGGTCGACTGGTATTTCTATGACCAGAAACCTGGGACCTTCGAGAAGCTTCCGCTGTTCAACAACATTCTGTACAACGCGCCGCAGTCTGTGAAAAGGCTGTACTTTCGCGATCATCCTGGTGGAATGCCGCCGGGCAGTGAGCTCTACGGCGTGGAACCGATGACCTTCTACGTCAAGAACCTCTTTCTGAACTTCAACACCCTGTTCATCTGTGCGGTCGCAGCGATACCCTTCGTCACCGTGCGAGGCAGATGGTTCCGGACGTGGTATTTATGCAAGGGAAGAGAGATAATCATGCTGAATGGATTCGATAATCATTCAGTGTTGGTGCGATTTTTCGACTGGTCGTTTAGAATAAAGCAATATGAAGAGCAAGCTAAGTAGTCAAGCAGCATCTTTTTTTTATAGCGGCAGAACAGAGCGTCAGCGTTGCAACACCGTCACCGACCTCCTGTGCAAAGTCACTCTCTTCCCCTGAAGACTAGTTTAATTCGCAGTCCAATCGAGACGAGGTGGACACGGATGCGGTGCTGTTTCTCACTGACGGGGAGATTTTCCGCCACCTGGTCGTAGGTTTGGTCGCATGGCTGGGGTTGTTGAGTATGCTACCGCACAAGGAGGAACGATTCTTGTTTCCGGTCTACCCCTTGATCTGCCTCTACGGGCTGGTATATGATTGAAGATGATGATGATGATGCAGCATATACGATGATATTTTTTCCGTAAAAATTTTGTTGATGTCAATTAGTGAGTCGCGTGTTTTGAGTTGTAACAAGTGCGTGCGCGGCGCCCCATAATTGATTCTTCATTTCTCCCAGGAAGTGAGCCAAATTGATATAAGTTTAAGTACAAACCAACGCAGATTGGCCTGGTATGGTTTTCGCCGAATATCAAGTCCTATTGGGTGGCTTCCGTGCCACTCTCCCTTATCCGGATTTTCGCCATAGTTTTCTATTACTCCGACCCGATAAATCGTGTGTGGATGCGGGCACTGACGCTGTCTTACGCAAACCCTGGGAGCACGTTCTGCGTCGGTGACCAGTGGCACAAATTCCCAAGTCACTTTTTCCTCGAACCAAACGCCAGGCTGCACTTTCTGCAAACTCCGTTCGACGGAATACTGCCGGGACACTTTCCCCTGGCGGAAGTGAATCCGGATCTGCAGGACTTTTTAGCGGGATCAATAGCAACAGCAGCCAAAACAAACTCAACAACAGCGTCCATATTAGTGCAGGATGAATATTCCCCTCCAGAAGGACCCGCTTCGTCAGGCGGACGACGAGCGGCCTCGTCGCCGTATTTCGCAGCCTCTGGCGCGCTCCTTTTCGACGCCTTTTCGAAACTTAAGAGCGAGCACTTGTATTCGAAGCCAAAAGTAGTGGAGACCTCTGCGTTTCAGAAACCGGACCACAAGAACAATTACAACCGAACCCCAAAGTTCAACAACCAAAACAAGGAGGAGCCGGATCGGTATGTTGGCAGGGAAAAATGCGACTTCATAATCAACGGGATCAGTAAAGCGTTGTTGCTCAGCTTTGTGAAGGAGGACGAAAATAACAACAGTGAGGCTGCTGGTAGTGAAAGTAGCCGCAAGATGCTATCAAATGTAAAAATGTCTGGGTCTGGAAGAAAGCCACGTTTGTCATGCATATTTTGTATGTCTCATGATGCTTGTAATGCATCACCTAGCATCACAGATTTTTAGAGGGCTTCCTGATGCCTCTCCCGCATGACAAATGACCTCTCCGCGTAGCACAAACTGGACCCCTCTTGCTGGTCATGCAATACAGATTTTTTTCGAATTCAAAGACAGCATCACAAGTTGCAACCTTCCAGACCCAGACATTTTTACATTTGATAGATGCCGCACTACTGCCAGCCTGTCGTGGACAACAGCGCGTCCCGGTTTATGGGAGTGTCAGGTTTGAAATCGACAAAGTTGAAATAATTTGTCATTGTCATGCATAAAATGCATGACCCGCGGCACGTGTGTTGCAGAGCAGGCAAGTGAGGCCGATTGTAAGCCTGTTTGGGGTTACAGCTCGAGCTGCTAAAGTAGCATGAGAAAATCGCTCTTCTTTGCCTAAACAGCATGACGCAGTGGATTTAGGGACCACCGAAATTTGTCTTGCGCCACTTGGAAACTGGGTTCCAATTGGCATCCATTTTATGCATGACAAATTATTTCAACTTTGTTGATTTCAACTCTGACACATCCATACGGTTCCCGTTTCGGTCCTTCTACTTTCTGCCAACAGAATCCAGCAACCCCAATGTGCAGCAAAACCTGATCCGGAAATTTTTGGAATTCCAATTTTTCTGCATCATGGCTGGCAATGTGAAGCCACCAGCGGGGGCGGAATTGGACCCCCATACGGCGCATGTATTGAGGTACACGGCCGATGAGGAGAGACCGACCACCAGCTCGTAGGTCCAATTCATTATTGATGGATCATTGCAAACGCAAAGCAGAGCAGCAATTATAGCAAGAAATGGAATTGCGTAGAAGTTGTCGTGAAGATACCCTCTTCGTCCTGTTAACCTGTCGCGCATGATAAAAGACGATGAGAAAAAAAAAATAGGACGAAAAGGCGCTGCTTGTAGCACTTTTGTGCGAGAAACTTGCTGTACCTAAACACGATGAGCACGTAGACGGTGTTCTAATGAGCCGGCATGTTATTGCAGATCACCGGTCGACGTTACAGCACTAGGACCTGTTTGGGATCCCAAAATCAAAAACAAGATCGAACGCAACTCATCGTCACTTCTACTCCATCTTTCAATCATGAACATCATGTGAGATGCAAGATCTTGAAATAAAAGTAAGTACGAGTAGATTAACATCGAAACGAAGATCACAAGTATTCATGTATTGTGCACTAGATTGTGTCGCTGGAAGCAGGTCCAGCTCGAGCGTAAAGAAAAATTGTATTGATATGGTGGGGCGACTAGTTGAAGATCCGATAACGATCCCTCTTGTTTACGTTCTCACCCGGCACATCAAAGTGGATCGGAGACACAGCTAGCAGGATTTTTAGTGCCATCGGACGATGACGAGACTAACATCAACAACAGCGACCTTCGGGGCGATGGAAATGGTGGGAAGACGTGATGAAACAAGAGTAAAAGAAAGTCACCTCCTTGTCCTTTCATCATCTTTGTTCCGTTTCATCATTAGATTTTCTTACTCCTAGAAGACCGCGATACAACAAATTCAACTTAGCTTGGTCTGTACAACGATTTCTTTACCTTCTATCAGCGACTGCTCTTCCTATCCAAAAAATGGGCGGCGGTAAAGGGAAAGGCAAGGGCAAGGGAAAGCGGTTTTTCGACCGCAGCCAGCTGCCGCGGTCGGATAAGAATGGAAAGGGTATGCCCTTGTATCCTCCGGACGCGGACATGCGCGAGGTGCTCGAACAGCACCTGTACCGCGAGAGTGACCCGTTGCTGGACGTGAAGCTGCACCACCACTTCGTCCCAAACCGGCCACAGTTGAACCTCCTGAACCAACAGCGGACTTTCATGCAGAAGAATTTCAGCGGCACCGGAGATCAGGGAAGTGCAAAGCACTGGCGGGCGAGCGGGACAACGGCGGGAGACAGTAGCAGCAGCACAAACAGCACGGCGATTAATATCCCAAGCTGTTCGAATGGCGCGCCGATGGGCGGTCTGTTTAACCAGACGGAGCTGGCAGCTCTGGCCCGGGCTGCGCACGAACAGGTATTGGAGCAAAAAGCTAGAAAATTAGCAATGTCAACGAAAGCAGGAGCTCCAGCGAAATTAGGGACTACAAATAAGACGACCAGTGACCAACAACAGAAACAAGGATTGAAATCAACCAAAATGGAAATAAACAAAAGCAAGCTGACTTCAAGCAACAAACGACGTCGCAAGGACAGTGCGAGCAGCGAGGACGGAGCGCACCACGAATCTGCCGATAGCGACGACGCAGCCGGCCAGGATGACGACGACGTGGACGACGAAGATGAAAATCAAAATGAAAACTCAGCACTGATTCCGAAGCACGTTAACCCGCAGAACTATTTCGAAGCGATGCGACTTCAAAATCTCGTCGTCGGTGCGGAATATTTTCCGGCAGAGCTTGTCGACCCGCAATTGCACCACACATCCTCACGCAAACAAACAAGTACGAAGAAGCGAAAGAAGGATCTCCAAGAGGCGGCAGGAACCGACGACGATGGCGACGACAACGAAGATGATCTCTCTGAGGATGAGGACGAAAAGTCCGGCAACGAGCAGGACGATGCAAACCGGTCGGAAAAAGACGAGGACGAGAACTCGGACGCCGAGAATCTGAGCGAAAACGCGGACGACGGCGACGAGTTCTTTGGGGACGAAGACTACCTGGACGGCTTCGCCGACGCGGACGCAAACGATTTTGGAGAGGTGGAAGAGGGCGGGGGCAACGCTTACGAGGACTAGAGGACAAACGGACGGACGAAGGTGTTGCTTCACGAAGACAGTTGTCTATACTTGCATGTCCATGTTATTTCCTTTGGCGACAATGTTTGTTCTCACATTTACTTGAGCGCAATGATAAGCTTGAGCACCACGCAAAAGCAATAAATACAGCAACACTGGTGCTGGCTTGACCACACCGCAAGAAACAATTGCAGGCCCATGCCATTGATTGATTGACGTCATAGATGAAGTGTTCGACTTCGAACGGTCAAACCACATCTCAACAAATACCAAACCTTCACGTTGACCTTCGCTGGTGTTGTGTCGTCAACCTTTTCGTATTCCTCGTAATCGTTGTCGTCTCAGACAGAAGGCATGTGCCAAGCATCTGTTGAGAAAGCTGGAGCTCTTGTGTGTCTCTTCTTCGGTCTTGACGAAGAGGATCTCGATCTCCCAGCCGATCCACTCAATTCGTCCGGTAAAATCGGACAGCAGAAGCAGAGTGCTACTGCTACTCTAGAGGACATTGTCGACCAGTCACACTCTGAGCGAGGACAAGAGAGTGCGGCTTAGCGAGGCTTTTATGTGTTGGGAGATACAAAGGAACCGAATACAGTAGACCGAGTATTGTCTCTGCTGCTCGCTCGGGTGGCGTGGCCGCAACGAGCACGAGGCGGCCGTCGTGTTGTTTTTGATTCTTTTTAGTTCTTTTAGTGTCGTAGTTTCTCGTTCGCAGAAGTAAAACAGGGAGATAGGTGGAAAAAAATGGTGCGGATTTTGGAAACTATCGGTTGGCAGGAAGTGAAAACCGAAGTGGGCAAGTACTACTGGTGCGAAAAAGAAGAAAGGTGTCAGTCAAAACCGCCACTGTACGAAGTTCTTGGCCTGCTCTCCGCGCCGAGCTCGGATGGAGCACACACAAGACACCAGATATTCAAAGCGTATAAAAAATGTAGGCCACGGTGTGTGTAGTATGCCTTTTGAGCAGTTGCAGTTCAACTTGAATTTTAATGCTCGATGAAAATCAAAATATAAATAGCTCGAGCTCCTGACACACAGGCAACATGACGATGTGTATTAGAATTGATGCTGTTGCCTGCGTTTTTAACTTTACCCGAAAGGAAACTGGCAACTTAAACTTTCAGATACCAAGAGAAGCTAGCTGAATTTGGGGAGGATACAGGGTCGAAGGATCTGCTGCTAGAAGCCTACACAACCCTCACAGACGTCGAAGCCAGAGCAGTTTACGATTGCAGTATTTTTCTTTGCGTCGTCTTCGAGGATTCACGACTCAGATAAATAGTGATACATACTTAGATTGTTGCTGATGCATCACGCTTGATACTGAAAGAACGAGAAGTGCGTCAAAGCTGAATGCAACAAAGGAAGATTCAAAACGAAAAATAAGGCACAACGTCGGAAGCCGCACGGAATGCCGCGGCAGGCTTGACCGCTCGCCACCTGAGCACGATAAAATGCGAACCGATCTACGTACCCCCCGAAGAGACGCCCGCACCTGAGGAGGGTGGATAGGGTTTTCAAACTGATGTTTGCCATGATGAGACGGTGTCTATGCCTTCGCCTACCTCCTCCCATGGTTCATCTTCAGAGTCAGAGACATGGCCATGGGTAGAAGCAAAACGAAGCTAGCCAATGTCGGTTTACAGTGCGCATTCCGCATAGTTGTAGCTACTTGCGATATATAGGACATCATCCTGGTGCTGGTCCTGCCACTGCCTATATCAGAGTCTGTCTCGTCTCTGGTGCAGATCCAGCATTTGCGCATGACAGGACGCATCAACATTATTTGATGATGTTCCGTGGTGCGTTGACTGGAATCATGACTGGTGTTCATCGGTTGTAGTACAAATGCATTCGTCCAGCTGAAGCTGAAGAAGTTTCTGGCAATTGGCAAAGTTAAAGTCGACGTGCTGCTGTTGGCCGAGTCTAGTTTCATAGAAGAGCCAAAAAAATTGGAAAAAGCTTGAAGCTAGATAGGAGCGAATGTTCGGACGAATCTGGTATATTAGCCCATGCACAGGAAAGTCGGTCCTCGCTCGTCGTCCACATCACCAGGAATTTAAAGAAAAGACTTGTAGAAGAAGTACGTCCTGAAGCACCACTGAGCTGCATACTGCTTACAACTTATTTCACCGGACTGTAGTTGATGTCGTTGAGAGATTTATTCGCTTTGCTCTCTGTCTCGTTCCTCGGACCTCGTTTCAATGCGATAGTTGCAAGTTTTAGTGCCTATTTTAGAAAATTATCATTCCACTATTTGAAGACCAAATACAGGTCCACCATTTTGCAACCACCACCAGCACCACAACTTCCCCCCTACTATTTTTCTTCCCGCGTATTTGCTGCTTTGTTGCCTTTGTTTCTGCCTTTTTGGAGGACGTTTACCTTTACGACGAGCAGCCGCGTTTTGTACACTATTTATCCCCCCCGACCAGCTACACTAGTACCTCCTCATCTTGCTGTCGAATTATTTCTTTGAAGAAAGGCCATTAGTTTTGTTGAAAATCGAAATCCTCGAGTCTGGCAGAAACAAAAAAATCGTAACCGATTCGTTTTGAACGTGTAAGAAAGAGAGATATACGCACCGAAAATGGCTTCGGTGCAGAAGGAATCCACATTTGAGAAGCGATCCGCCGAGGCAAGGCGCATCCTTGCCAAGTACCCGGATCGCATTCCAGTTATCTGCGAGAAGGCGGCGCGGTCAGACCTCCCAGATATCGACAAGAAGAAGTTTTTGGTACTACTCATACTCTAGTTTCTTCTCTATGTTGCTGACCGGATTGGAGCTTTTTTTAGTTTTTACTGACGAAGAAGTACATCATGCAGGGAGGAGCTGGATGAACTTCAACATCAAAACATACTAAACAACAATTCTGTATCGAGATTTCTGAAACAACTTTCTGTCACCTCGCAAAACCAACACGACAGGTTCCGGATACGATGCTCTGCGGGCAGTTTAAGTATATCATCCACAAGCACATCAATCAATGCGCTACTGCGGGGAGCCAAATCAGTGCGGACCAGACAATCTACCTTTTCGTGAACAACACCTCGCCAAAAACGGGGGCGCTGATGAGCGAAATCTACGACTCCTACAAAGCAGACGATGGTTTTCTCTACATCACCTATTCGGCGGAAAACACGCTAGGGTAGAAGAGAGGACGGGGAGGTTGATGGAGAGAGAAAAATGGGAACAAGAACTTCTAGCACCACGCGTTTGATGTTCGAAACAAAAATTTTGAAAGGAACAACTAAAAACACACAGAAAGGAAGTAGATGTAGAGCAACATCCTCAAGAAGGATCGAAACCAGGACCGACCGCAATAATACTCAGTCTCTATGAAAATGAAGTCAAGTCGTAGTGGGAGACCGCTGCTGCAGCTGCGGGAAGGCAGTGCCAATGTGCTGGGAGAAGTGAAACTGCGCAGACAAGCAGATGGAAAACGGTCTGCTGCATTTTGCTCGCACCCATCGATCTGGCTCGCATTTCTCGAAGTAGTAGTTTCAGCAAGTAGCGGGCGCAAAAAAGCGACGCTGTGAACAATTCTCGTGCGCAAACGCTGATAGCTTAAGCTTGTCGAAAAACTTCATTTTTTGATTTTTTGAAAATAAATCCGAAAGATGGGTGGAGGGCGAAGGACCACTGCCACATGAGGTCGAGGGCAATGTTACGTGTCGATCTCTACAACATCGGGATCGTGTCTCAGATCTTCTGGTAGTTTAATTGATAGTTGGGGTGCATGACTGACAAGCAGCATTCTTTTTTGGATCCTATTTCATAGGCCTAAAACTTTGCAACCGCACCACCGTAAAAATAATCACGAAGTTATGAAGATCCGGATCTCGTCTTCCCTGTGACTTGAGTATTCACAGACAAAACAACTACGTTTTATCGCACTACAACTTTTGTTTTTACGAGCTGGAGAACCCTGTGTTTGCGCAAAAGAGCGTCACGCTTGCCTCACTTCCTCGCCGCTTGTTTGCAGGAAATTCCCTGTTTACTATCATATTTTTACACAGATTGATAGTAGTTAGAAGCCAGTCGCCTGGTGCTTTGACAGCCGTGCTTTTTCCACTATCACACCAATGAATGTACAAAAGCTTTCGCCACCTGGTGCTGGTTTTCCTTGCCTATTTTTAGGTACCTTCAATTTTAGAACTACTACATGAAATCTACTACGATGGTGTTGCCTACTCCTACCGTGAGCCTACTGATCACTGGTATTGGAGCTCTTGTTGTGCAAGCCAACCGCTCCTCCGTTGCACGGAGTTATTTTTTAAGTTTGTGCTCCTGGTATACTTGTTGTGACAAAAAAGATTATCGCAGAGCAAAGTCATTGCCTTGCCTACAGGATAGAACCCTGTCGCGTGTAGTTTTCCAATGAATTTTTTTACAGACGTTCGGCAAAAGTATACAAATACGTGGCGACGTGACTACGACCACCAGAAGGAAAAGTTGCCTTGTTTGGCGCTGATCCGAATGGAATTTGTAGTAAATGTGTTGCGACGACGACGAGCAGACAATCTCCTGATAACTTGGACGTTGAAGTTGATCCTGTTTGGTCTTAAAGAGTGCCTGATAGTAGGGCCACAAAGAGAAGGATCGAAGGGTAGCGGCCGCAATGACCGAGAAGTGGTTCATGAGCATGAAGATCAAAAAAGGCTAAGGCTTCAAGAACCGCCGGAAGTGTTATGATCTGTTAGCTCTACTTGTTAAGGTCGTGACCGTGTCGTCTCTTGTCGGTAGTTTGCCAGCGCCAGCCAGCATAGTGCTATTACGTTGTTTCGCAATCACAGTTCAGACACATATTAGTATTACAAAGACTCGCCACTGCTGTTGCATGTGGTTGTGCCTTAAATATCTTCGCCACGACGACATAAATACCACCTTAACCACCTGCACCAAACAATAATCACGATTTCGATGAGGTCGCGCCGTAGTTTGAAATTCTCTCCAAAGACGAGCATCAATGCCGCACATGCAGTCCTTTGTAGAAGCTCCCTGAAGATTTTACGATCCTGAAACTAAAGATAATGGCGTTTCGTCTCTCCGCGGAATCTCGCTTGATCCGCAATGTGACGCACCTCTGTCAGCGGGATGCAATCGCGTTGGATGAGAAACTCTTCGAGTGTTTCTCGGTGGACAGTCTGATGGAGCTCGCCGGTCTCGCGTGCGCGCAAGCAATTGTCAAGGAGTTCCCCGACCGCAAAACAAAAACCTACATTTTTGCTGGGCCAGGGAACAACGGTGGAGACGGACTGGTGGCCGCACGCCACTTGCACCATTTCGGGTACAAGGACCTGAAAGTGTGGTACCCGAAAAGACGAGCAGATAGCGCGTTGTTCGAAAATCTGGTCAAGCAGCTAGAACAGCTGGAGATACCAGTGCTAGTAAAGGAAGAAGATGTGTTATTTTCAACACCACGGCAAAATGACGACGCGCATGCGGTTGAAGACGAGCCGGATGTGTTCATAGACGCGATATTTGGGTTTTCTTTTCGAGGGTGGCGCGGCGCCGGGAAAGACGCACCTTTCGACAGAATGGTCCAGTATCTAGCACAAACCAAAAAGCCGGTGGTGTCGCTTGACATTCCCTCGGGATGGGAAGTAGATGGCAGAGAGGACGAAATACGTCACGAATTGATGGGAGGAGAGCAGATGACCTCCCAGTCACAGGAGACTAGTACGTCGGCTACAAGAAATATCGTCGGAACAAAAATCAACCCACACATGCTGATCTCATTAACGGCTCCAAAACTTGCCGCGTCTTCGTACACGGGAATTCACTACGTAGGGGGGCGGTTTGTGCCGGAGAGCTTCGGGTTGACATTGCCCACTTTTCACGACTGTGATGCTATCGCGAAACTATGATACCTGAAGTGATATGCGAGCCGTTCAGGTTGAAGAAAGTACCACGTTTGATATCTTCGACGTCGCGATCATGGACGATAGAGACAAATCTCAAAGGTCGGTATGCGAGCCGAAGGTTGTTGAACCCCTCATCTCGTAAAGACTCCACGTCTCTGTGGTGCACTGGTCATTTGTCGTTTTGCAGTTTTACGATTGGAATGAAATGAGTCAACATTGTCTGCAAGAAGAGCAACTACAAGACGACGACCGCCACGAAGAATAGCATGATCAAAAATTGAACCAGATGAGGCTCTCGACGTCTAAAAATTGCAAAGATCATTTACCTCATTGTGCCTTTAGTGCTACTCATTTTCTCGTCTTTCCAGTGAAGATCCGTCGACGATCAGGGTCTTTTGAGATCTAGCCCCTGGACCGAATCGCACGCTTGGTGCCAGGTAGATGATGTTGCTCATTAGATAATGTTAGTGACACCTCCTCGTGTTTCTTACTCTAAAATGAACACCACTGCTGTCATCTCTCGCTCCAGGAAGTCAATAATTTGGAGGCATAATAATTTTGTTCATATTGATCAATGACACAACAGACAGACACAAAGTATGAAAGAAAGTGAAATTTGTGAGCCTTGAAGCCGCCGTGTCTTTGTTCCCCACTTCAAGACGTCGAAAGCTCATCAAGTCCAAGTGAGTGAAGTAGATACTAGCTCTAGCACGAGCATTTCTATCTCGAGCTCCCCACATTAATTGCTTTTTGTTTTCAAACATCCCCGACCATGAACGCGACAAGTGTGAATAGCGCGGCGACCACTACCTCTACCGGCGAGCCTGCCGCCAAGCGAACCAAGACGGACCAGCCGACGCCGACATTCCACAATAATGTGACGGCGGCGACGCACAAGATGTCGGTCAGTGTCGCGGCGCCGGCGCAGCATCTTCATGCTAGTAGCAGCAACCAGCAGTACAACATCAGCAACGCGCAGGCCCAACACAACAACACCTGGTATAACCCCCCGCGAGCAAATGCGAACTCTAATGGGTGGAATGTGTACCCGAAAAACATGAATAAAACATTGGTGTTGAACAATAACGTGAACAAAACCCTAGTGAACAATAACAACAGCGACAGCAAACAACAGGATAGAAAGAAGAATACAACTAGTAGTAGTTCTAATTTACTGGCGGCGCATGCTGGAGCTGCACCTGCTTCGAGCAACACGAACACCACCAGTACAATTGGACAGACGACCACTACACCAAGTTCAGCAACTTCTGCCCAACCAGCAAAAGCATCGGCGATCGGTAGCAACGCTCTGAAAAACAATATGAGCAAGCCTGGCTTATCTGCACCGACGTCATCATCAACCCATTCCGCAGCAGGAGCTCCACAAGGACAACACCAGCACATCACAACTCCCGCAGCTGCCATCCAGCAACAGAATTTTTTATCCAAGCCGAAAAATTATCAACAACAACATGCGACCGCTGGTGCGCAAAATAGAGGCACAACTACTGTGACAGTGAAGCCAGCAAAGAACGCAAGCCCCCCGGCGTCCTCGCTGGAAACAAGTATCAATCATGACAAAGATCTTGGTCTTGCCGCGCGTTCGAAGCTGAGCAAATACACGCAGGAGGCGATTTATCACATCTCCAACGCGGCGTTTGTGGGGATCGATTTCGAGTTCTCGGGGTTGTTCGTGAACCAAGGCAACATGGCGAGATTCAAGACATTCGACAAATACTGGGAAGAAGTTTCGGAAAACACTCAAATCTTTGCTCCCATAGAGCTCGGCTTGAGCTGTTACATGGCCCATGAAGATAAATACCACACTTACTCCTGGTAGGAAATAAGTGTTGCTCGTGCTTCAAAAGATATACATACACATAGTACTTGGAATTGGATGCCTTTTATGTACATTTTTAGCAGGGCGAGGTAAAGGTATGACCGGCGCTCATCTTCTACGCCAGCCACGTTCCCGCTCGGCATGAACTTGAACGAGAATGAAAAAAATTAAAGGCGAAACTACGCATAATGTGGTGATAAAGAACGTCCTCCGAACTTCAATTCTTTTTCATTGAGTTTTGCTCTTATCAAGCAAGCCCCTCCATGATCAAATTCATTTCAGGAAGATGCAGCCGGACCGTATTTTCTCTATGTCGCGCGAGAGCATGCAGTTTGTGCAGAACACTGCGAATTTCGACTTCAATGACTGGGTCAGGACGAAAAATATAGTGAAGCGCGCCGGGTGCTTCGAGGGCTACCGCAAGGCCGTCGAACTCGACCACGTCATCCACGCACTGCTTTACCGTCCGGAATACGATCCGTACCTAGGAAAAACAACAGCCGGATCTTCGATGCAGAGTGGTCCTCCTGCTTCTGAGGCGACACTTGGACAACAGCACGAGAAAAGCAGTGTCGTCACCTCGGCAAGTGCAAGTGGGTCCTCCGTCGTGCCCGTTGCGATTGCAGCCCCAGGCGCAGCTGCAGCGTTGACAACTACCGGAGACAAAGAGCAGGAAAGAAAAACGGATCATGTTGACGCGAAGAACAGTACAACTGCGGTAGAAAAAGTCAATGTGAAGCCCCCTCCCTCGCGACTTGTGTTTCACCATGGCATTTTCGACATTTGCCATCTGTATCACACGTTTTTCGGCGACTTGAGCAAGGTGGAAAACGCGACAGCCGGGTTTCTGAAGTCCTGGACCGGCTTGATCGGTCAACGTATTGTCGTTTACGACACCCGGCACGTGATGCGGGCAGGTATAAGTTTGTGGCCGATTTGTGCTTCGACGAATTTTTCCTTCGTTATTTCGTCTAAATCGCTTCCACGATATATTTTTCGCAGGTAAGCTAAGCGTTTTCCGGTACGCAGACAATACTTTAGCTTTGCAGGCTCTGTACGATTTCTTCTGCCCGACCGGGCCCAAGTTCAATGCCCATTGTGCCGGAGATGACGCCGAAATGACCGCTCGCATTTTCTTCCAAATGGCCACGAGGTGGCATGAGCACCATGTTGCAAACGAGGCGGCAGGCGGTAGTTCTGCAAATCAGACCGCTCAACAAGGTGGAGGGCAAGCACAGCAGAAGCTGCAGAAAAAGACCACCAAGAGCAAGAAGAAGGGAAGTAAGAAGAGTAAGACTAAGAGCAGCAAGAAAAGCAAAAGCAAAAAGGTTTCTTCCTCCACCGCGAAGGCAGAGCCGGCCGCGGCCACAGCTCCTTCATCTACGAGTGAGTCAAAGTCCTCAGCGTCGTCTGCTGATCCTCCTGTTGACGCCCCAGCTTCTGCATCCCGGGATAATGAAAAGATAAACTTCGAGAACAAACAAGCGAATACCGGCGCGACCCCCGGTGAGTCGGTAGCAGCTGCACACCCTCAACCACAAGAAGGCTCATCCGCGGCGAAGGAGACCGGCGCTGTTGCAGCACCCGTTGAAAAAGAAAACGAAGGTGAAGCAGAGGACGCTGAAGACACGACTTCGAGTAGCGAGGACACGGATGAATCCTCGAGCGACGACGAGTCTGAAGAGTTAGAAGAAACAGTTCCCTCCTGCGAGCATCTGTGGGGTAACCTCTGGAAATACGAGAACTGCATCTCAGGGTTCGGCGCGGCGCCGCAATGGTTTCGTGTGGCCCACGAGAAAAAACCGATTGTGACGGCGAACAAAGCGACGTCCTCTGCGCAGCCAGCTGCTACAGCGTTCACCTGAGTAGAAGCTACGAGGTCGGGGAACGATGTAAGTTGTGTTTCAACATTATCATGTAAGTAGCTCCTCCAAAAGCCATACAATATGCGCAGCAAGCTAGTAAAGTTCAAGTCTTTTGTGCAATATGAGCATGAGCGAGAGCAGGATTTCTTTTCACGGTATAGATGATCTGCATTGCCATGCCATATGCTGTTTCACCTGATGAAGCATCGGAGTTTCTTGCGCATGGTGCTGGTGACTGAACATCGGTAAAGTCTGCATGATCATGAGGTGGCGAGTTTACTAAATTCGCATCGACGAGGTGGCAGGAGGTCAGCCCATCATTAGCAAGCAGAGAACACGGAGAAAAGTGCGCAAGCACTTGCTCAAAAAAGAAAAGAAAAAAAGAAAAGAGATGGTCGCGCGTACTTATTGTCCGCGACGTCATCCAAAATGCAAAAAAGAAAAACCTGGCAGAAACTTCTGCACAGAGGCAACTGCTTTCTTGCAGCTTGCCGTTGTTTTTGAACGAAAAGAGCTGTGTTCCGAATTTTTCGATACTCCGTTTCCTTGGCCTTCGTCACGCCTCAGATCTCCTTCGTTGTCGTGTTTATTCACCACCGCCAATTATAGCGATCTTGTGCATATTCATATTGACAATTGCCACATCCGAAGTAAGTATTGAAATTTAACATCGTTTCCGTTTGTAAAAATCAAAGACAAGAACAGTTTTGCTGCTGGAGTTCCTGGTAGTTCGAAAATGTCGCAGGCGTCCCGTTTGCCTGCGCGACAGCTGTTTATGGCTCTCTTGGCCAACGTGTTGCTGCTCTTGTTCCTCCCAATTCAGACAAACGCCGAGACGTTTGGAAAGATTACGAGTTGCCCGGCGTGACGCTTAAACGCGCTGCCCGAGGTGCGGAAATTTCTGAAGGATGAGAGCAACCGATCGGGCGTGTCCCAGTACCCCGGCGTCCAAATGGTTTGGCACCGGGGAGAGTCTCCCCGTCTGGAGATCAGGCCTGCGCTGTCCAGCGGGAACAAAGCATCGCTGGTTACACGACCCGGAGTTGTTGCCTCATCCGAAAGTGGATCCAACCAACCAGCAAAAACCGCTGGAGCTGACCTAGACTACGATACGCCAATAGCGGCGGAGACGATACCATTGGACAAGTTTAAGTTTCACGACCTGCATCTGCTGCTGCAATGTAAGGGCTTCCGCACCGTGCTACAGGAGAGGGCAAGTGCGAGGGAGTGCGATAGCTTCAGGGAGAAGTTTCCGGAGCACTTTCAGATCAACGCCGCGGTGCCTCTTGCACAAGATGCAGAAGACAGGGAAGGCCAACTGAATCCGGTAGCGCGAGACAAAGCAGGAGAAGCAGTCGCAGCGACGTTGAGCCTTCTGCATGATTCCCGTATTTTTTGTTTTTCTTGAGTGCGATTCTTGTGAGTCTGTCTGATGAACTAATATTGAGATTGCCGCGTGTAGTTGCTCGATTATTTTGGCAGGCCTTAGCTACCACTACGCTTGTCTCTATCTGGTGGCGCTCGTCCGTCTTCGTGTAATCTGTATCTGGGCATGAAGATCTGCACCTCGTCCAAGAAGTCTTCAACTCATAAATATTCACATGTGATCAACAGCTGCCAACCTTAATGCGCAAAGCCGCCGAACTTGGGCCGCTTCGCTATTCCGAAGCCCGCTGGTGATACTTCTTTTCGGCGTCTTCTGTTGCGGTTGCGTATTTTACCAGTACGCTGACGCCGCGATGGATCGCTTCAATAGACGGCAGCAGCGGAGAAAATATGACGCGGCAGCTGTCACTGAGCTTGACGCGGTGGAACTAGGGCAGGTTTCCGCTTCCCACGCCGCGCAGACGCCCGAGGGGGACGAGGACGAGGAGGGTGTTGTAGACTCTCAAAACTTTAGCCGCGGGCCGACCTGGATGCGAAATTCAAATTTGGGGCCGCGAAGCACGTCGAAAAATCGAAGTAACACGACCTCCGGGGATGGTGCCGTAGCTGCCTACGAGAGCCCGATCGCATCTTCGCCCGGGAAGATTCACTACGGACATAATATTGGGGTAAGGAATGCGGAGGATGCGATCTAACTGGGCTCCTCCGAGGAGATGCGGTCTTCGTCTTTTTTCAAAGTGATCCACTGACTCCCGATTCTATTTTCCAGAAAGAGCTACTGCTACCCTTTTTCCAGTACATTTCTTGAGGAGTGATTCCGCGCAGTATAATGAATGAGCCTAGTGACTCTGCGAATTTTTATTGCTTTTGCTGGCGTGGTTGATATAGTCTCACGACTACAGGAGTTTCTACATCACAGCGGCTATGCCTATGTTTGCTGTCGGAGGAGGTCGCGATGTAGTTTTTCTGAATCGGATGCGGGTTGTTCGTTACACGTGCAGAGCACTGGCGTGGAGAAGGATCGACATGGCGAAAGCCGAAGTCGAAGAGGGCAGTCCATAAAAAATGTGCTGCGTTGCATTGTTGCACGACATTCAAATGATCGCAATACTGCTCAATGCGATTGTTAGCGGTGTTTTGTGGTTCTCGTTGTTCGCAAGTTTCTTACGGGGAAAAAATAGCAGCTGAGTTTGTGGGAAAGGTAGTTTGCCAAATAGCCGGATGATGAATTTGTGAGCAGGGTGATGGGGCGGGTAATTCGGCGAACCGGCGGAGGACCAAGGGGCGCGCCGCTCGTGGTGGAGGTCTCGAGCTGTTTCGGCATTGCGCAGGAAATTGGCGGCCCCTTCATCAAGCAAGCGGCGGCGCCTGCCCTTGCCAGATGGGGCCGGCGCAGATTGTGGGGAGGGGGTGCCGAAAGGCTTGGCCTAGAAGCGCGCCACGTCCTCGAAGGCCGAGCAGGAAGACCGCGCGCGATTCTTTGATCCGGGGCTCCGGTAAGTTGGTCGGCGGCTTCTGTGTGTTCCGGCCGAACAAGCTGCCCAACGCGGCCGCGGAGGTGTCGGCCCCCGGCATTGCGCCGGGCGACGCATATCGGAGGCCCGCGGGGGGGGGGGGGCAGCTTTGGGTGGCAGCGGCCGCGCAGCTCTGGGGCCGCCCCGGCCCGCCCAGGGCGATGCCACGGCCGGCGAGACGCGGGCGGCGCGGGAAGCGCGTAGCCGGCGAGGAAACGGCGCGCGGCTTGCCGGGAAGGCCGGCGAACGGGACAAGCAGCACCTTCGCGCCTCCCCGTGCCGCCCGGAAGTCCCCGAATGGTGGACCAGGCCGCCGCCTGCTTCGAAGGCCTGGCGAAAAACTTCGGGCGCCCGCCAAGGCCGGCGAGCTTCGGCGATGGATGCCGCGGCGCAAACGGGTCGCGCTGGCGTTTTTTGGTCGCGGGCGTATCGATGCTAATTAGAAGCAATATCTTTGGCGCTGTGAGGCCGTAAGTTAGTGACTTAGTGGCGCGGAATTGGCGGGGTTGTAATTTCAAAAGAGGCCCAGGGCCGTCCTGCGCGTTTGCCGGGGCGGCCGCGAGCGCGGTACGTAGGCCGCCGCTAAAAAGGGGGCGAAGGAGAGCACTCCGGCGAACCGGGGCGCGAGGGCAATGGCGCAACATGTTCGCGGGGCCGGCTGGTGGATAGGCCGCTCCGCGCCCCAGGCGCGGGCGCCTGGCTTTGGTGCAATGGGCGCGCCCCCCGCCCCCCCTCCGCTTCTTGGCCTTGTGTTGCCGTGGCCATTTGCAACGAACGCGCAAAGCCATTGGCGGGCAGAGTTGACCAAGAGGGTTGCCCCCATGTTACATTTGGCACTTCAGTCGTTCCTCCGGCGCGATGCCACGCATCCGCACAGCGCGAAAAGCTGCCATCCGTCACTTGATGGAGTACAGCCAGCGACAGCGAGCGGCCGGGGCTTCGAGTAGCCAGTATACAAGTGACAAGCTCCCCCTCCCCCTCAAAATATTACTTTTTTGTAATATTTCGCAATTTATTTGGTTACCAAATAATGCGTTTTTATGTCACCAAATGTTGCACTTTTGTGCCATCAAATCGCGCACGTTTCGACTCCAATAAATGCGAAGCGATCCATCGCGTTGCGTTTTGTGGCAGCAAACGCGTCGCAAAAGGTCGCGGACCCGGAGTGTCTTCGTGCCTTTGATCGGTCGAGCCTGTGATCTCCGCACACCTGGCGCAGAAATCGGGGTCAGATGACTGCGTCAGGAATAAACAAGGAGACGGCAACAACCAAAAGAAAATGCCGGGCCTTCTTCTGCGTGTAAGTTGATAAGTTGCAAGACTTCCGGCAAATGCTCGCCAAATCGCCACTTTTTGTGTCGTCAAATCAGCGACTTTTTTGCGACCTCGGAAGTGAGCTCAAAAAATATTACTCTTTGATCGCTAATCACGATGCTATGGGCCCACTCCCCCTCATGAGGGAAAGTGGACGGCTTTGGTGAGGGGGAGTGAGCCCATAGCATCGCGATTAGCGAAAATTGCAGCGTTTTGGCCCCGGCAAATCGTCCCCATAGCATGCAGCCTAGCTCCTAGAAAAAAATTAAAAAAGCGCTCGCTTTTTCATTCAAATCATCCACTTTTTGTCATTCAAATCATCCACTTTTTGTCATTCAAATCAGCGACTTTTTGGGCTCGGAGCTGCGAGCCGCCAAAAAGGAGCAAAAAATATTACATTTTGATGGCTAATCGCGATGCTATGGGCCCACTCCCCCTCATGAGGGGAAGTGGACAGCCTTGGCGAGGGGGAGTGAGCCCAAAGCATCGCGATTAGCTTTCACAACATAGCGAGAGACTGCAAACTTTTGCGACGCTTTTGGTCGCACAAAAAGCAACGCAAGCGCTCCGCATTTGAGGTCGAAACGTGCGCGGTTTGATGACATAAAAGCGCACTATTTGGTGACATAGAAGCGCGCTATTTGGTAACCAAATATATACTCCAATATCAATATTTTGAGGGGGAGGGGGAGCTGAGCACTTGTATAGCCAGCCAACGCCGGCCAGTAGCGGGGCGGTTTCGGCATGGTGGACCATCGCAGGCGTGGCGAGCAATGCCAACAATGCGGACCGCGGCTGCCGACGTGTGTTGATTATTGGCATGGCCATTGGGCCGATTGTCCAGAATGCGCACGCAGCGCGAGAGTCACGAGACTCCTTGTCGATGAGGGGCTCACCGTTTCAGAAGGCGAGCCGCTCGGGCACGAGTACAAGGTCTGCGAGCGCGTGAACCTGTGCACTGGGCCGCGAGCAGATCCCAGGAAAGCCGCCGGGCATTTTCCATCGTGCGCCGCGTCTGAGAGTTTTGCAATCGCACTCGTTCCGGGCAGGGGGCCCCTCCGCGGCGGGCTAGCTTGCAGCTTGGCAGCGCGGCCGCCTATTTGGTCCGCTCGCTTCGCGGCCCTTTCTTTGGGCTGGCCGGGCCCGCGGTACTGGGTTGGAGTCGCCAGGGCGGCTGAAAATAGACGCCGTCCGCGATTGCCCGACTGCGTGTTTGGCGCGCCAGTGTTGGTCCCCGCGGGCGGTCTGCCCTCTAGTTCTTCACTCTTGGGCGCCGTCCGCCGGCCCGCCCGCCCGGGCAGGCGCCGACAGCCGACCGTGCGTCGCGCGCCAGCTGATTTCAGGCGCGCCTGCCTCCCAGCAGCCGGCGCCGCGATGTCGATTTCTGGCGACCATGTGAACAACGCGATGCAATGACTCGGCGCCCGCTGCCGCAATGCGAATGCCCTCCTTCGCGTTTGCTCTTCCTTGGCGTTGGTTTTCTGTTGAAGGTGTTGGCCGCACCGACAAAAGGAATGGAGTGAAAACTGGAGTTGGCCGCGGAGTGAAAACTGGACTCACGATGAGCAAGCATGGTCATTTGCCCGCCTGTGGAAAGTGAACATACCACGGAGCGGAAACCACTTCCAGCGTTATCATATTCTAACGCAGTGCGCGAGCGCGTCTAATTGTTGCGCTTTTCTTTGTGCCTGCAAGCCGTGCGTGTATGCCTGTTGTTCGTCCACTTTTTTTATCTGCTGCTCCATGTTTTTTCGATACCTCAGCGCGGCCGCCATCGCCTCATCTTTTTCTTTCCTATGTCAATGGACCCCTCCGCGAAGCGTGTGGAGCAGCGCTGCGCTAGGTTGCTGCGTGTCTCTTTCTGACTCTGAATCTGATACAAGAACAAACTTGAAGTCTTGAGCGATATCGAAGCCGACGACCCATGATATCCCTGACCAGACACCAGCTCCGTAGTTTAGTCTATTAGTATGTTGCCGTCGACGATGAGCTGCAAGAGAAGGAGCGTCATGACCCGGCACGCTTGGCAGTTAATTTAATATCAGTCGCATTTCGATATCGATTCTTCCGTTCCTCGGTTGCGTGAGAAGATAGCACTAGAAGTAGTGTAGCAGCTGCAGCTCGAGGTCGAGGAGCGAGTGCGGGTTTAAGATATATACTTTATTAAAGGTTGGACACATGTACATGTTGATACCCGTAGCCGTACCCCATAGCTGCATGATATCGACCCGTCGTGGACAGAAATTTTACACACTCGCATTGAGCAGACGACTTGGCATCGGATCAAAGAACAACACGAAAGTATGGAGTTCGATTTCAACGTCGCGCGAACGTTCGGGCTCCACAGCAACAGCGGCGTTGCCTGTTTGTCCGCCGACCGCATTGCCGATGCGAGCTCCAGCATCGATCCCCGGCGGAGGACCAGTGTCGCACCCAATGATCCCAGTCGACTCAAGAAGCAACTGTGTGAAGTCATCGAAGAGATGGGTAGAGCAAGCCAGATAGCGCAGGGACTCCGCCAACCGGTTACGGTAAGTCGTGCTGCACAGTTGTGTGGCACAACATAACATCAATCGCCATGCTGCGCTTTCAGTAGAAATTGATTGAAACTCATGACTCATTCCTTGAGTATGAACGAGCGGAGGCCACTGCCAAAATTGATACTAGCAGACACATCGTTAAGTGCTCATTTCAAAAACACACGACGACCAAAATAATGCTTACAGAACCTCATCAAGCTTTCGGGCTGCCCGGACCAGCGCGTGTACATTGCAATTTCGGATCGCAGCAAGGTGATCGGCTTGCTGAAGGTCGGCGTGAAGAAGCTCTTCGTGCAGACGCCCAGCATCAACACCAGCATCTACACCCGCAGCAGCGACACGGGCCAGATGGCGGAGATCCAGCCGCTCTGCGTTTTGGACTTCTACGTCCACGAGTCGTGCCAGCGTCAAGGGTGGGGCAAGAAACTGTTCGAGTATTTCCTCTGGCAGGAAAAGAAGAGCCCCACGAAGCTGGCCTACGACCGCCCGAGCTCGAAGTTGCTCAAGTTTTTAGACCGGCATTACGGGCTGAAGCAGTACACGCCGCAAACGAACAACTTCGTGGTCTACCACCGGTTCTTCGACAAAAAGGACAGCGGCTACATGCCCTCTTCCTGCCCGGTGTTGTTCGAGGAGCAACGGGAGCGGGCAGAATCCAAAGGAAATAAAGTGAAGTTTGCGGTGGAGGCCTCCACGTCCTCACCAGAGAAAGACTACGAGGCGGAGCGGTCCACGTCTTGTTCCGAGGGATCGCACCCCGGTGGACCCGCGGTTGCAGCATCTTCATCGAGCCGGTCGTCGCGAGGTGCAGCAGTTCCAACGGGCTACCGAAGTCAAGCCGACGCTGAGGGTGGCGCAGGGTCCCCGGAACTGCCGTCGCGGCACGACATGGCGGAACAACTGAGAGGCGGCGAGGGAAAGCTCGCATCTGCACTAGAGCAAGCGAGGGCACTAACAAGGCTACAGGAGGAACAACGAAGTACCGCGGCGCTCGAGCAGCAACGGCAAGACTCACGAACCCACTTCCAGAAACACGTACTACTAGTACAGTTGCTTTCTTAATTTCTATAATTTCATGGCTTGACCATGGTGCGCTTGGCATTGGCTTTGCACTTTATCATTTTTCTTCTGTTCGACGTTTAGAACAATAAGTAATCTGTAAACACTCAGCCTGTTCGACGAGCGAGCATCTGTAAACACTCACCTGGTGAGTGATTTCAGAACATTATCTGAGTCTGAATCTGTTTAAGTTTTTTTTTATTTTTCCAATGTCGATGTCGAAATAATAGCGCACATATAATTGACCTCCACAGCTATCTTCCACCTATGGCTCGCAATTCGCCGACCCCTCTCCCTACGACGCGGTGTCTGAACACTTCACCCGCCCAGCCTACGTACACTATCGTGATCGACAGCGACAGTCCAGCGGTGTCGCAAATTTGCTGTCTACGCACGGGTCGAAAAATGGAACGAGTGGCGTTGGAGCAAGCGAGCAGCCTCATGGCGAATTACAGAGGCAGAAGAAAACATCCCTGTACGGAAGCGATTTCCAGGCTCTCACGGGCTCCGACTCGAAGAGCATGCTCTCGCAACAGCAGCAGCTCAACAACATGGTGGCAAACAGCTTGAAAAATCCGCAAAGATCAAGAACGATTCTGTGAACTCCTGACGAACAATAATATTCTCTTTCAATTTATTTTTCAATTCTTTTCCAAGTACGTCGTCTCGTGCGAACGAAGCCGAAGATTCTGATGAACGTGTGATCGCTTCTTGTTGTTGACCGCCACCGGACACAAGAAAAACTTTTCGCTTTCTTTCTCTGTTTTTCTCAGCATGCATTCAACTTTGTGGCACTTTCGTCGAGTGTGGCCGCGGCGCCGAACTTTCAGTTTGGCGTATGTCCTTTTTGAGAAGAATTTCGTTGCGTCCAAGTGGAGCTGCACCTTTCAAGATGCAGTAACAAGTACTTTTTATGAAGCGAAACTATGACAACAAGCATTCTTCTAAATCTGATCTGAGCCCGACCCTCGCACACCCTCTGGCTGGCAAAGTAAGTACAACGCTTGCGCGACCGCTACTTCATCTATTGTGGTCACCAGAACTACACCCAGTGCCAGTGCTGACGACACTACGTGTTACCTGCGGAGGCAGAGCAGCAGAAGACGAAGGGGTTTGTTTCTTACACGCGTATCTGACGCAGAATCGGGGTTGTCTTCTTCGGTCATAATCAACCTGCAGCTGATGGTTGCTCTTACCCGGAGCAGCTCGGAGCAGCTTCAATTCATGTTGTGTGCCAGATTTTGTCAAAGAAAAGATCCCGCTGCGGCAAGGAGATCAAAATCAAATGGATCATCTTCACATGAAGGAGATCTAGAAACTAGAAGAAGAGCACCCTTTTCATTCCAGAGGAACGGTAAAGCAGATCCAGATCTGGACGAAATACACAGTAATAAACAGATGACGAACATGACAAGACGAGTCCAACATGAGTATGGTGGTCAGAAAAGCAAAAACATATGGATGTTGTCACGTAAACCTAACAAGTAAACGTTACGTTTACTGGACATGATCCTTATCTAAATCTTATACTTATCCGTCGACGACGAGCACAATGATCTTTCTTGGAGATTTGTCGTCTTTTTTTCTTTCTGCATTTCCTATGATGTGAAATGATGTCAGCGACCCAACAAACAAGCGACCTCTTCCCATCTGCACCTGTGACAAGATTTGAACCTCACATGCCCCGTCGTGGTGTTGTATTGGTGAAAATGAAGCAGTAGCAAATGTAAAACTATAAAGTTGAAGTTGTATTTTTATCATGTGCCTTTTTGAGCGAGAATATCGGTGGCGGGAAACCGTAAGAATCTGAAGAAATATGTTGCTTGTCGAAGAAGGCAACTCGGCGGGCACCAGGAAGATCACGTCGTCTTCTATGCCCGGACGACAGGAGCCTGCACCAGTCTCCCTCCAGCATCAGGATGGCGAGCTAGTACCTGCTGAACTCCCTCCGGAGCTGCAAGAGCAGCCTCCAACCATGTCCAAGCGCGCTGCCAACAAGTTGCTTCACAAGCAGAGCAAGCGACTCCGGCGCCACGACGACCGCGTGAAGAAGCACGAGGAATTGCTTGAAAAGGCGAAGGAACTGCGCAAGGAAATATCACAAGATCTGCCGCGGCTGACGGTCCCAGATGCATCGCTCTATCAAAACCTCAGGGAATTTTGCGAAACGGAAATTCTGAAGGGAAAAGAAGCGTCTATTGATGAAGGATATCCTCACAATCATGAAGAGAGCTCTGACCCATCTACGGCGGAGGGCATTGTTGGCGCTTTCCTTCGGCGACCGACCGCTTATCATGCCAAGTACGCCGCCCAAGAGCTCTGTCTCGCATACCAGGTCTGGCGATTGATTCGCGCACAGGAGCAGAGGTCGTGCCGGGGGGAGACTGGAAGAGCATCACAAGCAGCGGCGAGGACGACCACGACGAACGGTGAAAGGACATTACAACGACCCGTAGACGCTCTTGTGGATGTTGGGGCCGGAAACGCGAATCTCAGCCTTTTTCTCGCTTTGCTGTTCGATCTGCCGGTGCTGATGGTGGAAATGGACTCCCCAAGAAAGGAATTGCGGGGCGAAGAGTGTCTTCCTACAGATGAGGGTGGTGACAGGGAAGATGTTGATGACCAACGAGGCACTTTGGCAAGGGAGGTCAGAAGAAACCTAATCCGCGTTCCAGACACGAGGATAGAAGGCTACACACTGCCGAGCGAGTACCAGAGTGTCATCGTTATCGGCAAGCATCTGTGCGGCCCAGGAACCGACGCGGCGATCGAGTTTATCGCAAGAAATGAAAGTCGGGTCGCCGGATGCGTGTTCGCCACGTGCTGCTTCAACAAAATTTGCAACGACCATTACTTCGCAGAATGCTATGGCGATTTGCTGTTGAGAAACAAGAAAAACACGTCAGTCGCAGAGGTGGAAGGTCGTCGCGAGGACAACTTTGTTTGCGAGAGCGTGGAAGCCGAGGACGACAGCACAGGAGATCATGACGCAACTTCCGCAGCAATTTCGAGCATACAAATCAAACAGCGCATCCAAGAGCTGGCGCGCATGACTTCGTGGCGAAACACGCATCTTACCGATAACAGCCTGATTAGCGAGCCGATGCTGCGAGAAGCCGAATTTTTCGAGTCCTGGATCCAGCAATCGAGAATACACCGGCTCAAGCAAATTTTCACTGCGAGCGACGTGGACGAATTTCTCTACTGCCGCAGCGGCGCGCATTCGCAACAGAACAGGTGCCTAATCGCAGGAACAACGTCAAGAGCTAAAAGAAGTCACCAGAATGACCAAGTCGAAAGCTGCGACACACAAATACAACAAACAGACGCTGAGAGGGTACCAGCCGAGGACTACTTGAGCACCGAACTTCCGTCTTTTTGGCAACGGATAAGGCATCGTGCGCACTTTCTTTCCTCGATATTACCAATCGACCTGAGACCCGTCGGGCTCGTCTCAGCGCGATACAACTTTGATGGCCGGGGCTTGTTGAAGAAGGCTGGAAAAGACTTAGATATCTGTCCAACAGTAGCAGAGGTGGACGAAGAAGACATTCTTGACGGATCCACTGCTTCCTCTCTAGCAGAAGTAGTCCCTTCGACTTGACGTTGACGAGGACCTCCACCCTCACACTCGTGCGCCTGACAACTGGCTTCTTGAACACAATAAATGATGAAAGTAGATCGAACAAAAGTAGTTCTTTTTTACCGAGCAGCACTTTCACCGGCGACCTCAATCTTCAACGACGCATCCCTACAGCAGCATCATGTTGCTCATCATGGTGATGAAAACCCAAAGCGTAGAAAGCTCTACGACTTGTTCTGTACGACATCAAGGTCCCTTTGTTCATATTCGTTCCCAGTGGCCGGATGAAGATCCAGCAGCGACTGCATCTTCATCCCTTTGGGTAATTAGAGTCATTACAGCGTCGAGCGCATTCTATTGTCCCTTTCGTTGTTGCAGCTGTTGGGCGGCGCAACTAGCAATGTTTTTAGTTTTACATGTTTTTTCAATATCGTGTCGTGGTCGGGAGAGACTTCTGAGTGTATGCCTGTTGACCTCCTCGTGAGCGTGAGGGTGATGATGGAGTGACGATTAGACGTTCGTAGTTCGATTTAGAAAGAAGATGCGAGCCTTGTCTAATGAAGATTAGTGTGGGTATGCATAGAAAGAAGCTTCAGCTCTCCGACGAATAGACACGTTTTTTTTCCTATGATGACGCAACTACATCGCAACTAGTTGTTGAAGAAAGAGGTCGAGAGTGTAAACATAAGATTCTGTTGCCTTGCAGAAGTATTAGAACCGGCAGAAACAGTAGCTGTAGCTGCACCTGTAAAAATAAAAAAGATCAACGAATTGTTGATGGACCTGAACTGGCTATTAGACTGTTGAATCTAGTTGGTATTGGTACCACTGGCTCCTATCGCCGGAACCAAAAACATGGGTAAATTTTCGGACCGTGGCTTCGTGGTCATTACTGGCGCGGCCGGTAATTTCGGTGCGGCGATGGCGAAGAAAGTGGTGGAAGAGGGGGGCTCTGTGCTTCTCATCGACACGCCGGCATTGACGAAGCCACTGGAGGCGCTGCGCGACTACCTTGCCGACCGTGCCGCGAAAATCTTCGCCGCACAAAAAAACGCGATAAAGCGCACGGTGAGCGGGACCGTGCTGAATCAACAACTTCTCTTACAACAAGGAACTTCTAGCAGAAACGGTTCCAGCAGCGATTTGCAGAAGATCCAACAAGGAAATATTAACGGGGACGCGTCGGCGTCGAACAAACCAGTGAAGCTGGAGGATGAGAACAGTACTAGCAAAAAGTCCTCCAATGGACCGAGCAGTCCGCTTCCCCCCGGAGCCAACTCCGTGGACAACAGCGCCACAACGACCACCAGCAGTGGCGCACCCGTCGCAGCCACACCTAATGGCCCGCCGAGCATCAATGTCTACCCTCCGGCAACTGCGTTCAGTCCCGGGTCTCGCTTGTTACCGAGTCCGATGAGCCTGCCGCATCTCCAACAGCCACGCGTTTATGAAATGCAAATATGTCTGGGTCTGGAAGAATGGAACTTGTAATGCTGTCTGCGGATTCTAAAAATAGCTGTGTTGCATGAGCAGCAAGAGGAGTCAGCTCTTGGCACGCGGAGAGGGCATTTCTCATGCGTAATTAGCATCAAGCAGCTCTCAAAAAATCTGTGATGCTAGCACCAGCATCACAGACCTCACGGGTCATGCAAAACGTGCATGACAATCCCCGACTCTTCCAGACCCAGACATTTTTGCATTTGATAGCGTTCTCATGTTCACGATGGACGTGCGCATCGACAGCGAGATCGCAAAAATGGAGAACTTATCCTGTGCAAAAGTATCGCACTCGTAGTAATCGCAGCTGTGCATTACAAATCTCCATCCCAAGGCAAAACAGCATGACAAATTCCACTTATCATTCTGAGCCAATTTGTAATGCGATTACTATATATTATATTCATGCGAAAAAAGAGGTAGACAGAGGGTAAACAAGAGGTGGCCGAGAGGTCAAAAAGAGGTCAAAAGAGGTAAAAAAGAGGTCGACAGAGGTGGAGAGGTGGCGCGGGACCCCTTTCGAGAGGGTCGGCGAGAGGGTGCGCGAGTATAGCCCGCCGAAGGCCCCACCTTAAGGCGGCGCCTAAGTGCCTCAGAGGGTGCAGAGATGTCAAAAAGAGGGGGCGCGAGAGGTCGACAGAGGTCGAGAGAGGTGGCGCGAATAAGGGGCGACCTCTCGCGGACCCTCTTGGCCACCTCTCGGCCACCTCTGTCGACCTCTACTCGCGAGTATAGCCGGATTATTAGCGGGGACCCCCAAAAGAGGCAAAAAAGAGGGTCTGCGAGAGGTCTGCGAGAGGGTAAAGACACAAAGTGGTGGGCGCGAATCCGCATGGTACTACCATTATTTGGCACTGCAGGCTATTCGCGGACTTGTTTTGTTCGGCGCCTGTCCCCGCCACCCTCTCGCGCACCCTCTCGCGCACCCTCTCGCGCCACCCTCTCGCGCACCCTCTCGCGCCACCCTCTCACAAACCTTCTCGCGCACCCTCTCGCGCCACCCTCCCGCGCTACCCTCTCGCGCCACCCTCTCGCGCTACCCTCTGCCGCCGAGCGGCTTCTGTTCGCCCCCGGCGTTCTTTGCCGCTGCTCGCTGCGCAGAGCGCCCGCAGGCGCGGGAAGCGCGCAAGTGGTCCTGCGGGTTGGCGCGGCGCAAACCGGCGGCACGAATGCAGTGTGTTTCGTTGTGCATAGGCCCGTGGGGTTGTGGTCCGGTCGGCAAATAGTCTTGCCCCGGCCCAACAGCCTTGCGCTCCGGCGGCAGCCGGAGCATGGCTGGTTACTACTAGTGCGATACTTTTCTTTGAAATGCATAGAACTTTCTGGAGCAGGAGAAGCTGATCGTCTACGGGCTCTTCAACAACGCGGGGATCCAGGGCGAAATTCAACCCATCTACGACACCACGGTGCAGGACTTTGAGAACGTCATCCAGGTGAACGTTGTCGGTGCCTTCAAGGTTTTGCGGTCCGTAACGAAGTACATGAAAGACCGAGGGCAAAAGGGCGCTGTGGTGTCAACCTCAAGCACGGCGTGGAACGGCGTGCCAAACATGATCGGGTATGGACGGTTAGTAATTGAGTTGTTGAAAAGACACACAGACATAGATAAACTCGATCGAGAAGTGAGATGTCAGAAACGAATCACGAATACCACCCAAATACAACAAAAATCAGATACTCGATGTCCAAGGCCGCGGTAGTGGGCATGACGGGCAGCGCCGGCAAGGACCTGGCACCCTTCGGGATTCGCGTGAACTGCATCTCCCCGGGCCACGTGGGCGGCACCATGTGGGACCGCAAGCTGAACCTCCAGGCCAAACTGAACACGCAGTACTGGCCGCACGGGGACCCAAAGGCCATCGGCGAGGCCATGCTGAAAAAGGTTCCCCAGCGCCGAGCCGCGGACGTGACAGAAATCATCAACGTGGTTAGCTTTCTCCTCTCCGAAGAAGCATCCTTCATGACCGGGGAGAACGTGCGTGTCGCGGGCGGGGAGTAAGAAGCTCTACTGTACTGACGCGAATTTTGTCTGTAGACGAAAATTTTCAAATTTTTGCTTCCCTGCCGATGTTGGATGGATGCAGGGGCGCTGATGATGATCTGTTCGCAGAATTTCTTGGGGACATATTTTGGACGTTTTCTGAAGGCAAAAAACGTCGCGCCACAAGGCGGCCGGAGAGGGAGGCCCTTTTTCGGCGGCCTACGCCGAGCTATTTCGGCCGATTTTATCGGCCAGTCTGAAAATTTGTCTGCAGCTCTCCGGGAGGGGTCGGAAACGAGGTCGTTTCCGGAGCTCCCGAGAGAGCCAAAAATGGCCAATTCGCGAGGCTTTTTTTCGGGGCCCGGCCGGAGCTATTTCGGCCGATTTTATCGGCCAGTCTGAAAATTTGTCTGCAGCTCAGGAGGAGCACTCCCAAAAGCTACCTTTTTTGGCCTCCTTCTCAAGGCCTTCAAAAACTGCCAAAAAGGCGACACCTGCCCAGCAGCTCCAAGCGCCTCCATTTGGCGCGGCTGCTACTGCCAGTCTGCCAGCCTGTTATGCCCGCCCTTGCGAATTCCTGTGGAGCCTTCCCAAAAAACCGAAACAGGTCTCACCCTTCGCGGCAGCAAGATCGCCGGGAGGGTGCTGCGGAGTGAAAAAATTTGAAAAATTTCGTGTACAGACAAAATTCCCGGTAGTATACTGTTGATCTTACTTAATAAAGATTGTACGCTCATCGCTGAACAGGATGGCGGAGGTGGCGGGCGAGGACTTCGTCACAAAATGTAATTGCGATGGAGGACGAGATGAAATATTTTTAAGACAGGTGTTGTAACATGTTCTTGTAGAAAGATTTTCTACTCACTTCGATTTTTTATTTTAGCAAAGCGCTTCCAAATCCGCTTGGTCCGCCAATACTGGCATTGCCGCAGCTCCATTTTTCCCTTACATCCACTGCACCGCTAAGCTTACCTTTTATAACCTTATCGTCGTGTGTGTCATAACCATAAGTCAACGAAGATTGTAGTGTCACAAGGTGCTCCACCACCGCTATGCCCCCGTTTATTTGCCACCCAGGTTTACACAAATTTGCAACTTGTTTCAGTAAAACTTAACTGCGAGTTTTACTGGATTGATTTGAAGATTTTTTTTACCGATATGGGGTCAATAATACAGGGTCGATCTTAGCACAGAAATTCTCAAATGTGCAGCAATATTTAGAAGCTGAGAAGGACAAGGAGGACAATACTGAAGCGCTTTTGGAAGGACGATTCTCATTGTGAGTGTGCTGAAGCTGATGATGGTCAATACATCGTAAAAGCATCAATTTCATCAAATACAGCTGCTGCATTGTCCTCCCCCTCGCGAGGTCAATAAAAAAAGCAAAAGGCCAAGCTACTCCCCCCACCTAAACGTAAACGTGTATGCGCAGCTTCTTCCCGCTGCACAGCTTGCATACGCATACTCCAGCACATAAAATTGATCGCGAACCGATTCTATCCACTTTCTGGAAGAGTGAGATAGAGATGTCGTGACCAGCAGTAGTAACGGTGCCAAACTATGACCATCTACTAACGCTAACGATTTTGCCTCAGATATTTATTCATCAAACCTTAAACTTTTTTGATTGGGGCAAAACAACAAGCACTGCTTCAGCTTCTCACCAGCCGACTCGGGGTCAGCACGCTGATGGCGGGAGTTATGCTGTCAATATAGTTTCCCTCCCCCTGACGGCGATGTCAACCTTGAATAAGTTGAAAGCGAGTAGAACGGAGGACAGCTTTGAGGTCGCTGAGAAGGAGTTTGTTCTGAATTGTCGAAGAATTTTTATATCGCAGTGATTATCTACCTATACGGTTTAGGGGCATCAAGAATTTTTACCTGTTAGTTTGTGATGTTTACGAGACCATGAGCATGACAACAGGGCGTGCAGCAGGAAGAGCCACAACTTCGTAGAATGGTATCAATTCATGATTTTCGAATCTGCGTCAAGTGAGACGGTGAGGCTGTCGTGAACGTTGATCATTAGGAACTACACCAGGCACGACTCGCGCTGCAACATTTCAGACTGCATGACTGTACATCAGATTTGTCACATGAATCGAGGCAAAACACGCTAGACCGCTGCTGTTGGAAATAAACGTAAATCAAGAAATGTGTTGCCAGAATGTACCTGTACCTATGTAAACTTCATCATCTTCGTCGACCTACGACATTTGCCCTCCACCGGAGGTGAGACGTTCCTTACACTTGATGGAGGATCTGACCGCGAGAAGTTTCTCCTGTTCGAGCGGAAACATCACTGAAGCAGCTGCGTCCTCCTAGTCAGTGGCGCACCACGACTTCGTGAACCGCATCGTCAAGAGCAGTACGGACGCGGTGTACAACTGATAGAAGTGTTGATGATCAGAGACCAAATAACTCATCTTCACACCGTTCGTACAGCTCGTTCTGCTAATATGTACTTGCCAGTATTTCTACTTCAGGTAGTTCGGATGGAAAATACGATCGATCAACATTCCACGCGGTCCGTTGTGGTTGATGTACTAGAGGTTTATTCGCTCCATCACTATAACTCTTCCTTGTCGTGAGATCACGAGTGAGAAGAAGTTGAAGAGAATTTGATCGTGAAGCTTGTATCAAGGGTGAGGGAGGGAGCACGTAATATGCAATCACCATCGGATTCGGATACGACGAAAAGTATTCGTCCTGCCGTTCTTGTTCTTTCCGTAATTCTTCTGGGTGTGAAGATTTTCATCTCATCTAGAGGGTATAGGGTTCGGAATCGCATTTGCTGCCTGTTTGGTAATTATTATGTCTACGGGTCGTGTAGTACGCGTTCGTGTTGTTTATTAGCTTTCTACGGATTGACGCTAGGACGGAGGTGTTCCATGGCGTCCACGTAATACATCGAAAATTGCAGACAGACTTGTTTTTTCGTGCAGGGTGTTGCTGTGGCTCTACGTCTAGTTGAACAAATAACAAACAAGCGGCCATCTTCGGGTGTCTCGTTTCGTGGTTCGGTCGCATTTTGGGTTGGACTTTTTTTTAGATCTTTCAGAACTGCAACAGCTGCTAGAGAATACACCATCTATTTCTTTGTTTTCCCACCCCCACCTGTGAACGAACCAATCATGTCTGCCACCGGGTCAACAAATGTGGAGAGGGGTGAGGGCACGGTGGAGCCCGTGGTGCCCAACTACCCCATGAGCAGCCAACCAGGACAGCACGCTGAGTGGGCGGGAAGCGTGCCGAGCAAGTGGATGGATCGAGCGTCTAACAACTTGCGATCAAGACACATTGTGCATACCGCTGCACGAAACGGAGATGGAGATTCGCTCGCGAGGATGGGTACAAAAGAACTCGAAATTTCTGTATTGTTGATTGCTTCCTTTGCTTTGTTCGTCACTCATGGGCTCGTGCTTGTTGATTCTTCTTGTATGTTACTACTGCACGCGCCCGCTATCTTTTCCTGCACAGGAAGACGAGTTTGTTATATCAACCGTGTTCTTCATTCTGAATCCCGAAAGAAATGATCTGAAAACGAGGTTTTGGTTGCTACTACGAGGACAAGCGCGGTCTGGAACGAACACACGGCCTGAAATACATTCCCGAGCCGCAGTTTCCGGAGGGGGAGTGGAAACCGCTGGTGAAGAAGGTCGAGGAGGTGTCCGGGTGGGACCGCCCGGACCGCCCCGAGGGGACGAAGCGGCCGCCCAAGATGGAGGGCCAGCGACCCACGATGCGGCGGGAGAAGCGCCACGTGCGGCAGGTGGAGTCCCACCAGGAGATCTTCGACATCCCGGAGGGCAAGCACATCGCCATGATCGACCACCTGCATCCGGACGGAAGCAAGTCCCAGCTGCGGCAGGCTGACAAAGTCGCGTTTGAAGCGACGTTGGAAAACAGCATGACCCGGAAGCGGGTGCAACCGCGAACGCTGACCGAGCAAAGGAATGGCATCCCGTGTGCGAGTTTGGGTGACAAGTACTACATATCCTGTGCAAAAGTATCGTGCTCGTAGTAATTGCAATGATGCGTGACAAATCTCCTTCTTAATTGAAATCAGCATTACAAATTCCATTTTTCATGCTGGGGGAATTTGTCATGCGATTTCTACTAGAAGTGCGATACTTTCTTTGCAGTTCATACTACAAGTTCCCGGAGTACAGTGACAAGTTCTTCCACGGATTGTCAGCATCCACAACTGCGGAGCTGATCTGCGGCAGCGGGTTCGTGCGGGGGTCCTACCAGAAGACCATCCCGCGCATGACGACGAACTGGGAAGCGTTTGCGGCCGAGTGCTACCCGGAGTCCTGCAGGAGAAAACCCTTCGCGCAGTTGGAAAAGGAGCGGGAGCAGAAGGAGGCCGAGGACTCCGTGGAAGTGCTGCACAAAACGTGGGAGAAGAAAGAGCTGAAATTTGGCGATCCAAAGTATGTGGAACCCAGCGACAGCGAGGATGAGTCACCGTGAGGGCGGTGAGCAGGTGATGTGTCGAGCTGCTGGGGCTTTTTTTTCCTGAACGACGGTTCGCAGTGAAATGATGTTGATGATGAACCTCAACATCTATTAGAACAAACAAGAGCAATGTATCATGCGCGTCCTCGTCGTCGATGCACTGACGTGTTTTCGTTGTGATGGCTGCCCGACTTCTGTACGAACTTGTCAAAGGAAATTCCTTTCGAGAAAATGAATCGGCCCCGAATGCGCGACAATATGAATGCTCCTTCGCCTCTGCGAAATGAAAAGCCGGCTTTCGCTTTTTGCTGTGTCCTGTACAACTGGCTGTTTCTCTTTTCTCGTTTCTATTGAGGAAACATGGATTCTACTACTTTCGTGGTAAACAGCTATCCACCGCGTGTCAGTCTTCGTGTACATCCTTCGGTTCGTCGCGCCACGTGATCTGTCTGTGCTTGCCAACGTCAAAAAGTAAAAATTAAAATCAAAATTTCCAATTCCATGCATCTTCGGTTCGTCCAACGTATCATGAAGGTCGTAAAGATATTTATCTTCTCGTGCGTTTCGTTGACGTTCAACATCTTGCGATCGTTTACCAGCACGACCCGTCGGTGGATTTATCGTATAATTGTTGAGCAGGACTACAAAAACCAACATTTCTATTCGTCCACATCAAAAGCAACGAGGTAGAGGCACAACGCGCGTCGTGTCTCGTGCAAGACGGTGCTTTGATTCTTCACTGTCACGACCGCCAACGGAAACCGTTGAATACTAGAACGAGCTACTGTTAGAAACCATAAGACATAGATTGACGCTCTCCCTCTCGCTTTGCAACCTTCACTTCTTCGAAAAATGACAGTTAGAATACCCTACTTTTGGTGAAACTAGAAATTTACTAATCTACCTCCCCAGTTTATTCGCACATATAGTGTGTATCTGTATTTTTCATTTGCGTTTGCTCCCGGCATTTCTTCATCAGGAGCAGTGCATTTATCGTTGCGGAGCCCAAAGTACAACTTCACATCCGACTTTCCCCACTCATTTTGAACAACTTGAATTTCTAGGACGAGGACGGACTCGCGCTACGGCAGTTCCCGTGTTTTTTCCCGTTCTGGCCCCTTGCATGATCGCAACAAAATGAGTTCGTCCTCCGAAGAGCAGCAAGAAGAGCAGGAGTTCAACAGCACGGGAAACTACTCGGAGCAGGATTTCGCCTCGACGGGAGGGAATTCGGAGCACGATTTTGAGTCTGTGCACGGCGGGAACAATAGCAACCACGGGGACAACAATTATCCCTACAACAGCGACTCTGCTGGAAATTACGACAGTCTCGGCGAGGATGGGGCTGAAGAGCATAATCTGTCTTCGGAAAACGAGCTAGAAGTTGCGGAGAACGCGCTTTTGTCCGCTTCCCGGTTTTCACAGGTCACGTCCAACCACGATAATTATCTTGAGCAGGAACTCCCCGCCGTCGCGCAAGTGGACACCAGGTACGTCAACGATCCGTTTTCGGCGTTCGGCGATGGGGAACACAATTCCGGCCAGTCGGAAGATCATTCCTCAGAGGACCAATTTGAAGACGAAGCCTTCCAGTCCCCGATAGCGGCAGCCGCTCCACGAACGATTCTACCAGAGGGGGAGGGGCTGGTGATGAGCACCACTTTAGTACCAGAGCGTGGGGTCGACGACCTCCAACAGCATCAGAGCTCCAGTTCGAGCGATATTCCGGATGGTATTGTCTACGGGTCTGGGCTGATGCAGGGTAAAGCGGTCGATGAGGAGGACGATGACGAGGACCATGAGGTTGACACGCAATTGACAAGGACCGTCCTTGCGGCCAGCGGCGGGGCTTTGCCTCCGGGCGGCGCCGTTCTGGTCGAGGGCCAAGCGGGGTTTGAAGACGACGGTGTTGAGGGCAGCCAAGGGGAGTTGGCGGAAAACCTCAGCCTGGTGTCGTCTTCTTTGGAAAAAATCAACGGTTTGAAAACGAAGAGCAACACTTCTTCAAAAACAGCCTGGGACCGCGAGCAGGAGAGACAGAGGAGACAGGACATGATCACGGAAAGCAGGGCAAAAGCTGTCGTGCAAGTGGTCGCACCGACCGCCACCAGAATGGTCTACCACCAGCAACAAACGACCTCGAGTAGAAGCAGGCCCGGCATCAGTACAACTTCCAGCAAGACCGAGAGTGTGGAAGACGTGAAGGAAAAGCTCGCATCGTTGCAGGAGCGTAGGAACGAGCGCACAGCCAAGATGAACAACTACCTCCAGCGTCACGACATTGTGTCGCCGACACGGGTGGGAGGAGCAACAGCAACAGCAACTTCTACATCGAATCGGCCTAATATCGCACCAATCACAGCTACGACCCTCGATCTAAACGCGGCCCGGCGGCAGCAGGCGGAGAAGCGATCGAGCCCGCGACAGCACAAGACCAAGCACGTACTCGCCGCGACGTACCGCAAAGAGATTTTAAGCGCTGCGTCGAACGCCGCAACGACCAGTGTGTACGACACCTGCTCCGCACCGAGTACGGCTCGGAACAATTTGATGAAGCAGCAGCTGTTGGCCGATCCCGACCGTCTGTTTGACGAGGAAGAGGAAGATGAGGAGGACGACGTCCCGGCTTACACCCTGCCGATGAAGCTGATCGCCAGAACGAACTACGAGGAGTCAGAAGAAGAGGAAGTGGTCGATGACTTGGACAACGGCTTGCTCTTAGACTTCGACTTAGACGTCGCTCAGCTACAGGCACAGCAACAGATGATGCAGCAGGCGGGCGGGAATGGTCCTCAGATGAGCACCCGACCAGGTGGCAACTTGGGTGGAAACAAGAGTCTGCGCATGAAGGGCGGCGGCCTATTCTCCTCGGCATCAACGTCCGGTCCGCAGAATTCCTCCCCTCCCGGCCCTGCTTTGCGGGGCATTATGGCTGGTAGTGGACTACAGCCTGCACCTGCTGTCGGGTCTTCTTCATCTCAGTACCGCGGGCGCAGTGGGGCTGGAAGTAGTAGTGCAGAGAGGAGGAGAAAAAACAGCCCGGGCCGCAGTGCGGAAGACCACAGTACGGGGGTGCTGACCACAAAATTCGGCAGTAACCGTATTCCAAACATCGCCCCACGAGCGGCAGAGCCGTGCCTCGAGGTGGTGAACTTGGGCACACCGCCGCCAACCGCTGTTTCTTGCTTTTACGGGGGCGACGAGCGGAGCAGTGCACCCGCGAGCGCCCGCACCTCGGGCAGTGCGAGGGGATCTGCCAGCACTAGTAACAACAATCCGGCACAGAGACCGCCATCGCTGGGGGGAAGCAACTACCAAATCATGTTGACGCGTGCGAGCGATGCGAACCACGAGCAGGTGGACATCACGCCGCGAAAGAAGGACCCGACCAAGCACCCGGAGTTCAAGAAGCTGCAAACGAGCATCAGTGCGAAGATAAAAATGCCGGATGTTCTTGGCTACAACGTGCAGTCCATTCTCGCCGGGCGAGACGCGAGCGAGTTCTTCTCGCCTCTCCCCGCCGCGAGCGCGACAGCCGCGCGAAATAATGCCACAGGCGGGCCGCTGTCGTCCAGTGGGACGAACAAGGACTACAAGGTACTGGAATACCAGAAGATCCAGCCGACAAAACAGCCCCAGGCCCCGACGTTCTTCAAGGCGCCAGATTTGGCACAGCACTTCCATGCGATCGAAGCTGCGAAGAAGAAGGAAATTGAGGACCAACTTCGGAAACAGCGCGAGGAGGAGCGGCGCCGACTTGCCGAAGAGGAGGAGCGACGACGGTCTATTGCTGCGATTCCCTTAAAGCCGATGCTCGGGCGCCCGGTAGGCATCGGCGCCAATCTGCAGAACGTGGTCCGGCTGAACCAGCAAAAGTGGGAGCAGACAGAGGTCAAATTTGGCGAAAGATCCGCGTCTGCGGCGAGGCGGAAGCAAGCAGAGGCACACGCGAAGCTTCACCAGAAGATGGTATTATACATAGGAGTTAGGTTTCTGTAAATTAGAATTTCCCGCCTTTCTACACTTTGATATGATCCAACACGGCTATCGCATTTTGTTTTCGACGTTGTGATTTTTTTCACCAAGAACTACGAAAGCGTAGTTGAAGTTGAAGTTGATCTTTTTTTCAAAAAAAAAGATCACGAGAGCGTTGAAGTTGATCTTCATTTGACATAGTCAAAACAAAAATCCTAAAACAGCCGACACGCGCGATGCATACGCAGCACCACCAACAATCGCCGTCCTCTCCCCGACATAACTTTTTGGCACCGCCGACCGCCGGGCAATCTCCTCTGAAGAGCAGTCTTCCTGAAACCAGCAGAGACCCAGAGCTGTATGCGTCGTCCATCTCCGCGACGGCCGACCAACAACTACCGCACCATCGCGCACCAGACGGGCTCGGGGCCTCGGGGGTGGAGAGCCTTACTACTTCCTTTGACAGAATTCGGCTCCCCTACGAGGTGGAGGGAAACGAAGAGGTGGAGGAAAACATGGAGCGCATCGAGAGTGTGATCAACAAGGTCGCGGCTAACACGAGGCGGGCCAAGCTGCCGATCCAACTACCGCTGAACACGTTGCACCTCACGCCCCGAATCGTGGACTTGAGCACCCTGGCCGCGGCCAGCAGTGCGCGGACCGGGTCGCCCCCAATCACCGCACGGGCCGAGGGGGAGGGAATCCCCCCTCCCATGAACAGCAGCAAAGACAAGCAGCTACCCTTCGAAACACCACGAGAAATGGACACTCCGCGTTCGCCGAGAGCGGTGGTCGGTTCTTTGGCTTCAAGGGTAAAGCGCATGAGCAAACCCCTAACGACGAAGCAGTATGAACAGCCTACAGAGGCTCCGGAATTCATCGAGGAACTACTGTATAAATGATTTACATTTTCTATTTTGTTGTCGTCTCTGTAGCTGTCCACTCACTGTGCTGCTTTTCAATCTGAAGTCTTCAGATTCAGAAGAATTTGTATTTGAAACTTCTTGTCTATATATGATGCAGCATCACCAAAAGTTTTATCTATCACACAACAGCGAACCAAGCCAGCTTCGTTTGTGTTCGAATCCGCCGTCCGTGGGGGCGAGCAAGAAGTCGATGGATGTTCCGGAGGACGAGAAGATCAACCCCTGGTACACTCCGGGGGAGTACGAGCAAAATAACGGGAGCAAGTTCTCCATGAACGTGATTGGCGCGGCGGAAGATCAAGAACAGAGTCAGAACGTCGACCCCATGGTAGAGGTTTCGAAGACCATCGGCAGGATGCAGCAAATGACGAGTTTGCCGCCCCGAAACCTCCCAAAGGGAACTCTCCGGGAACACCAGAGCCGGTCGTTTTTCGACCGAATTCCGAAAACCCCCCGGGACGGCAAGATGCAGATGCCGGCACCGCTGGTGTGTCCCGCGGGCGCGCAGATCGACGAGGAGCGGCTGGCCATGGCTCCCCAGCTGTCGATGAGTGCTATGCCGCCCATCCGAGCAGATTTGAACTTCGTCGACGTGGAAAATTTCATGCAGAACGCGACCCTGACGGCGGACGACATTGACCTCTGCCCCATGCCCCCACCGGAACTGGTCGAGGAGTTCCAGACCCCGCGGCCGAATGTCGGTCCCCCGATGCCCATGCCGTTTGACGGCATGGTGGGCACCGGCGAGTACGTCCAGGCCGACCCGGAGGCGGAGAAGCGCGAGTTCCTGGAGAAATACGACATGTGCCCGCAGAAGGTGGTCGCGCCAATCGCCACGGTGAAGCTGGACATGGAGTCCTTCCAGAAGAAGTCGCTCACCGCCAGTTTGGCCACCGGGGGACGGGCACTGGAGCACTGCCAGAAATTTTTCGTCACGGACGCGAGTGCTGCGCTCGTGGAAAAGAACCTGACCGACTCCCCACGTGGCGTGTTAGCGTCGCCACGCGGAGTCGCTGGTCTGTTCGCCACCACCACATCAGGAGCCTCGGCGGACCGCGACAACCTCCGCGGCAAGATGAAGTCTGGACGCAGTAGAGGTGGGGGTACAACTTCTAACGCGGGAAACTTAAGCGCGAGAGGTGGGCCTGCAAGTAGTGTACCTGGAGGTGGGAGAAATAGACCGGCCTCGAAGACGCTGCAGCGTGGCACCTCGTCCGGAGCTGCAGTGAATATTAACAATCGAATCGCTACGCCAAGCTCCAAAACAAGCGCGAAAGGAGCGAGCACCACTGGCACTAGAGCGGGAAGCAAACTAGGCAAAGCCGCCCTAGCGCCGCCAAGTGCGGATGGCGCTGAGGCCGCGGAGCAAAAGAACACACAGAGCGACAGAGTCATGAACACCATCGATCCGACTACATCAAGCACAACAACTGGAGCAATTGCCAGTACAAATAAAGCTCCGACAGAACAACAACCGCAGCGACCGAAAGCACTGCCGATGTTCAACATGGTTCCGAACACGCAGACCGTGCGCGCACTGATGACCCCGAGACCAGCACCGCCATTGACGAACAAGTCTGGCGCTGGAAGGCAGTCGCAGTCCGGCAACTTGAGCAGCGGGAGTGCGAGCGGTTCCGGGCCGGAACGACAGAGGTCAGCTTCCTCCTCTTCCAGCCGACAGGGGGCGCCGGCCTTTGGATTGCAGATGGTATCGCTTTTCCCGCCAAGAAAAAGTGTGACCGGCGCGAACAGAGAAGACGCTGTTCGTCCGGAGATGCGTGCACCCACACCGAAACCGCCGGCCCCACAGTTGCAGCCCCCTCCGGAGATGATCCTGCAGGAACAAAGAGCGATGCAAGAGCCGCAGCCGCTGCCCGGCGTTTTGATCCAGCCCATGAGCGTGCAGGACTTGCAACGCAACACCATGCTGAAGCCGGGGGATCGAAACTTTTCCAGAAACAAGATCGTCGTGCAAGAACCGTTCTCAATGCCCCAGAGCAACGCCGCCGTGATGGTGGAAAGCGGAATAAAGGCCGCACAGGTGGTTGCCGCTCAACAGCAAGAGGAGCAACAGGCAGCACAGTTGAACAACAACACGACCCGAACGACGGAACGAAGGCAGCACCACGGGCATACGCACTCCACGAGGATAAAGGAACGCGAGCCGCACGGCCAGAAAAGACGGTCATCCAGTCGCGGTCAGCATTACCGGCATCATTCGAAATCCAGGCACTCTAGTAAAACCACCGAGGATCCCAACCCGGAAGACCGAGAGCTGTCAATCCCTCAGCCTGCGGTCGATTGGCGAAATCCAAGTATCGTCTGCAAAACCGGACTGCCGACGGATTGGGCGGCGTCTAGCCGGGAGCAGTTTCGCAACACTATGCAGAACAAAGTAGCGCAGATAGCCGATAGTCTCGCGCCGAAGCTAGTTTCCACGGTTGTCTTCAGTCCCCGGCTGAAAGAAAAGGAACAAAACAAGACAAAAAAGGAAACATCAAGTAAGCGCGGAAACAGCCCGACGACCGGAGGAGTGCTTAGTAGCGACGGCGGCGGGGGTAAAAACACCTCCGGGTCCTCCAGCTCGCGGCCCGGGACTAAAACCACAGCCAAAAAGAGACCGAGTACTTCATCTACTACAACTGCCGCGCAAAAACGATTACCCGCAAGCAATTCCACAACAGGCCCCGATCTTAACGACGAACTTGCAGCAAGGGAAGGTGCTGCTGTAGCACCAGCAGTAGAGATGAATTACGCAGCATCCACCTCCACACCAGGGGCTGTGCAAATGCAAAACAAGAGCAACACCGAGGCAGCCGCTGTTTCGCCCCTTTTACTCGACGAAGCCGTCGCCGCCGAGGTGGAAGAGTCTCTGGAGCAGAGCCGGGCGAGCAGCAAAAACAAGATCCAGGCCGTCCTGTTCACCCCTAGATCCCGCGGTCAACCACCCGAGCAGCAGCGCGCCGGCAGCCACCAGATGGCGCTTTTGCGGTCCCAGTCCTCGAACACGCAGAGCCAAACTAGTACATCGAGAGATACCACCAGCAGTAACACTAGAACAACCCCCTTGAAAAAAGCAGCGACTGTGTCCCTAGCTGGCACAACTCCTGATGAACAACGTAGTGGCAAGGTGGTTCACACAAAAGCAGCGCTGTACAGCAGGAAAGTGAAAGCTACTTCATCTGGGGATGCTGGTGGTCGTTCACGGTCATCAGCGGGGTACAGTCCCGTCAGCCGGCAGTCTTCCACTTCTGTGCTCCCGTCCTCTTCTCGGGGCGGCGGTACCACACCCCTGGTCGTGGAATACTCCTCCGCCATGACGTCGCGCGCGCGGACGCCCACTCCGCCAAAGAGGACGCGATCCCGGGGCGGTGGAAGTAGTACATCGCCGAAGGCGGGAGCACGAAGTCGAAGCCGATCTGGGTCGAAGAATAGCCGTAGCCCACCACCGACCGGTAGGCCGTCCACCGCGGGGAACCCTCAGCTCAGGATTCTGCGGGAACGCCAACAAGACAAAATCGCGGGAGAAGCCGCCGCGAAGAAGGCCGCAGAGAGAAAAGCTAGGATTCAGGCCAGACAAAGCAGCAGAGGACCGGGTGCTGCTGCCGGAGGTGCTACCGCAACTCCCGATCGATTTACCTCGCCGGCGTTAGCTGATCCGCTACATAGATACTGAGCAGCTCCTCAAACATTTCAAGTTTTTTTTTCACATCGAATTCTCCTCGCAATTCTAGCCTACCCACACCTACTAGTAGTTGACATAAATAAGAAAGAAAAATCCCCCATGATCATGAGCAAGAGATTTGCGCTGGATCGCAAGCATGCTAGTGGTCACAGTATTCATTTTCTTTTTCATTTATCCACATGATCTTCCAAATAGCCTGGGTAGCACATCCTGCACACTCCTGCTCCGAGTTTTTTTTTACATGTCTTATGTCATAGAGCATGCAAGAAAGACATCAACGTAATTATTTCATCAACATTTTTCGTTGCTTAACAATATTCAACGTGTCATAGATACAAATCGCATTCGCTGGCCACGATCCATCGATCGCGATCCAGGCCTCATCTATGTCCTTCATTTTTCAATTGTCACTATCATGAATCATTTGTCATACGTCTAAAGGAGGGTGCTATCAGCCTCTACGTCTACTTTCTGATTCCATTCATACATTTCCTACGATATGTACTGAATTTCGCCAGAGCACCACGAGACAGATGGTGAGTGCCTGAGGTTTTGGTTGTTGAAGACATTCCTGGATATGGTTTTCATTGCCTTCTGATGTACAAATTTTGGAAGACGCAAATTTACCATAGCCATCCGTTCATATTGATATCACTCGAACGTGTTGCAAAATTCAACAGCCCCCTACACGAGAGGCTGCAAGATGCAGATGTTCAGAGGCCCACTGGTAGTAGTAGGCCGCAAAATCGTAATCCAGACTTTGTGCTGTACTAGATGTGGTTGTACAAAGAGCTATGTAGTTGGCTCTACCTGCTCAGCTGTCCTCGCGTCACCAAAGTTCAGGCTGTCCCAACAGAAAAAATAGAAATTTGGAAGTTAGCGCTCAGCTTTAATCCGTAGTCGCTCCTCCTCAATTACGAATTGGCATAGGTAGCCGGGTCCCACAACCGCGATCGAACTTGAAAAATCTGCCCGATCTGGTTGTATAAGTTTTTGTTGATCTTCTATCTTCATCTCCATTACAGCAGCCTTTGCCATACTCACCACGAACACTTATCATTTTTTCGTAGTACAACTCAGCAACACCATCACCAAGCACTGTAGAAATAATACGCCATCTCAAAAACGAAACCGAAACGCGGTTTCCAGTCCTCAGTGTTTCGTCTATTTTTACCCGACGCGAGTAATGAAGTAACAGTAAGTAGAAGTACCCTGCCAGTGATACCAGCAAGTACAACAAGTAGTTTTACAATCTCAATCAAACGACCCACCAAGATGTTGGCAAGCAAGATGGTCGAACGGGTCCGTGCATCGCGCCGGTGTGAAAGTTTCTTGCCTTTTCTCCAATAAACCGAGGAGTGGGGGCTTACATTATTAGCAGTCGTTTTTGTCCGCCGGAGGGACCGCGCAGCGACCGCGAACGAGGAAAAGAACGACTTTCTCCAGCTCTTTCTAGAACAATAAATACCCACGACGGCCCCCCCGCGGCAACGACGAACGACAAATGGGACGCGATCTGGATAAATCCCTAGAGGAGTTGATCGACTCAGGCTCAAAAAAGAATGTCACCCTCCGCCCTAACCACAGCCAGACCGGAAGTAACACTGCCTACCCGCCCCCGCAGAACAATAACAGCTATCATGGAAACAACAACTACAGCAACAAGAACTATGGCGGCAAGAATGGGGGCGGTGTTGGAGGGTGGAACGGGGGCAGCGGGAAGAGCAATTGGAGTAACAACAGCGACCATTACGACCTGGCCTACGGGCAACCGCCAAACGCTGGCCCGCCACTGATGCAGCACCACCCGCCAGGAGCAGGCGGGGGAGCACCATGGCAACACGGCGGCCACCACCAGCCACCCCCTGCGTACTACCCACCGCAGGGCGGTCCGGGTGGGCCACCGCCCATGCAGGGCGGCGGGAAAGGTACTGGAAGATCTAATAGTCGTGTTATGAATATGATTAGATTTTTGTTTGAAAAATATGTACCAAAGCTTCGTCTACTTCTTCATCTTCTACCGAGAACGCCGTGGAGCTGTGTAGGATATTAGGCATCACTGAATCAGAATGACCATGACGATAGACTATCAAGAAAGGCTTTCAACAAAAATCTGAGAAGCGACATTGAACGACATCAACGATAATTGAATTTTCTAAACGTAAACCAAAATAGGCAACGGCTGGAGTGGTCCACCTGTCGGCGGCGTTGCTAAGCCGTTCGATAAGCGAAACCAAGCCGGTCCGTGGGGAAACGTAAAAGGAGGCATGAAAGACGCCGGTGGAATGAAAGGCCGCAAGTGGGGCGGGCACTCGCAACCGCTTGACGAAAAGGCTGCTAGGATGACCAAGATACAATTCAACAAATCCGGCGACCTCTGTGTGAAATTGTACTACTTTATCATCAGCTACTTCTGCAGTTCGTTTCTTTTTTTTTTCTCAACAAGTGAAGCTCTTGGTCACGCACCTTGCGGAAGCGGAGTGGGGAGGTCTCCCGCCTCCACGCCGGAACCAGTATGTTGATATTTAGTAATGGCGTTTCCTAGTAATCGAATCCATTTACATTTTCGCAGGTATTGCTATTCCCGTTTCCCACCAAAACTACTAAATCTCTGCAGGTATGAAACCGATGTGTGTATTTTTCGCAAGAACCTTGCCACGTCCAAGTGTGCCAGCGTGGAGATTAACAGTGGCGGCTTCCACACGCCGGAAACGAAGGCCATCATTCGCGAGTGCCTCCATGCCGTCGACCTGAAGATCCGGCACACGAAGAGGAGATCCGTGGTTCTGAAAGAGAATCCGAACAACAGCAAAACACCAAAGAATGACGCCAATTTATCCCCGACGACCGAAGAGGACGACAAAACGCAGAATGAAAGTGGCGAGAACAACGAGATGAATACAGCGAAAACTTCTTCGCTAGTGATCGATGGAAACGCCAGCGTCGACGCCGAAGGAGCGGCTGCTCCGGTGGTGAAGAAGCGACCACGGCTATCCTGTGTAAAAACGTCCCCACACCAGAATTGTAATGCAGATTTGCAAACAAGACAGGAAGACTTGTAACGCGCATCCCCATGAGAGCCATTTCCAATCGCGTTTTGGAATTTGTGATGCTGTGAACAGGATGAGGAGATGAATCTGTGACGCGGCTGCACTTCCTAACCTGCACTACACTGCGGAGTGCAACTTGTCATGCGTGACTCACAAAACTCCTAGGTTTGTGTTGCAAAATCCCCTTCCTGACTCTGGTGTGGGTACGTTTTTACTCAGGATAGCGGCCCGTCGCGGGGCCAGACGATTTGGACTTCGCCGAGGAGGACGACGATATACTGGCCGAATCCGACGAACACGAGGAAGAAAATCAAAATGCAGCTGCAGAAATAAATGCCGCCGACCCCGAGCACCAGGAAGGAGATGCTGAAAACGAAGAAAACAAAGAAGCCGGAGACGACGAGGAGCAGGCGGCGGCAGAGCCAAATCCCAACGAGGCTTCCGGCAAGGAAAAGGAGGGTGAGGCGCCAGCGATGAGTGGGGAAGATAAGGAATCCAGGAGAAATTTCTTGGTGGAGCGGCTTGCGATGCTGAAGAAGAAAAAAGCGGAGCAGAATCAAAAACAAAAAGCTGCTACGCTGGTATATTCTTTTTGAAGTTAGAGGCCTTGTTCTGTTCTCAAAAAATAGTTTGCTGTTGGTGCAACTGATTCAAACTCTTTGTAGCAGTCACGCACAGGTCATGCGAGGATATGCATTATGCAGGTGTCACGCGAGGTCGCAGATTTTTTCCGTATGCGATTATGGACGAAGATCATGAAGAACGTATACAAAAACCAATGCACCAGAATTACAAAACACGCAGGCACATGATGTTAAAGTTGAAATGAACTGTGACTCAGATAAAATCCGGACAAGTGGTTGCCAGCAGTTCTGTTGCGAAGAAGAAAGGGCCCCCGTGTCCGTGGACCGTTTACGGGAGAAACGTATCCTGTGCAAAAGTATCGTACTCGTAGTAATCGCAGTCATGGTGCACTACAAATCTTTTTCTTAAGGCAAATCCGCATTACAAATTCCATTTCTAATGCTAAGGAGATTTGTATTGCGATTTATAGTATAAATCGCAATACAAATGTAGGCAAGGGAGTGAAACTTCGAAGGGAGTCAAGGGAGCCAAGGGAGGAAGATAAAATTTGTACAAATTGTCTCCCCTTAAATCATCGCCAAAATGCTGCATGCTATGGGCGCGCTTACCGGTCGCCGGCTTGCGCCCTGCTGCCCCCCCCCCCCGCTGCGGCCCCAGGTTTGTCCGCGCTTAGGCATTGGCTCGCTGCCGAAGGCCCTGGTCTCTTGAAGAAGGTGAGGGCTTCTAGAGTCGCCCCCGTCATCAACAGGAGTCGCCGGGGTGGCCTGGCCTCTGCCTGGCAACAAAGAGCGTGGAGCCGAAGGAACGCGTAAACTGCTGCCGTGACCATGTCGAGTTTCCGTCGTCCGGGGGAAGTCGCGGCAGCCACTTAAGCAATTTGCTTGTCGAGATCTTTCAGGCGAGGTTCTGCGTGACCAGATTCAACGTCATGCGTTGCCGAGCAGGGAATACGAAGTGGAAATGTTGAAGCGGCCACTTCGACTTTCTCCAATCGGGAAAGAGTTGCAGTGGCCGTCGGAACGCGCAGCAAGTTTGAAGCTCACACGCGTAGCATATGCAGCCTGCTTCGCGCTGATGCTACTTCGCAACATTCCCACACGCGGGCGCATGTCTTACATGTTGCACGCGCCTCGCTGCGCGCGCGCAGCGCGCGGCCTGAAAAATTTTTGTTGTGTGCGCACAGGCGTCGATCCGCGCGCGCGCAGCGCGCGCCGCGAAAAATTTTTGCTATATGCCGATCGCATTGGCGCGCACGACTGCTTTGTTTTTTATCGTACTCCCTTGGCTCCCTTGGAAAGTTGCGCTGTACTCCCTTGGCTGGCGCCAGACACTAATAAACCTATTATACTAGTGCGATACTTTTGCAATGCATAAAACGCCGCGGGCGAACATTTCGAAATCGAGTGCTACGACGGAATCGTACTGCAAACTGTTGCTGTGCTTTTCCTATTTGCCCCAGTTCCTTGACAAAAGTAAAAAAGTAGAGCAGTATTGGATTCTTCCAGCTACAGTTTCCAGCGCATATCCATATCCGTTTCGAAGTCTTGCTGCAGCAAATAACATATAACAAGTTCTATGATGCATACTTTACTTACTACAGGTCATCTCACTCCCCAACGCTCTGACGGTGCTTGGAAAGCTGAAAGGCAAACTGATGGACCGCATGCGGTTCTTACGCAACGAACAACCGCTCTATCCGCAGCGCGGCATGCACCACGGCGGTCCACCAGGAGCACCAGGTGCCCCCCCGCACGGCGGACCACCTCCACCAGGGATGCATCACATGCACCCGCAGCAACCCGCACCTCCGGGTGCTGGGGTTCAACCGAGCAACCTCCCACCCGGAGTGCAGCCAGGACAGGTGATCTACCAAATTCCCCACGGCGCGGCTCCGCCACCGAATCTGCCACCGGGATCCGTCGTTCAGTACTTACCACCGGGACAAGTAGTACACGCACCGGGAGGACCGGCGCAAGCACAGTATCTACTAATGATTTTATTCTATCAGTACAACTCTAGCGCCGCGAGCGCCATCACTACAGGATGAAGCGAGCAGGAGCTCTGGACTACTTTTTTTATTTTTCATCACTCGGCATATGCTTACGATTACTATAGCCTTCGGTTGGAAATCTTGTTCAGAAGGCGTGTGATATAACTAGCGGCACCTCGAGGAGGTGCGATCGAGGAGTTGTCCTAAGGCTAGAATAAAGTCGCGGAGGATCATGGCAATACGTCATGGCAATCAAATTTATTGTGTTTATCATTTTTTCATTACCGAATTTTATGTGGTCCAATTCCCATGATGATATAACTGATATAACGGAAATTAAAAATTTTCGCCCATGGGAGGGCACCGCGCGAGGCCCATCGTTGCCGTGGTCTGTCTGCCCGGGGATTCGTCGGCATAGCGTAAACCCCTCGGCCGTTCTGCGCAATGCCTCCGCAGCGGCTGGTCGACTCAGCGTCATGAAATTCGCGAGAGATGGCACGGCCAAAGACCTGCCCGCGGTTCTCTCTGAAGCCTTTCGGCTTGACCGCGCCGGTGCGGCGGCGCTCTGTAACTGCAACCAAGGGCGCTGCGTAATTTTCGAAGCGCCCGCCGAGCGACGTTGTAGAAGTAGCAGCCCCGGCTTGGCGATATCGGTCGTGAACGCCGGCGGCCTCACCGGCTGGGAAAGCCGGCGCCTCCCCGCGGGCCCCGCTACGATCTCGTATTGGGACGACGCGAGAACGGTCGATATCAAAGCGATCGATGTCGCATGATCTCCACCTGATCTCCCCCGCGATCTCGTTGATTTCGTGCCCAATGTCGCTGATCTCGCGGACGGAAATTCATGATCTCCCGCCTGATCTCCCCCGCGATCTCGCTGATCTCGTGCCCGATCTCGTTGATCTCGCGGGCGGAAATTCATTCTACAGCGAAAATGGGAAGGAATTTTCGACCTGCGGGCGCTGGCCAGTAAGATCAATTTTGGCCGTGAGTTATATCGCAGCGAGATCGGCGGGAGGGGGTGCGAGATCGGCCGGAGATCGCCGCGAGATCGGCCGGTGATCGGCACGAGATCAGCGAGATCGGGAGTCCGCTTTCGTGGATCTCGCTATGGTGCCGGGACGAGGTTGGGGGCTCTTGCTCGTAAGATCAGGAGCCCCCGATCCTGCCAGCTTATTTATCTGTGCCCGCGCTCTGAGTGAGCGCGGGTTCGAAGCTGGGTCACGACTTCGGGCTTCGGGGGCACCATGACCGAGAGCGCCGAGTGTTGTTCCGATTGGTTGCGGCTGCGTGAGAAGTTTTGTGAGCTTCTGGCGCGGGTGTGGCACTGTGTGGCGCTGCTGGGGGCCCGGCCCCTGTGAATTTGCGTGCGCACCTGTGACCAACAGAAAGTGGTCGAGCGTCGCACTTGTACCACTGCGACGGACGCATCCACTTCGGCGCACTATGTCAAGGCGCGAGGAAAGCAGCGCTAGAACCTGCCTACGCGCTTGGTCACATTTGCGCGAACCCGGGGCGCGAAATTTTTAAAATCGGTTACATGCGTAAGATCATCTTGGGAACTTGGACCACTTGACGAATTATCCGAAACTAAACAAACAGGATCGTCCACGTTCTACCAGCGGGAAGTCCTTCGGGCCACCACGCGCAAAATCATGCTGGCAGCAATTCAGACAATGAGGATCTGAAATGGGGCCGCGCAGCGCAAGGCGGCACGAGCGGCGGTGGCGCCATCCGGCTGGTTTCCGCAGCCGAGAAGCAGCAACGAGACAACCGCCCACAGTATAACCAAGTGCAGCAGGTAGTTTCAAGTTCCAGTCACGGCGGCGTCACACTTGTGTCTAGTAGCGGGTCCCGCGGGCCGCCGACAATAGGCGCCACCGGGGAGACGCCGCAGTTTCGCATCGTGAAAACTGCCAACGGCGTGATCACGGAGCCAATTCTTCCTGGAGAAGCAGATTACCAAAACGCTTCCAACAAGCGGCCACGCGCGCCCTCATCCGGTCACCTCCAGGCAGGTGGTGTAGTGCTGCAGCAGTCACCCGCGCGGCGAAGGGAACGGGAAGAGCGCGAAGAGCGCGAAATTCGAGAGCGGGACCGAGAACGGGCTCGCGCGGAGAAGAAAAAGAAAAAAAACCACACGGACGAGGAACCCTCCAGGAAAACGAAGGAAAGGCGGAAAGACAAGGACCGCACTGCGACGTCTGCTGGACCACCGCCCACCATCGTCGCCGCAGCTGCTGCGCCCGGCACCGTCTGGATGCCGGCTGCGGATCCAAACTTCGTCCCTCAGTTTCAATAAAACGAGGTTCGCGAAGAGATGTTGAAGTGACTCATACTAGAAACATTCACTCAGCATCTTCCGCTTGTCTAGGTAATTAGATCTGCAGGAGCTTTATTTTTCCCAGACATCGACATACGACCACGACGACGATCGAAGATGATAAAGTCCACGCTTTTTGCAGCTCGCTGTGGTCAATCCTGAACTTTTTCAAAGATTCAACCCAACTTAAGCATCTGACTTACTAACTTGTCTAGGGGCCACAGCTTCTTGTTGCCGGGCAACTGCCTGTTCTCGTACATTCCTACCGACGTCGCTAGTGCTCCAGTTGAGAGGTAGTTCCCCTCGTTCTTCTTTCGTTTTTACTGCGTCTTCTTTGCTGGTGGTTCCACGACTATTAACCGAGGGGTGCTTTGTTGACCGCTTTGCTTCACCAGCATTTGAAAGCAATTATCCGGGTGGATGTATTGAGAGTGAGGGCCTTTCTTCATCAAATCCTAAAGTAAAAAAGACGACGCATGTTGCGAGCCTATATCGCTGAAAGACGGTGGTCTGTTGAGTATGATTCATGCGTGCTTTATGAAGACGAGGTCGAGGTGGAGTTGCTCGCTTAATTAAACTTCTTTCGTCAATGAATATTGTTGTGGTCAGCGTCAGGCGAAGGAACGCGTGAAGCAGAGATATTCGCAAGTGTCACAGTCACAAGGAAACGAAGAGGAGCGCAAAAATCGAAATCCTAGTAGTTGAGATCATGGATAAAGTGGACGCGTATGTGAAGGTGCGGGAGGGTGCACTTAAGGAGGAATACTACAAGTATGTGGACACGCACCCGGAGCTGCAGCAGGTGCTCACAGACTTCCTCACCGCACTCGTCGTACATGCACCTGAAGACGTCTATGCTTTCGCAGCACAGTAATGCATTCATAACTGTCGTTGTTGTTTCTTGTTGCTTCTTCAGTGAGAACCTAGATGAAGTGGTATTCTCTTACGGAATAAATGAGCACAAAAAAAATAAATACTCCTGTCAGGTATTTCGCTCCGTTCAAGGATCTCGACGATGATGAGAGCAAAAATGGATAAAACGCCGCTGCACCACCACGCAAAAGATGAAAGAGCTCCAATTGATGAATGAAGTACGACTGAGACCACGACATACCGCAACAGCTGCGCACAAGGCCACGACACGCACTAGATAAGAAAATGTGAGTGCGCATGATACGACACAGCTTCGCTCACACCTTGAGACTGCTTTCCGAAGTTTGATTCTCATCAGCGTGTTAGTTACCGTGCCCGCGTCGTGATTCTGGTTTTCTCGGTTTTTGTCTACTGGAACGCGCTACTGAAGAAAAGTTGCCTGCGTATGGAACTAAAGATTGCCTCATGATTTTCATTTCGGTCTATGGAATTGGAAGTCGTTTTTTTTTTGTCCATCAAAGATCGGTTAAATTAAATGGATCTCGAAAAGTTGCAAATTGACGATGTGTGCGTCGGTTTTATCGCAGCTCTGTCGGTGCTCCAGTTGAGGTAGTGCAGTAGTGCGTCGCGTTGATTCAAATCGGTCCCTTACAGAAAAAATGTGAAAGTGATATCGACAAAGATGCTCGGTGGAGCAAGACAAAAGTTGTACAAGTACACACACACGATTAATGATTGCAATTATTGTTGTGTACCTTTGCCCTGCTATTGCTTGTCTTGCTTTGATTGATCAGGAGGATGTCACATAACATCTCGAACAGCTACTCGTCCCGGCTTTTCGAGTCTCGAAATCTGTTTCCACCGCAAAGACAAGTTAATAAAAATCAACAAAGACAACATCAACATCAACATCAACATCAACATCAACATCAACATCAACATCAACATCAACATCAACATCAACATCAACATCAACATCAACATCAGCATCAACAGCAACAGCAACAGCAACAGCAACATCAACATCAACATCAACATCAACATCAACATCAACATCAGCATCAACATCAACATCAACATCAACATCAACATCAACATCAACATCAACATCAACATCAACATCAACATCAACATCAACATCAACATCAACATCAACATCAACATCAACATCAACATCAACATCAACATCAACATCAACATCAACATCAACATCAACATCAACATCAACATCAACATCAACATCAACATCAACATCAACATCAACATCAACATCAACATCAACATCAACATCAACATCAGCATCAACAGCAACAGCAACAGCAACAGCAACATCAACATCAACATCAACATCAACATCAACATCAACATCAGCATCAACATCAACATCAACATCAACATCAACATCAACATCAACATCAGCATCAACATCAACATCAACATCAACATCATGTTTCCAAGCAAAGACAACATCAACATCAACAAACACGGCGAGTAGACAACTGCAAGCAAGGGAAGGGACTTCTCGGCGAATCCTCCTGGTCACTGGAATAGGTGTCTTTCCGCAACATCCTCCTCAATTCTTCCGTGGGGACACAGGGGAACTAGAACTACCAACTTTCTGTTGCTGCCCGTCGTTACAAGATCCGGAATAACACGGTAGGGGTAGCAGACGCTCACGACGCAACATCAGACACTGGCTTTGACGTTTGTGGCATTATCCAGTGGCGTTCCAATTCCGGCAGGAGTCCTGATATTGATTAGTACAAGCGAAGTGAGCAGCAGCGCAGGAGGACGAGCTAATTCTTAGCCACTTCCTCTTCTCCTTCTTGGCGGAGATTCATTTTAGTGAAGAGAGGCCGATAAACCCCACGACAAGATGTCGCAGTCCCGGATGCTGTCTGAGCAGACTTGCTTTCCGAAGTTTGATTCTCATCGGCGTGTTGACGCCGCGGACTCCGTTCCGACCTCTTCCTCCCTTCCCCTTCCGAGGGGTCGGAGCGGACGTATGGGACCCCGTTCCGACCCCTGATGGCGGCCGACCCCGCGGACTGGCCAAAAAAAGGTCCCGCGGATTTGTTGGACAGGCAATATTTGTGGCGCCCGTTGCGTGACCCAAAAAATCCACCATAGCGTGCGGGCGCGGATTTTTTGGGACAAATCCGCGACAAATCCGCGAGCCCGCGGATTTGAAATCCGCGGACCCCCTTTCGACAAATCCGCGGACCCCCTCCGCCGAGTCCGCGAATCGAGAATCCGATCGGGATTGGCGCCTTGCCAAGTGCCCTCGGGGGGCTTTATCAGGCTGTTATGGCCCATCCGCGGCGATCATCAAAGGCGCGTCCGCTTTGGGAGCTGGCGGGCCTCCGTGCCCTGGAACCTCCGGGGGGGCCTTCCAGGCTGCTATGGCCCCGGTCGGGGAAGGGCTTGGGGAGGGACTGGGGGAGGGGCCGCAGGGGTGGGCCAGGGGAGGGTGGGCCCGGGGTGGGTCAGGGGTCGGTGGGGCAGGGGAGGGGGAGCCAGGGGAGGGTGGGCCAGGGGTCGGTGGGGCAGGGGAGGGCCAGGAGAGGGTGGACCGCCCGGGTTTGGCCAGGGGTCGGTGGGGCAACCAGGGGTGGGCCAGCCAGGGGCGGGCCAGCCAGGGGCGGGCCAGCCAGGGACGGGCCACCAGGGGCGGGCCACCAGGGACCCAAATCCGCACAATATCCGCGCGCTGTTATTCTAACGGGTGTCCAAGCTCTAATATTAAGCTTTCCGAAGTTTGATTCTCATCAGCGTGTTGACGCCATGTGATTCTGGTTTTCTCGGTTCTTGTCTGCAACTCGTTGCTGAAGTAGAAGAACAAGCGGCTGCGTATAGAACTAAAGATTGCCTCATTATTTTTTATTTCGGTCTACTTATCATGCAATTCCAATTGGAAGTCATTTTTTTTTTTGTCTATCAAAAATCGGTTGGAATCTGTGTACTTAAGTTATGTAGGTCAATTCCCAACGACCCTAAATCACTATGATCGCATTCACAAAAAGAAAAAAGAGTCGGCGCAGATTGTGCCGGGCGATTCGGATGGTAACCAGAAGCAAAGCCGCCCACCACCAGAGGCAGGCGCGCTAGGGATTTCCGTTGGCGGCCGCGTTGCGGCGGCCCGCGCCACACCATTCGCACTTGGCCCAGCGCTCCGGCGGCATTCCCTGGAGCCGTTGCTGGGGGGTGCAGGGCCGAGCCACTCGTTGCTGTGGTCGCATTAGCGAGCGGCCCACAGCAACGATAGCACGCATAGCACGCACAGCACGCATAGCACGCACAGCACCGTGCGCGGGCCAAAATTGTGTGCTATGTGTGCTGTGGCACCCCCGACACAGCAAACATAGCAAGCATAGCACGCATAGTACGCATAGCAACGAGTGGGCATTAAGCCGATTCTCTGCGACCCTGACTGCGCGCAGCAGGCGGGGGCGCGGCCGCAGTAGGATTAGGGTGCCAGGGGGCCCAACTGGAGCAGCCGCTTATCCAGCGAACAGCGAGGAGCTCTACACTGCAGCCGTGGAAGTTCTAATGACCCGGGGGCGTGCCACGATGCAGGGCGACAATTCAGCACTCGCTCCAGATTCGACAGCCATTTTTTTTTTCTTGTATTGCAATCATAGCACAGAAGGGTCGTTGGGAAATTGGCCTACTCGACTTTAGTGGATCTCGAAAAGTTTCAAATTGACGACGTGTGCGTCGGCTTTATCTCAGCTCTGTCGGTGCTCCAGTTGAGGTAGTGCAGTAGTGCGTCGCGTTGATTCAAATCGTTCGGTCCCTTACAGAAAAGTGTGAAAGTGATATCGATGCTCGGTGAAGCAAGACAAAAGTTGTACAATTACACATACACGATCGATTGCAATTGGTGTGCGCCTTTACCCTGCTATTGCTTGTCTTGCTTTGATTCATTGGTCAGGAGGGTGATACTTGTTAATTCGTGTCATCATTCTCATATAACATCTCGAAGAACTACTCCCGGCTTTTCGAGTCTCAAAATCTGTTTCCACCGCAAAGACAAGTTAATAATATCCCAAAAGCACCACCACCCGCGAAGTTGAGACTGCTTTCCGAAGTTTGATTCTCATCAGCGTGTTGACGCCGCGGACTCCGTTCCGACCCCTTCCTCCCTTCCCCTTCCGAGGGGTCGGAGCGGACGTATGGGACCCCGTTCCGACCCCTGATGGCGGCCGACCCCGCGGACTGGCCAAAAAAAGGTCCCGCGGATTTGTTGGACAGGCAATATTTGTGGCGCCCGTTGCGTGACCCAAAAAATGAAAAATCCACCATAGCGTGCGGGCGCGGATTTTTTGGGACAAATCCGCGACAAATCCGCGAGCCCGCGGATTTGAAATCCGCGGACCCCCTTTCGACAAATCCGCGGACCCCCTCCGCCGAGTCCGCGAATCGAGAATCCGATCGGGATTGGCGCCTTGCCAAGTGCCCTCGGGGGGCTTTATCAGGCTGTTATGGCCCATCCGCGGCGATCATCAAAGGCGCGTCCGCTTTGGGAGCTGGCGGGCCTCCGTGCCCTGGAACCTCCGGGGGGGCCTTCCAGGCTGCTATGGCCCCGGTCGGGGAAGGGCTTGGGGAGGGACTGGGGGAGGGGCCGCAGGGGTGGGCCAGGGGAGGGTGGGCCCGGGGTGGGTCAGGGGTCGGTGGGGCAGGGGAGGGGGAGCCAGGGGAGGGTGGGCCAGGGGTCGGTGGGGCAGGGGAGGGCCAGGAGAGGGTGGGCCGCCCGGGTTTGGCCAGGGGTCGGTGGGGCAACCAGGGGTGGGCCAGCCAGGGGCGGGCCAGCCAGGGGCGGGCCAGCCAGGGACGGGCCACCAGGGGCGGGCCACCAGGGACCCAAATCCGCACAATATCCGCGCGCTGTTATTCTAACGGGTGTCCAAGCTCTAATAAGCTTTCCGAAGTTTGATTCTCATCAGCGTGTTGACGCCATGTGATTCTGGTTTTCTCGGTTCTTGTCTGCAACTCGTTGCTGAAGTAGAAGAACAAGCGGCTGCGTATAGAACTAAAGATTGCCTCATTATTTTTTATTTCGGTCTACTTATCATGCAATTCCAATTGGAAGTCATTTTTTCATGTAAGCTCCCGTGAATCGGTATCGGTTGTGAAACTTTTCGGAAAAAAGTCACACGCAGGCAGGTTGTTGTGATTCTCCGGGCAGAATAGTATCTGAATAATCTTCTTAACCTCGGCAAGTGGCATAGGTGAAAAATGCATTGCAATTTTCAGAAATTGAAGGAAGCGTGTCGGTGTATTTGCAGGCAGTGAGTCACTGTGGGTGTGGTCACTCATCGGTATCTTTTTCCTTTTCGTGATGATCATCATGATCTGTGTCATGATTGGAAACCACAGAGGAACCTTTCTTTCCTTGAAGGTGCCTGCGGAAAAGGTCGGTGCAACGTAAATTAACAAAGGTATCATCAAGAAAGTTACGTGCGTCGTGGAGGTGTTAGCGATAATTCGAAGTAGACCTAGACCTAGAGAAAATAGAAAAAAAAAAGACAAAATGGCGACGGACGACACTGCACCGACGAGCGACCACCCGTACTTGACCGAGTACTTCGAGACCCAACTGGAAATGGTCGAGAAGAACATGAAGGACCTGTTGAACGTATCACAGGAAAATGTGTTTAACGTTAACGGAATTTGTGATGCAGTAATGCATCACAAAAGCAAAACGTGCCCCAATTTGTCATGCATAGGATGCATACGAGGCGAAATTTGCCATGCATATTTGCAATCTATGAAGAAAACGACCGTTAGCGTTAACACTTTTTTGTTGAATAGAACGACCAAGAAAAGACCTTCCGCATCGCGCTGGACGCAGAGTTTCGGAAAAAATACATGGACGACCAACACGCGCGCGGAGATGAACGCAAAGCTACAGCCGCTTGTGGAAAAGTCCTTCGTGCACCACGACCTGGACAAATCCGGGGTGTTGTCCAAAGAGGAATCCGCGCGGTTTTTCAGCCATTTCGCGAAGGAAACGAAGCGGTTCGTGTATGCATTGGAAAAGTATCGCGCTAGTGGTAATCGCATTACAAATTTGCTTAGCATTAGCATTACAAATTAAAATGAAACTTGTAAATGCTGTTTTACCTTATTAGGGAGATTTTTCATGCATAACAGCAATTACTACGAGTGCGATACTTCTTTTGCAGAGCATATCGTGATGGAGACCACAAAGTTGACCATGGTGCAATCGATGGACCAAGTTGGGCAGGCGTTGGCAATGCAATTCCCCAGCGAGTTGGAGGACGAGTTGCAAATCTCGGCGAAGATGAAGAAAGTGATGGAGAGTTCGATGGATTTCATGTATGCACAGTTGGACGGGCTTTTGGAAGACCTGCATCAAGAGTACCTGAAGAACAAAGAACAGAACGACGCAAAAGCGTTCGACGTGGTGGACACCGCGAAGGCATGAAAGTGCACAACTTCCCCTCGCGAAGGCATGAAAGTGCACAACTGCTTTCCGAAGTTTGATTCTCGTCAGCGTGTTACCGTCTATGCGTCGCGATTATTCTGGTCTTCTTTGTTTTTGTCTATTGCAACTCCAACTCGATCGTAACAAGCAGCTGCGTATAAAACCAAAGGTTGCAGCCTCTGCCTCACGATTTCGGTCTATGGAATTGGAAGTTGTTTTTCATTTTCTATATTTTGCCAATCAAAAATCGGTTAGAAGTAGAATCTGTGCAAGTGGAGTCCGAAAAGTTTCAAATTGACGATGTGTGCGTCGGTTTTATGTCAGCTCTGTCGGTGCTCCAGTGTAGCTAGTCCAGTAGTGCGTCGTGTTGATTTATATCATTCGGTCCCTTACAGAAAAATGTGAAAGTGATATCGAAGATGCTCGGCCAAGCAAGACAAAAGTTGTACAATTACACATGCACGATCGATTACGATTGGTGTGTGTCTTTGCCCCGCTATTGCTTGTTCTTTTGCTTTGATTGGTCAGGAGGGTGATACTTATGAATTTATTGTGTCATCATTTATCACATGATATAACATCCCGAACAACTTCTACTCCCGGCTTTTCGAGTCTGGAAATCTGTGTCCACCGCAAAGACAAGTAAATAAAAATCGCGACCACACGCATACGTAAATCAAATTCCTAACTTATTCCTGAACGCCGCGTGCGAACCAAAGATATCCAAAAAGTACCACCACCCGCGAAGATGATGACCTCTCCCCTGCACGATGCTTCCACCGAGCACGCGAACACACAGCTGTTATCCACAGAAAAAAAAAACCATCGACATCCATTCTTTGCATGACAGACACGTGATCTGATACCTGTTTTGCATGACAAATTGGATGTGGATGCGTTTTTTTTTCTGTGGATAGCTGTCGCTGTTCTTCGACAAACTCGTAGCCAAAGCGGCGAAGGACGACAAGAGCGTCTGTGGGGTCGCGAGCGAGATCTCCAAGACCTTCTTTCAGCAGATGCAGCACGATCGAATTTTGCGGAAGCAGGCGGAGTATGCATTGCAAAAGCATCGTACTAGTAGAAATCGCATTACAAATTCGGTCAGCATGACAAGTGGAATTTGTCATGCTGTTTGACCTTGGGATGGAAATTTGTAATGCATGATTGCGATTACTACGAGTGCGATACTTTTGCACAGGATACGGAGAGCGATTTGATGGAGGCGGAGGAAGAGATGAAGCAGCTCCGGTCCCAAGTCGTGTTTTTGGAGCAGAAGTTATCCAGGAAAAAACACCCATCCCCATCCAATTTGTCATGCAAAACATGCATAAAATCCACTATTTGTCATGCACAAAATGGATGGGGATGGGTGTTTTTTCCAGGATAGAAGTTACGCAGACTGGAAACCAACTCGAAAAATGTGAAGGAGGTGAAGACCACATTTGTTTCACGACGAGGAGGGGGGAATAACCAATCTGCGGGAACAACCAAAGGGAAGAGGAACAAGATGATATCAGATGAAGACCAAGACGTCGATACTGAAGACGAGCAGAATGAAAATGCCAGCGACCAACACCAGCAGGGCGGCGATTTCGCCGTCGCGGACACGCCCTCCTCTCGGCTCCGGAAGCTCGCCAGCCGCAAGAAAGCTTTGGCGCGAAAAGCCCTCCCCCCCTGGGAGCAGTCCAGTACGCGCGAAGAGCGGGCCCGGCTGTTCGACGGCGCCGTCGGATGGTACGAAGCGGACGCGAAACGGATGAAAAAGCGGGTGGATATCCCGGAAAAAACAGCCATCCACATCCAATTTGTGATGCAAAACATATATAAAATTCTATGTTTTTGTCATACAAAATAAAACGGATGTGGATGGATTTTTTTCTGTGGATAGTGGAGCGCGAGGGCGTGCAGCGCCAGAGCGTCGTCGTCAACCCGGTCATCGGCAGTAAGCTGGAGGCGGAGAACTTTGCGTTCAACAAGGTACGGAAAAGCAAGGACGTGGAGATCATGAGCACCGAGCGGATGGCGATCATGAAGCCGGTGTTTGAAAAAATCATGGACTTTTACGCGAATGAATGAAGAGGAAGCACGTCGACGGGCCAGCGCCAGTCGATGCTTTGTAATGCTGGGCCCGCTTTTTGTCTGCCTGGTTTCGAACTTCTAGCTTTACCGTTTACTCGTGAGCTCAATTTCACCTGCCCACCCGGTGGCCATATCGCTTTATTTCTGACAATACTTCCTAGAAGCAAGCACCAGGGGTGCCGTGAGAAAGGGAAAGTATAGTGGTTGCGGTTGATTGCTTCCCTCAATTACTTACCTGAAAAAAAAAAAAGGTTGGTACTACCGAACAATCACAACATGGTTCTGTCATCACTTCATGGACACACATCTGAATAAGGCGGCGATGGCACGTTGTGTTCATACTGAAGATGCCCTCGAGCAGAATACGAATAGATATTGTTTTTCGCTGCAGGAGAGTGAGTTGCGAGCTACGTCGAGAGAACAGTACCAGTAGCCGTGTCAACAGAAATGCGAGCAAGAGATATTGATATCGCGATCAGGAGGTTGAGCGTGCATCACTGAGTCCGGTGGTTCGATCCTGGCCTCGTTCGATGATCAATCTGCAAGTCATGGTAATCGTAGCACGTAGCAGCTTTCCACTTCCCGTGATCAGAGGAGTGAGATTATCGATAGTTCGTGTTATTCCCCGCCCCGTTGTCGAGTTGATTAGTAGAAGCAATTTTGTTAACTACTTAAGTAGAAGAAGTAGCTGCCAGCGCTTCTCTGATTGTAACAGCCGGCGTTGGAGGAAGCACCACCAGACCACCGCCAGATGAGTAAACCATGCCCGCTGCCTGACAATTGTTGACGGGGAAAAGTGCTGGCGAGTCTCCTACGACCAGGAAAAAAGGCACAGCTGCAAGAGTTATTTTGACGAAACAAGGGTAAACGTAAACGCGGCGAATCTACTCCGGCGGCAAAGCCGCGTCGATCAAACCGCTCCTGGGTGTGTGACAAATAAACCGGAAGGTGGAGAAAAAAGGCAGTACGAGTTTTCCAGGTAAAAGACACGGATTCCTCCGACGACTACTTGTATTTGTGACCTGATCTGCGCTGGTGCACGCCCCCTACGTATACGAAGTCCACCAGCGGCGCGTTAACAAACAACTTTCGCCTCGCCTGGAATCTGTGCTCGTCGGCGGATAGGGCCAGATAACCGTGCTAGAAGTACCGCACCCTCGTGGCACCACGTAGAAAGGCTGGGTCTGTAAGTTCTACTATTCAGTCCCGGTCTACTACTTCCCAACGCGCATCTCGACCCAGAGGCACACGATAACAAGCTTGATGACACAGAGCGTGAGATAAAACGTGTACCGTGCGGTTATCGCTTGGACTGGCGATTGTATTGCCCCCGAGCGCTGGAGCTGGTGGATCCGCCGTATAATTTGTTGCCCAACTACCGTGGGTAGTTCGAGTTTCAGCCAACAGAAGAATCGCCGAGCAGCCGAGTAACTACTTTAACTTCCAGGAATTAACAAGAGCCGGGGAGCGGGTGCGAATACTTTCTGTTCGAAAAGAACAAGCTGCCAGCAAGGGTGGAAGAGACCTCTCGACCGCGAATCCTCCTCGTCACTGGAAAAATCGTTGTCTTTCTGCAACATCCCCCTCAATTCTTCCTTGTCTTTGCTGCCACACTGGAGCTAGCATCTTCGCTTACGGTTGCTGTCCGTCGTCCCAAGATTCGGAATAGCACGACGGTGGCAAACGCTCACGACGCAACATCAGACACTGTTTTTGACGTTAGTGGCATTATAATGCAGGAGTGGTTCTTGTAGTATTTGGCGTTCCACCCGTTCCGGCAGTCCTGATATTGATACAACCGAAGTGAGCAGAAGCAGCGCAGGAGCTAGTAATTCGTAGCCTCTTTCTCTTCTCGGCGGATACTCATTTTAGTGAACAACAACAAACGCTAAAAAACCCCGCCACGGCAAGAAGATGTCGCAGTCCCGGATGCTGTCTGAGCAGCCGTCGCAGCATATCACAGGCAAAAGTGTTAACGTTAACGGAGTTTGTGACGCAGTAGCGCATCAGAAAAAGTACTGAAATTTGTATTGCATAGCATGCATGCTCGGGAAAATTTGTAATGCGTGGCTACAATGCGTGATGAAATTGAAAACCGTTGATGGTAGCACTTTTTTGTTTGATACAGCAGTCGACGAGCTTAATGCAACCGGTCTCGACGGACAAGGATGCTTTCAAGCAGAAAACCATGAACCAGGAGATCATACGTCTTCTCAACGGCTTTTCCATGAGTAGGCGCCTGATGATGTCGCAGAACCGACGGGCCTACCGGCAACCGCAGCTTTTGAACGACGACGTCAGGAGAATAGAAGCGTCCATGTGCAAGCTGCTACAGTACTATAGCGTTGTCTTGTTGTGGTGCTTCTTGTTGTTCGCGAAAAATCTTGCTGATAAGCCTGTGATTTTGTTTCACATTTTTTCCTTTGCCTTTTCGCTGATCAAGTTCAACACACACCACAGAAAAATGGATTTTCAATTTGTGCGGCGGTTTTCCGACGCGCAGCTTGCCAAACTCGTGAACGGCCTGAGGATAATAACGAAGAAGCCCGACGAGTTTGTCTTTCACAAGGGCGACATGGCCAGCTCGATATATTTCATCTTTCTCGGAGAAGTGGATGTTTTAGGTCCGGACGCAGGCGATCCGGTATTCTTGATTGCCCTTCTGCTCGTTTTTGTTTCAGTTTGCCCCCGTGTGAGAATCAATCACACTTGTCGTTGAAAAATCGAGCTTTAGTTCGGAGATGACTTCTGCTTCTCGCTCCTCTCTGACTAATCATCAGACGCAAAGCGCCAACGACAAGTAGAAGCACAACTCACTTTCTTAGGTGAAGCGACTCGGCGCCTGTCTGAATTTCGGCGACACCGAGCGGTACGGCGCCCCGAGGAAGAGCTCTGCCGTGGCGCACAGTTACACGATACTCGGAGCGCTGGACAAGCAAGCGTTTTTGTCAACAAAGAGCGAACAGCAGGTCATGGAAGACAGTCGGAAGCTCCAAATCGTAAAACGCGTGCCACCTTTTTCCGCGCTCGTCGATAAGGAGGTGCAGCAGGTTTGCAACCGGCTAATACCGCTGCGAGCGCCCGCAAGACTGCCGGTCTGCGGCAATAGCCACGAGGTAAATAGAGGATTGGAATCATATTTGATGAAGATGTGGATACTAGGCACCACTTTTTTTGATGCTCCTCAGTCACTTCTTCTTTGTCTACCTTATGATAGATTTTTGGTTTATCGCATTTAGATCGTGTTTGCGCCCCGAGAAGTAGAGGATGAAAAAGTTGACGATGAAAATTCAAAATGCATTCATATTTCACATCATCTCAACAGCTGTCACGACATATCGTCATAGTCATGAGTGGCGTCTTCGAGATAAGGGCAACGATTTTGGTTTCAAGGAACGCAGTCGGTCTGCAGGCCAGTGGGCAGAGTCTAGCTTTTTCCGACGTCCCCATAATATCGCTCGAAAAAGGTATTTCCTATGCTAGAGGTAGAGCGAGGTCTGGCGCATGATTTCTTCCACTTTGAGAATGCGGCATCTCGTTCGCCATGATGATGATAAGGATATGCCGTGCTCACTGTAGCTGGCGAAAGCACTCATCTTCATAAAAACCCATGGCTAGAAATGTTGAAGAAAGAAAAACAGAAACTGATATATGATTTCCAGGCTCCATATGGAATGGCGACCTGGTCATGGCCGACGAGGAGGACCGTGATTGGTGCACCGGCGTCGAGTTTTCGCATTACAACATGTACCCGCGGGCAGACGCGAAGTGCCTGGTCATGAGCATTATGCAATACAAATTTCCCGTACATGTACAAGATGCATCACAAATTTTACCAATTTGGAGCGTAAATAAACTTGTCGCTAAACTAGGATCGAAGCCAAGTTTTGTCATGCGGAGACCGCATTTGTACGTGTACGGGAAATTTACTGTGGATATGCATCCGCGAACTCCAGAGAATAAGTTACAACAACAGGCTGCTGCGAAGGTGGTTCGAGTCGTACGCGACCCTGTTCCAGAACAATAGAAGGTACATTCATAATGGTAAAACAAGGAATCAAGTTGAGGTCATGGAATCAAGTTAACTGGAATCAAGTTAGACCTGGAATCAGGTTATATGGAATCAAGTTAAACCCGGAATCAAGTTGCATGGAATCAAGTTACTACCTGGAATCAAGTGGAATGGAATCTTCAAGTAAACCACCACAACTTCATCCCCATCAGTCCTTCGCCTCGCAATGCCTCCTCTTGGAAGAATCTATCTGCTGCGCTTTTTGTGTTTTGTGACTGCCACACCCTCTCTCGGAAGGGGTGTGTCTCTGGGAATTCCGTCTTCATTTCGCCTTCCCTCGGGAGACCCATTGCTCATGGGACTCCGTTTCCACTTCGCATTCCTGGGGATGGTGTCAGTCTCGGGGGACTCCGTTTTTCCTTCCTGCGGAAGGTGTCTCGGGGGCCGCCATTTCGCCGCCCTTGCCCTCTGGTAGGTCTCTCCAGGGATTCTATTTCGCCTCCTTCGGAAGGTATCTTTGGCGATTGGCAGGGATCTCATCTCTGGCAGTTCCATCTTGTCTTCCCGATGTTCGGGATTTCCGCCTGCAGCACTAAGGGGCCGCGGCTTTGCCTCAGGTGTTTGGCATGCCATTTGCCAACTTCGGCCCCTTCGCCTTGGGGAGATCCGGGGCGTTTACCTTCGGAAGCGCCGAAGCGTTCACCTTCGGAGGCTTCGAAGCTTTCTTGGCTTCGACAGCCCCGGATGTGTCGCCTTCGGAAGCTTTGGCGGGTCTCTCCCTGGCGGAAGGACCGCTGGTTTATTGCCTCTCGGGGGAGTCTGCGTTGTCGTTCCTATGCGACCCTGTTCCAGAACAATAGAAGGTACATGCATAGGACATTTTTTTATCGCGCTGCATGTGCATCTTCATTTTGTTTCTGTCGCGGCGGCTCGCTATGAGATACCGCGAAGACGTATATGATCTCGAGTTCTTCGACTGCATCAAAGAAAACCAAGCAAAGAAAAAAAAAGAAAAACCAAAATGATGAAGTCATGATCTTTATCGTATGAAGTCTGTGCCAAGAACAAGCCATGAAATTCTAACAGGGACAGCGTGTACGAGATTCTATCCTACCTGTGCAAGCCAGATTTCCAGTCAAAAACGTCCGGGTACATGAAGGAAATCATCCGCAGCATGGACTATGGGGAGGTGAGGTGGAAGGGCATTTTGAAAAAGTACGAGGCGGAAATACTCGAGGACGCCTTAGATTTCGATGCCGTCCGCAAACTCGAGGAGAACATCGCGAAAAAGAAGGGCGAACGGAAGGAAATCGACCTGGAGAAGGAAAGAGGGGGAATGAAGGCGCTCTTCTAAAAGTAGTTCTTGTACGATTCCGATGCATCAGTATTCAGCAACATTTGATACTTCGCAAAGCTATCAAAGCTTGTTTGACATGTTTCGCTTTTATGCACCAGCCAACCCAAAGAAATGAATTCGATCGCTTACTTAAAATCAACGCACAGTGGCATCATTGTCGCTTTTACATACACTTATCCGTTTATAATTTTCGCTCAAATGGAAATGACCAAATCCAAGTGTTTTCGAATATCTTACATTACGATGGAGGGAACGACACTGATCCTGAATATATGAAAATCGCTTTCCATTTCATCGGGCTCTGTTTCTGGACAAAATATGTACTTCTTTTTTGACGACCTGTCATCCCAGGGACAAAGTGGTTTTTCTCGTCACCTTGTATGCTTTTGCAATGATATTCAACGCCTGCTGCAGCTGCAGCTTCCAATGTACAAAAGAAAAAGAAAACATCACAAATAAATCGTATTATCGAAAACTCAACAGTCCGTAAAAGTTTTTTTCGCCTTGAATGTTCAGAAGATGGCAGCAAAGCACAAAGCGGATCAGCTACATGCTGGAGATCAAAAGAAAATGGCATTGAGCCAAGAAATGATCTACCGTACTATCATGGAAACGGAAGAAATCGACTTGCTAATTTTTATTTTGCAATTGATCAACGGCAACAACCACTCTACATGCTGATGTTGGGATGGTCAAGATCAGCTGGAAGTTCAGAATCAAAAGAGATCAAGTTGAAAATCAAGAGATCACCTAACATTGTCACAAATCCGTCTGCAATGGCGTCAACCTCCCGATCTCCTCCCAGCCGGCTTCGCCATTGATGATGCTACGAGATCTACTTCGGTCGTGCGCGCCGCTCGGTTCATGTACGTTCTTAATGGAAATGAAGTAAAAACTCACAGTCAGCGATGTTGTACATGGTGGCTTATTAACGAAAGGACAACACGCCCTCGTTGTAAAGTTTTTTTGCGCATCTTCTTCATCTGATATCCACCACATATTTATTAGCTTAAGTAAATTTCGCGAGGACACATCAAGGCGTGCTTCAATTCCAATTTGAGCAAATTTGATTGACATTTTTCCATCTTATTCTAGTTCCTTCTAGTGCACAGCGAGACAGGCAGATCCACCTTGCCTCGATCATGACGAGCGACATGGCGGAGGTAGTTGACGTGAGTAGAGAGGAAGAGGAAGAGGAACCTTCTAGCGAGATGGAGCTGGAAAATGATCTTGTAGACGAAGAGAAAGAAAAATCGTCCAGCAGTTCATCGGAAGCCGTTAACGACGACGAGTACAACGGTTGGAATGAGGACGACTCAGAAAATGAAAATCAAAGCGCAGCTGTTGGTGGTGCTCAAAAGGACGAACAGTCCACCAACGGCCAAGACGAGCACCAAGGGGGTTACATTCAAAGCGAGTGGTCTTACGAGGACTATGACTGCAAGAAGAACGACGGGGGCGTCCCAGCGGACGATCTGGAGGAGGGCGAGGACGATGTTGAGGAGCAATTATCCGCAGAAGAAGAAGAAGAAGAAGATGACGAGTACTACGAACATGAGCAAGAGTTATCCGGCAGCGACGAGAAGCCTCATGGTCATGTCAACCACGATGACGACCCCGAGGACGAGCCGTTCGACCTCCACGACCTTCCCCCCTTCGACCTCCACAAGGAGTTGCAGGTGCCAAAAAACCCGTCGCTCCCGCGCGTCCAGGCCTCGTTTCACAAGCTGTCGACGAAAATCTACGACTTGTGGACCAAAGCGACCGACTACGAGGCTTTTAAGTACAGCACGGAGGAAGAAATATACAAACAGGAAGAGAAGCTGAAGGAGAAATTCGCCAAAGTTGTTCTAGCCTTCCTCGTGTTACGCGATTCGAACAGACGGGAGATTTACGAGCAACTCGGCTGCGATTTCAACGCGTTGAAGGAATCGGAAAAGTATTTGGAGAAATCGGTTTTTGATTGCGATGTTCTCGAAGAGTTCGAACGGTTTTTCCGGGGGGAGAGGGAGGAAGACCGAGATTATTTGCTCATGAACTCGGACGAACACTTTGATGGAGATGATAACGATAAAATTTTCGACGGGGAAACGAGAAATCCCAACATGATCGAGGTGGAGGGTGTGAATGCTTTTTCGAAATTGAGCGGAGGTTCGACTTCTTCGAGCTCAAGTGCATCATCGTCCGGAAGACCTTCGGATGGCGCTGGAGGTGCTGCTGGTTCTATGTCATCGAAGGTGAACAGCAGCCAGGAGCAAGAAGATGAGCAGGAGGCCGCGGGAAAAAGCACGTCAGGCTCTGGAGCCGCCGCAAACAAGCCAGTGTGTGCGGCGGATAGGGTGCATCGCGTGTTCCAGGAGGAGGAAATGGACGATGAGGAAGAAAACATAAGAACAAAGAATGCGGTCGAGGAACCCCAATCTCAACAAAGTGGTGGTGAACTATCACGAGGAGGAGTAAAGATGGTTTCCAAACAGACTTCCAGTACGACTTACCCTGCTTGCAGTACCGTTCTCGAAGGACGAGCGCAAGACGATGACGAAGAAGAAGAAGATTTCGATGCGCTGGACGACGAGCTGCTAGACGATGAAGAGGAAGACAGCCTGGATGGACTGAACGAGCTTGCGGCTTTGAAATCAGCGCAACTCGAGGCAAGTGGCGCGGCCTGCTCTCCCTCTAAATTGCAGACATTGGAGCGACTGGACCAGGATTTGCAGTCACTTTTGCAATCTGTCGACACCAGGTTGAAAGGCAGTTCCGGTGTCAGCGCTGTTCCCGCTTCTGCCGCAAGTGGTGCGATGAATAGCTGCAAAGTAGATCCGCAAGCCGATTATACTTCTGCATCTTCTGCAACCACATCAATTGCCGCTTCATCAACTTCACCTGCTGGCGCCGCTGGAATCAAGATTGAAAAGCTTGACCACCTGAACAAATTGCAGCTGCCGCCACTCCCTGCCCTCGTGTGCCCGGAAGACTACGCCGAGCAAGTGCAGAAGGAAAAGAAGGCGTTCTGGGAACGGCGTTTGAAGAAGCGAAAGATCGACACTGGAGACGAACAGGATTCCTCGGATGACGAAGATGAGTCATCCTCCGAAGGTATGACTGCGCTTAATGAGGAAATGGTCCGCGCGTGGAACGCGAAAAAGGTCGCTGCTGCTGCTGCTGCTGGTGCAACTAAGAAAGTGGCTGCGGAACAAAGGAAAACCAAAACCGCTAAGACGAGGACGAAAGGCTCAAAGAAACTCGTGCATAACCCCCTTACCTCGCGGGGCCGGCGGCAACGACGCATGGAGATGATGCGGCGCGGAACGAAAAAAAAGGCGACGACGAAGGGTCCACGCGTTTCGAAGCGGACTGTGTCGAAGGAATAACAGTAAACGTACATAACCTATTAAAACAAAACAGATTTAAAAAGATAAAGATGAGACAACATACTGAGAACGGAACTGATACTGAAGGTCCAACTCCAAGCGAGAGTAGACCAAGTTCCATTACGTTGTTGTCTCATTACCTGCAGCAGCATGATCGTGCATCTACTCCAAGTACCAACGAGAAGATCTGTGTGAAGATGATACCACGACCAAAACGCGAGAATCAAAGCGAAGCGAAGTATTCAACTCAATCTCGAGCAGGACGACTTTTTTTATGTCGAACCCCTTTTGAATTTGATGCCGAAGGCGCAAGCAATACGGTGTTCACTCAGTAGCCACTGCACCTGTCGCTTACGATTGCCATTGTCGGTTTCGGCGGAAGATGACCATCTGCTGGCTTATTTGCTGCAAGCTCCCGTGAAATCGGTTGTGAAACTTTTCGGAAAAAAGTCACACGCAGGCAGGTTGTTGTGATTCTCCGGGCAGAATAGTATCTGAATAATCTTCTTAACCTCGGCAAGTGGCATAGGTGAAAAATGCATTGCACTGTTCAGAAATTGAAGGACGCGTGTCGGTGTATTTGCAGGCAGTGAGTCACTGTGGGTGTGGTCACTCATCGGTATCTTTTTCCTTTATTTCGTGATGATCATCATGATCTGTGTCATGATGGGAAACCACAGAGGATTATTTCTTTCCTTGACCGTGTCTGCGGAAAAGGTCGGTGCAAAGTAGTTAACAAGGGTATCAAGAAAGTTACGTGCGTCGTGGAGGTGTTGGCGATCATTCGAAGTAGAACTAGAGAAGATAGAAAAAAAGGGACAAGATGTCGACGGACGACACTACGACTACCCCGAAGAACGACCACCCGTACTTGACCGAGTACTTCGAGACCCAACTGGAGATGGTCGAAAAGAACATGAAGGACCTGTTGAACGTATCACAGGAAAATGTGTTAACGTTAACGGAATTTGTGATGCACTAATGCATCACAAAACGCGCCAGCAAAATTTGTCATGCATAGGATGCATACGAGGCGAAATTTGCCATGCATATTTGCAATCTATGAAGAAAACCGTTAGCGTTAATACTTTTTCTGATGGATAGAACGACCAAGAAAAGACCCTCCGCATCGCACTGGACGCAAATTTTCGGAAAAAATACATGGACGACCAACACGCGGAGATGAACGCAAAGCTACAGCCGCTTGTGGAAAAGTCCTTCGTGCACCACGACCTGGACATATGCAATACAAATTTCTCGCACATGTACAAAATGCATGACAAATTTCGCTATATTTGAAGTGTCCAACTTGTCATGTTGACTAAGATCGAAGGCAAGTTTTGTCATGCAGAAACTGCATTTCTTGTACGTGTACGGTAAATTTACTGTGGATAGGACAAATCCGGGGTGTTGTCCAAGGAGGAATCCGCGCGGTTTTTCAGCCATTTCGCAAAGGAAACGAAGCGGTTCGTGTATGCATTGGAAAAGTATCGCGCTAGTAGTAATCGCATTACAAATTTGCTTAGCATTAGCATTACAAATTAACATGAAACTTGTAATGCTATTTTACCTTCGTAGGGATATTTGCCATGCATAACAGCAATTACTACGAGTGCGATAGCGATACTTTTGCAGAGCATATCGTGATGGGGACCACGAAATTGACCATGGTGCAGTCGATGGACCAAGTTGGGCAGGCGTTGGCCACGCAATTCCCCAGCGAGTTGGAGGACGAGCTGCAAATCTCGGCGAAGATGAAGAAGGTGATGGAAAGTTCGATGGATTTCATGTATGCACAGTTGGACGGACTTTTGGAAGGCCTGCATCAAGAGTACCTGAAGAACAAAGAACAGAACGACGCAAAAGCGTTCGACGTCGTGGACACCGCGAAGGCATGAAAGTGCACAACTACTTCCCCTCCCCCTCATTTGTCATGCCAAATACCAAGTTCACTCTTTGCCCCTTTGGAATTCTAGCATCACAGATTCTGACAGCCCAAACACCATTACAATCCTGTGAAGATTTGTCATGCAAAAGCTGCACTCTTGCAGGCCCTTCTATTGCTGTTTATGCAATAAAACAAATAAGGGAGGGGTTGTAGTTGTGCACTCTCATAGAAGGACGGGATGCTGCACAAAGAAGAGGTGATGAAGGCGATGGAGGTCGGGTCGGAGCAAATCAAGAAGGTTTTGGAAGCGTTGGGCTTCGGCGAAGCGACGCTGGCTGCGAAATTAAGCCCGGTCATGCACGTATCCAATGCAAATATGTCTGGGTCTGGAAGAATGCATGTTTGTCATGCTTGTTTGGCATGACTCTTAAGTCTGTCATGCACATTACCCAAGAGCCCCACTTTTCTGTCATGCAGAAACGCAGTTTCTGATGCAGAATAGGCAACACCTAGTAGCTCAGAAACTTGTCATGCTGAGCCAGCACTTGTGCCCTCCTCACGATACGCCACCAAGCATCACAAGTTTCCAGACCCAGACATTTTTACAATCCATAGCACGAGGTGCAAGTCAAAATTGCGCAGGAGGCGATGGAATCTTTCGCGGAGCTTGATGATGATGCTATGGAGGCGTCAGGTTTGAAATCGTCAAAGTTGAAATTATTTGTAATGCATAAAATGCATGACCCGAGGCACGTGCGTTGCAGAGTAGGCAAGTGAGGCCGATTATAAGCCTGCTTGGGGCTACAGCTTGAGCTGCTAAAGTAGCATGAGAAAATCGCCCCTCTTTGCCTAAACAGCATGACAAACTGGATTTAGGGACCACCGAAATTTGTCATGCGCCACTTGAAAACTGGGCTCCAACTGGCATCCATTTTATGCATGACAAATTATTTCAACTTTGTCGATTTCAACTCTGACACATCCATAGATGCATAAATAAAAGTAGTACGAATAGGAAATAAGCAAGCCAAAGTGGCTCTTATCCTTGTCTCGCTCTCCTCGTCGCCCCCTGCGGCTTACTTGCATCCTTATCCTTTCCCACGCGTTTTCGTTTCAAGGCGTCGAGTGAGCTAGTTTCGCTTTCGCAGTGACGTCAATCATGAAAAACTAAAAAAAAGCATCAGTGAACTTCACTTACGAGAAAACCGAAAGCCGCAAGACTTTTTCTTCACGTTTGTTGATATGTTGGGCTGTTTGCCTGAGTTCAGTAGCAGCTTGCCCAACCAGCACCACGGGGGAACCTAACCTTATCTCTGGAAAAATCCGTCCGCGCCAGAAAGAAATCCAGCGTTGTGTTCACAGGTGGAGATGATACTTCTAGTGCCGCTTAATATCGTTCTTCTCTCGTCTCGGTCCGGCGTAGTAGACAGTCGCGGTCTACTACTGCCTTGTTTGAGAGGTCGGTGCCTCTCGTGCTCGAAAAAGTGATGAGATTGATCTGTGTCATGTTTTTTTCGAGAGGAGGGGTCTGTAGTTGGTGTCACGACTGTCACTTCAGTGCATTCGTGTTTCAGACCTATTAGCCAAGTAGACAAGAACGACGTCGACGTCGAATATAAGCAAAACCATGTATTCCCCCGAGAAGGACAAGCTGACGGGGGCCGCGTACGACAATCTGCCCGGCGGTTTTTGTCCCCCGAAATTCGAGACCAATGGGAAAAACCGGTTTACAAACAAAACCGTCATCGTGACCGGTGGCGCCGGGAACTTCGGCAAGAGCTGCGCGCTGCGCATGGCGAGCGAGGGGTGCAACATTGCGCTCTGGGATTTGGTTGACGCCAGCCCGGTCGTGGAAGAGATTAGAAGGAAGTACCCGGAGGTGAATGCAAAGTCCTATCAGCTGAACGTCACGGAGCACGAGAAAGTGGAAGAGGTAGCAAAGCAGGTAAAGGTAGATTTCGGGAAGATTGACTACCTGTTCAACAACGCCAGTTACCAGGGCGATTTGAAGAAGATGATGAACTGCTTGCGCAGTTCCCTTATCATGTGCAAAAGTGTCGCGCTCATAGCAATTGCAATCATGCATTGAAATCTTTTTCTCAAGGTCAATCCGCATCACAAACTTTTTTTTCTCATGTTGAGGGGATTTGTCATGCAGTTATACATATGTGTGCGATACCTTTGTAATTTATACCCCGGCACGGTACTGCCCGGCAGTTCCTTCAATATCTCAATTTCGGACGGCACTGAAGTCCCGAACTATTAAGACCTTCACTGTCAAGACACGGGCCGACTTGGTGGAGATACCCACGATGGCCGCGCTCTGTGAGCTGATGACAGTTGATGAGGCCCGGGCCTTGTCCGAGTATCTCGAAAGACTTTGCGACAAGCACGGCACTGCCATGGTGGTCGCTGCCTGGAACTCTATGGTCTGTGATTCCTTCTGCTTTGGGGCCTCCAATTTCTCCGGGGATTTATCAAGGTTCATGCGCAACTCGATGCGTACGGATCTCAAGCTCGAGATCCACAGCCTGTTGCTCCGCCGCCCGTCCGCTGAGGCCGATGGCGCGGGGACCCAGGGGAGGCCGACCAAGCTCAGAAAACTTGAAGAGGCGCCGAAGAGTTTCTGTTGGTTTCACGCTGTGGGCATGTGCACGCGCGCGACTTGCAACCAGCCCCACCGGGTGCCGACCGCTGAGGAGCTCAGTGACGTTCTGCCGCGTGTTACAAATTCCGTCCTGCGTGAAAAGATGGAGAAGAAGCTGGGTGAGTTAAAGCAGCAGTAAGAGGCGCGAGTTTTTGATTTATAAAAAACAAGCACATCCGCTAACGTCCTAGCAATTTAGCTACTGCCCCGGGGTCTGTCGCCTTTGGGGATAGCATTTTATAACTTTTCGGTCTATCACATGCTTAGTTCCGGGTTTTTCTGCTATGAGCGAGAATGCATACACTCGCCTCTGGACCGTCAAACCTTGTTTTACTTGGCACAGTTGATGACAGCGTTAGTGGTGGTGCAATTTTTCTCTGGGTTTTGCCTCTCTCTCGAGAGCCTGTTGCTGTACTTCATGCGAGTATGTTCTGCCCACCTGGTGGCACATGACTCTACTTCTTTTTCGTGTGGCACGGCGTCTGTGCGCTTCCGTTTCAAGTGTCGCTGCCCGAGCAGCCTTTGTTTTTCCGAACTTTGGTTTTGGTCTCGCTCTAGTCGTGCTTTCTTTCTTCCTTCGTCGTTTTTCTCTTTTCTTCTTCTCTTCTTTCTCTTTTGTACTTCCGGGTCTGCGCCCCTTCGTACCAACGGGCCTCTCTCTCTCCGTCATCGGGGTTGTCAGGTATATTTCCGGTCTGGCGACCCACGTTCGCTTGCTCGGCCCGTTGTTGTCTCCGACAGATCGCGTTATAAAATACCTGTTCAACAACGCCGGTTACCAGGGCGATTTGAAGATACGCTGGCGAAATCTGTCAACAAGACCTTGTTTTCAACAAAACGAAAAAAAAATTCTATATCTAGCGAGCAGGTAAGACAGGTCCACAAAGAACTCGAACACCCCGCACAAGCTCGACGTCCGCCAGGCTGCCCCGGAACCATCGGGTTATGAAAGATAAAACTTAAGTTAGCTAGTGGCGCACAATAACTAGATTAATCAAGCCAATATGTTCAGAGAAACTCTTATAGCCCCAGCAGAGGACGGCGCCCAGTCCGCGCCCCCCGGCCGTTCGCTCCGCCTGTTTGGTATCCGGATGGGGTAGTGCCAAGACCTTCCTGCGCCGCCGTTGCGATCGTTCGATACCCCGTCTCAAAACGCTGAACCCCCCGGCTGCAGTATTACATCCTCTCGTCGAACCACTCTCGGTCGGTGGATTTTCAAGCCCAACTTGCTGTCCAAGCTGCTACCTCCGCCTCGTCGATCGAACTGTCCGTGAGATGGCTGGAGTTGTTTCTCCTGCTCGTGTGGTCTATGATAGTCAGCAACGATCGACATCGTAGAAGAGTTGCGAGACGTGCGATAGCGCGTCTGGAATGTTGTGGCACTCAGGCAAGAGCTCTACAGCTGTGGGTCGTAAGAATTGGCAAGTACTTCGGTTGTTGATGTTCGTGTTTACTGGGGCCGTGAGTGATTCTCTAGACCAATGGCACCGTGGGTGTAATGAGAGCGAGTTTTGTTGCGTTCGATAGCGACACATCCTGCACCTTTCGAAGCACTAGCTGAAGCTAGACATACCCGATAGAGCAGCATACAATCCGCCCCCGCCGTTTCTCGTAGAAATAAGACGCAAACACCCCAAATACCCCTCCAAAAGATGGCCACCACGATGATCACTGACCGGCGGATTGTTCCGAACACCGTCAAGGCGACGCACTCCAACGCGCTGAAGGAGTGCGACCAGTGGTCGCACTCAAAGCAGTTGCTCTGCAAGTTTTCTGCATGAGGCGGATTTTCGCATGACAAGCTTGCATATCGCCCCACCTGGGGAAGCAGTATGTCCTTCAGCTTTTCTGTTGCGGACGCTGCTTCCCAAATGGTCTTCAGGTGTTTTTGCGTAAATTATGCATGCGCACACGATGTGTGCAGGCGTTGCGTACGCCGATCTTTTGGGCGAAATCTTGCATGAAGATATGGCACAAAACGGGGGCACGACCTCGGTGTTTGTCATGACAAAAGTCCGAATCTGTCATGCATTTTCTCGAATTCTGTCTGTTGTGTTTCTGGGCCAGAAACCGGGCCTGCTCTATCATTTCCAGGCGCCAAACAATTGCGGTTCATAAGGGGATCCGGAAACAGCGAGACCCGCTCCTGCAGAAGAACGTCGACACCGCGAAAATCCTGGCACAAATTAAAACGGACCACGTCGACATCCGAGACGACCGGCTTGTCAAGCTCATCGAAACTGCTCACAAAACGCCCGACCCTTCTCTCCTGACACAGCAGCAGAAACAAGTCTTTGAACGCTTCGAAAGCGTCATTGAAACTAGTGAGAAGAACAGCAGCTGGCAGAACTATGGGCTCCCCGGGTTACGATTAAAGGTCGTGCTGGACCTGGTGCAGGCTACCTGTTCAACAACGCCGGTTACCAGGGCGATTTGAAGAAGGCGGAAAGCTACAACCCAGCCGACTTTAAGAAGGTTTTGGACATCAACTGCAATGGGGTTTTCTACGTCCTCCAAGCGGTCGCGAACATCATGGCGAAAGACGGTGGGGGCGCGATTGTGAACACCGCGTCCATGGCCGCGCATTCTTATCAGGGTGATAGCACAACTACAACTCCCTCGCACGACCTCACTGCAGCCGTGTGAGCAGCAAGAAGAACTGTAGTTCTTCTTGCTGCTCACACGGCTGAAGTGACCACAGATGTGTTCTTCTTTCTGTTCAACAGAAGCCCTACCACAAATGTATCTCATCTATCTTGCGCATGACAAAGAACAAACACTATCTGAGACTCCACTACTACAAGGAGCGTACTTAGTACCTACTCCAACTCTTTAGGGGTACAACTAGTTCCACAATTAGTCCTGCGAGCGGTGCTCAAATTATTCAAGATCTGAACTCGGCTTCTTGCATCTCAAATGACGAGGGGCAGGGTGCTGACGTCGAGTTGTGCACTCTGATAAATCTGGCCCGGCGAACATGATCGCGTACGGAACCTCAAAAGCAGCGGTGCTACATATGACGAAAATCGCGGCCAAGGATTACGCCCCGTCCAACATCCGGGTAAATTCGATCTCCCCTGCATTTATCGGCCCCGGCTTCATGTGGACACGGCAGGTGGAACTGCAGGCGGCGGCGGGTAGCGTGTACTACGATCCGGACCCGTATCCACTGCAAAAGTATCGTACTCGTAGTAATTGCATTTATGCATTACAAATCTCTTTCTCAAGAGAAATCAGCACTACAAATTCAATTTGTAATGCTGGGGGAAAAATTTGTAATGCAACTTATACTAGTTCTAGTACGATACTTTTGCAATTCATAACCCGAACGTCGTGGCAAAACAGATGGTGGAATCGACGTGGATGCGACGGTATCCCCTGCAAAAGTATCGTACTCGTAGTAATTGCTATCATGCATGACAAATATCACTCTCTTGGTAAAACAGCATTACAAGTTGCATTCTTCTTCTTGCAAAAATTTGTGATGCAATTTGTACTACGGCGATACTTTTGCAATGCATAGCCGCTACGGGCTGATCGAGGAGGTGATCGGGCCGGTCACGTTTCGATCTCCCCTGCGTTTATGCAATACAAATTTCCCGTACATGTACAAAATGCATGACAAATCGCACTAACTTGGAGGGTCCAACTTGTGATGCTGAATAAGATTGAAAGCAAGTTTTGTCATGCAGAAACATGTGAATGGGGTCACGTTTCTGCTGTCGGACGACGCGTCGTATGTGAATGGGGTGGATATCCAGATTACGGGAGGAATGTAGAACGTACCGTAGTTCTTAATCTTATCGTTATCGATAGATAAAGATACCACGCATAGTACGAGAGAGGTTTTTTCAGTAGAAGAGGGTGCACTTATATTCAAGTTTTTGCGAATCGATTTCATCAGTTTGCAGCTTTTTGAGTGGTTTCTGTGGTTGTACAATGATGGTACAGTGACAATGACAAATGAGGACGTATCAAAAAATGATTTGGTATTTTGTGATCATTGAGGTTTTTCTTCATTGATAAATCCTAGTCGTGTCTGTGTGGGTGCTAGCGTACTTCTACTTCTCGTGTCACACGCTAGATCCTATGCGCTCAATTGTGATGGAACATGGAACGCGTGTTCGTTCTACGTCACTACAAGAAAAAAAGGAGAGGAGTCTGCATTGAGAGAGGATCATGTTGAGTAGAACTGAGCGCCAGCGTGTAGCAGTACTAGTAGCGCTTGTTTCGTTATACTGAACTGCATCAGACCGAAAAAGACGAGATAAAGTCAAGATGGCACTTTTGAAACAGTAAACTTCTAAAGCTTGATTACACACGGCGAGGGGTGAAGCAACTTGGCATAGCGACGCCTAAAACGCACACCGACAACAGCCAAAGAGTCGTCCAGCGCTTCGCTTCCGTCGCTTGCTCTCCAACGAGGTCATGTTTCAGGACCGCGTTCGCCAGCTTGGCATCGACGAGCGCACGGCGCCGTACGATGCGGAAGCTGGTGCCGTATCAAATGTAAAACTGTATGGGTCTGGAAGATTACAACTTGTCATGCTAAATCTGCAGCATGCAGAAATCTGTGTTGCATGATTACCAAAAGTCGTCCAGTTTTGACCAAGTCTGGAAGTTGTTTCTCACGCAGGGACTAGGCATTAGAAAGGTCTCGCAGAATCTGTCATGCTAGGTCCTGCATTCCAGACCTCATGGGTCATGGAAAAGCAGCGTGACAAATCGCGCACTCATCTTCCAGACCCAGACATATTTGCAATCCATATGCCGGGCGGTGGTTCGATTCCAGTGGGCAGCTGAGCAACGGCAACAGCCCCTCGATGCCCAGCCGAGTGGGAGTGAAATCCAGGAGTAAACAAGGGCTGTTGAGCAACTCGCAAGGAAACTACCCCGGTTTCGAGAACAATCCAGCCTTTACCTTTAAAGACGCAAGGTCCGCCAGGGACGACGAGCGCGACGATATCGTGACTGGAAGGTATGCGACATTTCAACAAGATCAAGCCGGACGAGGTGCCTCTCCATCCAGCCCAAAAAACGACCTATTCCGGCAGCGACTCGCGGAGCTGGAACGAACTTTAGAGGGGCCAGTGCCGGGGTTGGGAACAACCGCGAACAGCAACCGATTCGGCATGCACCCGGCGTTTCGGGAGCAGATTTCCAACTTGCGCGGGAAGCTGATCCACGTCGGCGAGCGGTTATGAAAGTGCACACGTACCCTTTCCCTTGATTTGTGATGCAAAATTCCAAGTCCAATTGCTGCCTTGTAACACTGTTTGCATGATAGATTCCAGAAGCTGCCCAAACAGGACTAGTATGGGTGCATGATGAACTTGTAATGCATAGGGTCCACGTGTGGCGGTGTTTGTATTACTGTCCATGCAATACAAACGAGGGAAAGGGGGAGTTGTGCACGCTCATAGCGGTTCGTCGGCTTCGACAAAAACATGGAGGAACTCGCGCACATGCGGAAGGTGTCCGAGGAAGCGCGGGTGCAGATATGCATTACAAAAGTATCGCACTAGTATAAACCAGCCATGCTCCGGCTGCCGCCGGAGCGCAAGGCTGTTGGGCCGGGGCAAGACTATTTGCCGACCGGACCACAACCCCACGGGCCTATGCACAACGAAACTCACTGCATTCGTGCCGCCGGTTTGCGCCGCGCCAACCCGCAGGACCACTTGCGCGCTTCCCGCGCCTGCGGGCGCTCTGCGCAGCGAGCAGCGGCAAAGAACGCCGGGGGCGAACAGAAGCCGCTCGGCGGCAGAGGGTAGCGCGAGAGGGTGGCGCGAGAGGGTAGCGCGGGAGGGTGGCGCGAGAGGGTGCGCGAGAAGGTTTGTGAGAGGGTGGCGCGAGAGGGTGCGCGAGAGGGTGGCGCGAGAGGGTGCGCGAGAGGGTGCGCGAGAGGGTGGCGGGGACAGGCGCCGAACAAAACAAGTCCGCGAATAGCCTGCAGTGCCAAATAATGGTAGTACCATGCGGATTCGCGCCCACCACTTTGTGTCTTTACCCTCTCGCAGACCTCTCGCAGACCCTCTTTTTTGCCTCTTTTGGGGGTCCCCGCTAATAATCCGGCTATACTCGCGAGTAGAGGTCGACAGAGGTGGCCGAGAGGTGGCCAAGAGGGTCCGCGAGAGGTCGCCCCTTATTCGCGCCACCTCTCTCGACCTCTGTCGACCTCTCGCGCCCCCTCTTTTTGACATCTCTGCACCCTCTGAGGCACTTAGGCGCCGCCTTAAGGTGGGGCCTTCGGCGGGCTATACTCGCGCACCCTCTCGCCGACCCTCTCGAAAGGGGTCCCGCGCCACCTCTCCACCTCTGTCGACCTCTTTTTTACCTCTTTTGACCTCTTTTTGACCTCTCGGCCACCTCTTGTTTACCCTCTGTCTACCTCTTTTTTCGCATGAATATAATATATAGTAACTGCATCACAAATTTTTCAAGAACATCAAAAATGGAATTTGTCATGCTATATCAGGTAGAAAGTTGGAGTTGGACTTCTTTGTCATGCATGACTGCAATTAGTACGAGTGCGGTACTTTTGCAGTGGATAACAGAGCATGATAGACGACCTCACCAAGTTGGAGCGGGCACTGAACACCGAGGTGCGGCGAAGAGTCGACTACACGCGGACGCTGCAGATTGTGACCGAAAACTACGCGAACGAAATGCTGGACAAACTGCAGAAAAAACTCATGCGACAAATGGAACAGATCATCGCGGCACTGGATTCCTTGTCTGCGAGGTAAAAATGGAAAGTCTACTTCCAAGTAACATGCGAATCTACTTGTTATACTGAATTTCTAGGCCTAGCTACATATGCATTTATTTGGAAGTGCGGCTGCGCAGTAACGAAAGATAGCTGCGGAGGACGAAATTGAATACATTGACATTCACAAAATGGATGACGCAGATGCCTCACTCTGGAGCGCGGCATGATGCAGTTCCGCGGCGAGCTCCCATCGAAGCTGATGGTCGAGACGGACGCCATGGCGCGGCGGGTTGCCGACATGAAGAAGGACCTGCAAGTTGTTGCGGACGAAATCCGGGGTGATGGCTCGGCGGACCGGATGATCGGACAACTAGAGTACGCCATTGATCATCAGGTACTACTTGTTTGGTCTCATGCTGGTGCTTGTCCTGCTTTATTGCTGGTGCACGGGCGTCAGCGGATGAAGTGGAAGATGATGAAACAGTCTCCACACGCAAGATTTCCAAATCCAATAAGAGATTGACCTTCTACTTATATCCGGCGCTACGAGCACTGCGAAACTAACTTTAACTTAAACTTTTGGCAGGGATAACCTTTTCACAAACACAAATTAAGGAAAAGCAATTTCGTCTTAATATGTCAGATGGAGCGGTTGTACACCGAGGGCGATACGGTATACGGCCGCGGGTGGACGGGTTGGAGAGGCCGATGACCAAATCGCCCCGAGATCGCGATCTCGAGCCGATTTGGTCGGCCGCGGATGGACGGGTTGGAGAGGCCGATG